CCTGGCATCCCAGCATTGACTGGTGGTTGAAGGACAAATTTGAATATACCTGAAGACTCTTTGTAAACCGGAAAGCATAAACCGGTGAAATCTTCATTATGGGTAAAACCCTATTTCAGTATTCACTTTAATTCTTCAAGGACAGCTAGAAATTTTCTTCCTTTAATAAAAAAATCCCAGACATACTTTGAAGTCCTAGAGTAAATCGGCAACAGAACAAAGTGAATCTCCCCCAAGGGGACGCTGTAGACCCAGCATCATCAGGAAAGCTCCAGGCTTCACACCTGACTTTGTCAGGAGCCTGCCTAAAAAATAAATTACAAAAAGGCTGTTTGGGGTAGACACAAATGAAGTGTTTGCCCCCTCAGGAGCAGCAGGGATCGAGCCGACTACAAATCAGTCCGTGAACTAGCTGCCTTGGGAGCATATTTAGGCATCAGTTCATTAATCTTCCGGATGTAGTCAGACTTTTCCGCACAGCCTTTGCATGTCTCCCCCCAGTCGTCCAGGATCTTCTTTAGCTCTTTAACTCGGAGCTTCTTCAGGTCCACTGTGCTCAGATCAATCTGTTTGTCTGGAGGAGAGAGCAGGGAGAATAACCAGCTGGGTCGGAGCAACTGTGGACCCCAACAGTCCTTGCACAGCCAAACTGTCACTTAAAACAAGCAGACCTACTGACTGTAGGGGAGATACGCATGCAGGTGTCAGCAGGGACACATGGAGGCCATGTGGTCCTTACAGAAGGAACCTTCTAGGAGGAAGATGGCGCCCACGCCAAGTGCCTCTTACTAAACAGTCACGGTAGAGCTCACGGCACTGGAGAATGAGTTCTAGGGCGAGAGAGCAGACAGACCCCCTGGCCTCAGTTTCCCAACACAGACCCTGGTTGGGCTCTTGAGTTAGGAGCTTACTCTCCATGACCACCTGTGATCACAGAGAGACCTGTGCCAGAAGCACTGAACTAGGATCACTCTCAGAAGACCAGTTATCCTTGACACAAAAGGGTAAAACGCAGGCCTTGGGACACTCAATTCATGGTAAAACATGCTGGTGCTGTCTAAGTCTTATGGAAGAGAACAACTCTTCCTCGACCCGATTACTTCTGAAGACCTGAACTGTTTTTCCCACTGGATACTTCTTCGGCAAAAGAGATGCTGTGTGCCCATAACCTTAGGCTTTCCTGTTGGGACACAGCTGTTCTTTTCAAAATAGTAAAAGTCACTCAGCCTTCAGAGTGTGCAGTCAGGACAAGCCTGTTAAAGCCAAGTCAGACAACATCCCTTCTCTGCTCAAATCCCAACATTCTCATCTTCCCTCAGACTAAAACCCAAATCTTCACCAACATGCAAGGCCCTCTATGATCTGCCCACCCATCATGGCACTGGCTGCCTTTGCATCCGCCTCTAATGCTCTTCCCTTAGCTGTGCCAGTGGCTAATCCCCCACTTCCTTTTCAAAGTCTATTGAAATGTCACCTCCTGGGCTTCCCTGACAGCTCAGTTGGTAAAGAAGCCACCTGCAATGCAGGAGACCCCAGTCTGACTCCTGGGTTGGGCAGATCTGCTGGAGGAGGAATAGGCTACCCACTCCAGTATTCTTGGGCTCCCCTTGTGTGAGCTCAGCTGGTAAAGAATCCGCCTGCAATGCGGGAGACCTGGGTTTGATCCCTGGGTTGGGAAGAGCCCCTGGAGAAGGGAAAGGTACCCACTCCAGTATTCTGGCCTGGAGAATTCCATGGACTGTACAGTCCATGGGGTGGCAAAGCATCAGACACGACTGAGCAACTTGCACTTTCACTGAGGCCTCTTCTGACCTCCACCCACCAGGATGCAAGGTTGAGTCTGTGCCCCTGCCCATTTACCACCACCAACCTTGCTACGTAACTCATTCATGAAGTTTCTAGTTTATCACCTGCCTTCCCCCGCTAGAAAGTACACTTCATTAATGCCTGAGCAGAGAGAGGATTCAGTGTTGGTTAAATAATGCCACACTCACCATACTTCAGTTCACAGATCTGACTGTCTTTCTTCTTGAGCTTCTCACAGATCTTCTCCACAGGGATGTGGTGGGACAGGGGCTTGGACACCTCGTTGATGATCTTGGTGGCTGCATCCTCTGTGGCCCCAATGTAGTAGCACTGTGGCAAGAAAGGACAATGGCCTTCAGGAGGTGCCCCTTGAGAGCTATCTCCTCCAAGGCACACATCTTCTGTCTCTGCCAGGACCTCATTTTCCCACGCCCCACCTGTACTGGCAGTCAGATTCAGCATAAACCCCAGGCTCTTAGTACACACTTGGTCCCAGAGCTGACAGCCACCAGATGAATTTAAGTCACCAAGGTTCAAACCTTTAAACAGAAAGACAAACCAGAGACTGCCAGGGAAGCTGAGGTTACCAAAACTATTGTTTCATTAGGGCTCTTGTCCTTAATTCAGCCCTAGCCTCCCCTGTGCCCATTCCGTCATCATTATTACTGGTCCTCGCTCATGCAAGATTGCTCTGGCCTCTGGGCACTCACATTGGCTGTTCCCTCTGCCTGTAATGTTCTTTCCCCCTCCATAATGATGACCCTGTCTCAGAAAAATTCTTGACTACTGTCTAAGTTAGTGCCTACCCTCTCTACCATACCCTCCTGGTCCATTTTCTGCACAACTTGCAACCCACTGCATCATTTGCCTGTCACTAGTCTCCCCTGATATTTCCGGTGTCCAGCACACAGTAGGTGCTTAATTAACACTAAGAGAATAACATCCCAATGGCCGAATACAGAAAGCACTTCAGACCCACATTAGTTCAATGACAGGAACAGCTGGCCTCCTCAATAGACAAGTGGGCGGGGTCTTGTACTTCCAGGCCTGGGAAGTGGATACTTAAAACGCTGGCAAGGGCCAGCCTGGGGAGGGCCAAACATCTACTTACCAACCGATTCTCTTTGCCTCTAGCTTCCCGGCAGAACTTTGTAAGTTCCTTTTCAATAGAGGCTGGAGAGAATGTGACATCTCTGTCTTTGAGGTCCTGGTAAAATCTTCCCAGATAAGAAATACAAACTGGAAAAGAGAAAGAAGGAAGATGCTCCAGTCATCACCAAATTGCAGGCCAATTCATCAGGCGGGAACTCCAGCAGCAATTTTAAATAGGAGACACGGAGAAAGGGGAGTTTTTCTACCACCGGATTTTCTCGGGTGCCCACAGGTAGACAGAACCGTGCTCCGGGTTGCTGGGTCCCCGAGTACACCCAGGGGATGCGGGGAACGAGCATCACCTAATGACCCACAAATGGCCCCTCCCTGCTTTCCATAAAGTTTAAACCGAGATTGAACACGTGTCCTTGAGCTAGGCTCACTGTGACCTCATAAATGGACAAACTAGAGGCCGAAGAGAAAAAAACGATGCAAATGCTACTCATTTCCAAGTGCAACACCGAACCCCAACATGAATCTTTGCAACCCTATCACACCAGGCGCTGTGACCACGGGCGGCCCTCAAGACTCCCCAACCTGGGCCAGAACCGCTCCCAGGAGCCTCTGCCCAGTGATGGTAAAGGACCAAAACTCCGGCGTTATCTCAGTTTCAGGCCAAATTGTCTGTACGATCTAGTCCTAACGTTCTCGTCGGAACAATGTTTTTTAGGCCCAGGAAATGTTTTCTAGACTCGGCGTTGGTCCCTCCTCTCGCAGACCCCACTGGGGCCGGCCGCCCCCGCCCGCATTAGCCCCAGCCTCTCAGCCTTCTGGTGGTTTGGTTGGGTTCAGCGCCGCCGCCAGGCCGGCCACAGCGCTCGGACCCCCAACTCCGCCTTACCTTCGCAGTCACCCGGCCGCAGCGCCCGGCTGGCCGGCAGCACGCTCAGAGCCAGCGCCACGGCCAGCCCGTGCGTGGCCCACATCCTCCACCACCCGCCGCCGCCGCCGCCTTCGCCGGACTGAACCGCGCCCGCCGTGCGAAACAGCCCCCAGGTCCCGGCCGCGCGCCGTGGGTCCCTATTGGCTGGCGCCCCCCCACGCGCTCCCACACACCGTTCCCCCATTGGTCCACGCGCCTCGGAGCCCACAAGAGCGGCTCCACGCTACCCTTTCTTATTGGCTGGTGGCATCGCCCGCCCTCCGCCCTAGACAGTTGTCGACCGCTGATTGAACCGGGGCTGCTCGCAGGAAGCGGCCGCAGAGGCGGCGGAAGCGGCTCAGTCGCCATCTTTGGTAGGGGTAGAGGCTGTGGCCGAGCCAGAGCGCCGCAGGCTGGAGTGGGATTCGGTTGCTGCCCCTCGTTTGCTCAGTTTGTCTGTGTACTGTTTTGGGCCCCAAGTCCTCCCGAAGAAGCCCACGGACTTCTCCGCTCTGGTCCCGACTCGTGGTGCAGGTCAGGGGCTCTGTGGTCAGCCGCAACCCAACAGGCAGGGAGGGCGGCCGGCCGCAGGCAAGGCTCTGAAGAGATTTCTTTCCTTTTTCTTAAGGGACCACGGGGGCTGGGGAACCAGCCTTTGGGGAACCGCTGAGGAGAGTCCGGATTGCTCCGACAGGTCGACAGGAGGACCCGGTCGGGGTGGACAGATGTTGGGTAGGAGGGGTTGCCCGTAGGAGGGGCTCCCCTCCAGGCTGTCTTCCCAGAGCTCAGAGGGGCGCCCGGGCCCGGACTGGTTGCCTGGCTTTGAGATCGGAAGCATCCCGCCTTATTTGGGAGATTGGCTGCGTCGGAGGTTTGCCCCCCCCCCGCCAGGAAGACCCCTTCTTCCCCCTTTTACTCACAAGCCTCGGGAGCCTGGCCAAGGCGGCTGGTCCTCGCTCTCTTGCTTTCTAGCTGAGCGCTCTGGGCCCTCGGCTGCCCTCCTTCCCGGTGCAAGTCTTGGCTCCCTGTGCTTGAAGGCCGGACGTGGGAAAGGTTGGCTCTGTGCTCAGGACGGAGAAGAGATTTCTATGGGGCTGAAAGGGCTTGGAGCCCAGCGGCAAGGATTGGAGGGGGCACTTTGCGCTGCTCCCTCCCAGTCAGTGAAGTCAGTGGGTCAGTATCAGGAATTCATCTTTAATTCACATAACAGCAGTCAAGGGAGTGGGGAAACGGGGGAAGGCAAGTGGCAGATATTTACATCTAAAATTTCACATTACTTGCTGGATTGAGAACATGCTACCACAATATATACAGTAAAATACTTTTTTGGGACACTAGTACAAATTTTTTTTTTCTTTTAACTTTGCTTTCTGATACAGGTAAGACCATGAAGTCACTTCTTATTTTAAACATAAATACACAAAAGAAATGGTTAGAAGTTTTCTTATTTTAAATAAGCACAGAATGCCAGAGGTTAAAAACACATTTATAGGGCTGAATACCAATTGGACAGCACACTCTATACATTTTTTGCTCAAATTCCTGTACAAATACACAGCATTCAAATAAGTATTTACAAATAAGCTTGAAAGAATGAAAATCAGTATTTCACAATCTTTTCAGAGAATTCTCATCTCTGGCCTCCCACTTCCCTTCAGACTGGCTGATTCTCCAAGGAAAGGGATTTGGAATATGTCCTTTTCATTGAATTTGGGAAAATGGAGAGGGAAAACAAACCTGACTCACCCTGTAGAAGGCAAGACCAAACGAACCCACACTCCCCTCTCTACCCTCCCATGCCCCCAGGTGGAGAAGGAAGGTGTTCTTACATGAGGACTGCCTTGTCCAAGGACTGAGGCTCAGGAGTGCCCCAAAACCTAAAATATGAACTATCTAAGAAATCCAAAGCTAGTCCCCGACTGTTACACTTGGGGACACCAGACGGTTCAGGCCTGACTGGACTGACCCACTCTGCTTGGAGTCACCCTTCAAGTATCAGAAAGGACCCACACTGGTGATAAAATACTCCCAGACTCCCTGAAGGTAACGTGGCCCCCCATCTTAGCTCATAAATTACTTGCTGGCATTCCTGTTAAACGTTTAAGTTGGCATTTGTTTACAAGTGAAAGACACCCTAACCAGGGAAGTCAGATGGGCCAGTGGAAGAGGAACTAAGGGAGAACGTACCTGCTCAACGAGGAGAAGGCAGCCTTGTGACTGTCAAGTTGTGAACTCAAGCAAATAAATGTTTTTGTAAAGTTTTTAAAAGTAACTTAGAAGCACCCTGGTAAAATACTATTGCCACCCCACCCTATTCCCCCAACTAATAAACCAAGAGGAAAATCAGTGCCCTGACCTGAAAGCTTCCTATAAAGACACCACTGCCTTCTGCCCAACAGACTGCGGAGGCTGGAGAAACTGCCCTCCTGCTCGCCCTGAACCCTGAGTGGTGGTCCCATGGGCCTGGAGCTGGGATCGTGCACTTGGCTACTGGGAGGGGATAATTCAACCTGCGTGGCTTTCTGCTTCTAGGAGGAGTCCCCCCTCCTTGCTAACTGCCCTTTTTACCCAGGAGCTTGCTGAACCTGATTGCAAGTTCTCAGGCCTTCGGAGCCTGGCTGGGCAGCCACCCCGCTGCTCAGAGGTAGTGCTGAAAATCCCTGATTCAGGAGCTGGAGGACAGGCATGCTGGCCACTTCTGAAAGCTCAGAGGATTTCCGGCCCTGCCACACCCCAGCCTCACTCCTCTATCAGCTTGTCTCCCAACACATGGCTGCCCGGGCCCGGGGAGGAAGATGGTGAGGGTAGTCCCTCTGGCTCCAACCCCCACTCAAGCTCCAGAGGCTAGGAGACGACCACTGCAGATCCATGTACCACGGGCCTCCTGCAGGGCATGGGGTATGTTAAGATTGGAGGGGAGGGAAGGGTCAGAAATAAAAACGATGGATGGGAAATCCAAAGTAGAGGAGGAGGCAGGGCTGGCCCACGGAAGCCTGGCAGTGCACCCTGGGCGTGCAGTTAGGCTGTCCCATGCCTGTGCCGGCAGGTTGGCCTCGCCAGCCCCTCGGGCACACTCCTGGATGGAAGAGCAGGTGGGCAGGCATTTGTGCAAAATGGCTTGTAGCCCCCTTGTCCACCTGTGACATAGTCCACGAGGTCCCTGCAATCCCTGAATACAACCATGAGCTCTTCTGTCTACGCAGCAAAGGAAGAGGTCCCTAGTGCAATTTCCATTCTGTGCATTGCTGCCCTTGGGGGAGGGCCTGGGCTCCTGCCCCAGGGGCCCCACGAAGCTGCAAAGCGGTTCTGTGGTGCAGTACCTCCATCTAGCTCCATGTGGTCTGAAACTGCAGGAGGAAGACAGCATCTACTGCACAAAGGAAAGAGGAAAACCCATAGAAATGGAAATGTAGAAAATGAAATAAAAAGAGAAGCCACAACCCTTCATGCTGCTGTGGCCTCTGCACATGGCAACACACGAGTTCACGGCAGTAGAAGAACGTAGACTTGGGGCGGTTCTCTCCTGAGTGCCAGGCCTCTCGGACTCTCTGCGGGGGGACTTGCTTTTCTGACCCAGGGTGGTTGGGCAAGCCGCTCACTGACGGTGGTGTCCCAGCTGCCTCCCTGCCCCTCACTGTTCCCCTCGGCTGTGCTCCCAGGCCATGCGTGCCTGCTCTTCCTTGGTGCTCCCGGGAGGCAGCGAGGCCTTGCGATGCAGGGCCCGAGGCCTCTCCGCCTCCTCTCGCAGCAGCACACCCTCGTCATGCTCCAGGGCTGGCAGGCGGGGGTGGTAGGGCTTGGGTGGCAGCGCAGGCGGGTCCATGGGGTCCTGAGGGATGACACATCCCGGGGCCGAGTGGCTTCGGCACGGCTGGGCCTTGATGGAGTCCAGGACGGCGGACTCGGAGAGGCTGTAGTGGACGGGGAGGTAGGGTGGCTCAAGATCTTCGTCGGCGTTCCAGGCCTGGCTCGGCATGGAGTCCATGGTGTCGGTTCGAGGAGGGGCCTCCGAGGAGTGCCCAAAGTTACTCTCGCTCAGGGAAGACACGCCGCTGCTGGCACTGCCAGACAACGTGGAGTTGCTGCCATCCAGGCCCGACTGGGGGCTGGTTGGGGAGGCTGGGATGGGGTGCAGGGGCGACTGAAAGAGAAGGGGGCAGTGTGAGAAGCCCTCTTTCCAGACAGGCTGACATACCTGCCACGGGATGAGAAGACCAAGAGTCTCCTATGTTAATGAACTTTAAAACACATCAACATGTTTCTCGTTTCGCCGTCAGCAAGCCCCTGCCTTCTCCCTGGCCCCAGCAAGCCTATGGAGCCCCAGCATCACCTGCATTTCTGTGGCCCCAAAATGGCCCTGCCTTTGTGCCCCATGAAGCCAGGTCCCAGGCTTCTGGCTGTGGCTCTAGGGTCACAGACAGAAGGGCTGGGTCAGCAGGCCCGTTGGGGAGGGCAGAAAGAACCCTAGTGGGCCATGGACCAGATGAGTGCCTTTTGCTGCTAGAATCTGTGACAGTCTTTTCCAATTTGCAGAAAAATTAATGAGTTTTGCATAAAGGTTTGGTATCTGATGCTTCTTGTTTTGAGTGGACTCCAGTTTAAAGTGCTCTACGACTTCCCACAGTTAACATTTCCTCACATTGTGAACTGTGGTGTGTTGATACCTACACCCTGGCTTCTCACTGCTCTTTGCGCACACACTGGGTACCGTGTGTTGCTGTCTGCAGGACCCTCTGACCTCCCCACCCCCATCACGTCTGTTTTAGGACACGTGTACCCCAAGTATGTCTCTCGACACCCCCAGCTTCTGTCAGGCTGGGCTGTCGGAAGGAACAGGGCAGGCAGACCTCAGGGGTCTCTCCCCTCACAGTCTGGGGGCTGTCGCCTCAGAACATTACCTTGCGCAAGGTCCGGGCGGGGAGTGCTGGGGGGGTGTCACCCAAGGGGTGGTGGAAGGCGTCGAAGTGTAGGGAGTAATGACCTGCAGAGGACACAGAAGCGGAGCCTCAGCTGGGCCCTTCTCGGGCTGCATCACAGCAGAGCTGCCGGGGCCAACTGCACGGACAGGAGTCTCCGTGACCCCTTGGCACTGGTGGCCACGGGAAAACCTCTCTTCACTGATGTTCTCCAAAACACAGGCTGCTGGAGTAAAGACACCCATGCCACACAGGAGATGGAGAAGTCCGAGCGCATCAGAGCCCACAGAATGACAGACCACAGACAGCAGCGGACCTCTGCCTGCCGTGGGCGATGACAGCCCGGGGAGTCTTGCGCTGGGCACAGTCACTTCCAACGTCTTCAGCCTCCGCGGTCAGAAAGGCCTTATTGAGTGTACCTGCTGCACCTGGAGACCTCACTGACCCCAAGGCTGCGGTGGGGGGGTTCTTTCCTCAGTGGAGTCGGCTGGTCTTCTCAGCCCAGAGGGCTCCTGCCCTCACCCCTGAGCAGGATCTGAGACTGGGGACTACCTGGGGGACCCGCTGGAGGTCTTCTTACCATGCAGCAGGCTTCGGGGAGGCACTGGGGGGGCCAGGATGCACCCCGTGTGGGCAGACAGGAAGGGCTGGGCCTCTCGGGCTCCGCTATCCAGGCTCCAGCTGCTGGGGGCTGCTGGCACCGCTGAAGGGCGAAAACAGATGGCATGAAGGGAGGTTACTTCTCAAGCCAGCCTCTGAAGGGGGAAGTCCTCTACTATTGCCTGGGACTTCTCCAGGTGTGAACTTGGTACAGCACACAGGCATGGCATGCCAGCTCCTGAGACAGAAAACACTGGCCAAGCAAGACATGGTGGTGGCCCATGGGCAGAGTGGCCGGGGCAGACGCCACTGAAGAGGATGGCTACTGAGTCAGCTGCTGTCTTAAGAGTACTTGGCAGGAGGCAAGCCAAGAGGAAGGAAGAGCAAGGAGGGGCAGCCTCCTGGCCTTGCCAGGAGGAGAAAAGAGAACAGAAGAGGTGAGGAGCGTGGAACAGGCTGGTAAGACTGACAGAAGAGAGGGAGAGGGAGAGTGCAGGTGAGTGAGCACGTGCGAGAACAGGTGTGCCTGCGCACCCCTGCCGCTTCTGACCAAAGTCAAGAGTCAGGGCTCTCCCAGGGCCTGGCCCCATGGGGAAGCAGGGAGCAGGATGGGTGGGCAGCAGAAGATGCCTGTGTCCAGAGCTGGTGCACGGCCTGGGCCCTTAAAGAGCCTGTGGTAAACTACAAGCTCTGCCTAACTCTGCTGCTTCTGAGCCCACTGGCTGGGCCTGGGATGCTCGGGAGTTTTCTAGGCAGGACTGGTGTTCATACGGTGCCTGCTGCAGCAAAGAATATGAAGCCAGGGGTCAGGCTGGGTCCAGCAGGGACCTCTGCTTCCAGAGAGGAGGGAGGGCGGTGGAGCCCCTGGGTGCTTTGAAGCATACAGAGGCCCAGTTACTGGCCCCCACATGTCGTGGATGCCGTGGATAGAGTGGGCCCTGGACGATGAGTAACACAGGGTGTCCATCCGTGGATGGGAAGGAGTCCAGGGCTGGAACAGTGGCCCTTCAGCGACAGTGGAGGTGAAGGACTTTGTAGGAGGGGAGGGGAGAGGAGGAATGGCCGGACCGCGGGGTCTGAGGAGCAGCAGCAGATATGTGAATGCCACTGGTCAACTGCTAGAGAACCACTGCCACTGATGAGAACTATGCCCTTTTTCTGGTGGAGCTCTCAGTATTGAGAGACAAGAGGCTGACCCACTGGCTTTGTTGTGAGGCAGTCACAGCTAAAGGGGGCGTTGAGGAGGCTGGGGACTGGGCTTTTCCCACTCCAGGTCCTGAGTCGGGAATGCAATTTCATTGCCTAAAGGGCACCTGAGAGGCTCTGGGAAGGAAGGAGCCTGGCCTTTCAGGAGGATGTGGCCAGGAGGGGCTGGGCCCCATATGGTCGAAGATGAGGTGCTGGGAGATGTCCACCCTGGTCCTCCTCGCTGGTGAAGAATGTCAGGCTAGAACTCAGCTGCCTCACAGCCTCCTGTCTCAGGAACGTGGCTTAGTCTCACAGACTGGCTGACAGCGGCGGGGGCGGAAGGGAGGAGAGGCAGTGACTGGGTGGACAGGCATTCTGTCTGGTGAGTGATAGATGGATTCCACCAGAAAGCCTTCCCCAGACAGCTTGAGCCACCCTGAGACCAGGACAGGTCTACTCTCATACAGGCTCTCCCCAAGATGCAGCAGGAGCTTCCTGGTCCTCAGCACTGAGGCGCCCTCTCCTGCAAAGGAAAAGTTCCATCTCCACGAAAAGCCATCACACCTCGAGGAGTAAGAAGCTTGGAGGCACGTCTGGGCAGCTTCCTCAGAGGGGCTCTGACAGCCTGAGTGCTCATGTGCACATCCTGGCCCTAGAAGAAGAGTGGGACTGCACAAATTCACCCTCAAGCACCCAAAGGAAACAGCAGGCAGGAACGCTAGAGGGGAAGAAAGCTGGTAAGGCTGCAGTGGTTTACAAAAGGCACCCGCCAGAGTTCACTCCATATCAACCAGAAATCATCCAGCTTACCCTTGGCCTCCTGTCGACCAGTGAGGCCAGTGAACCTCTGCCATACAGCACCAGGGCTTCCTGGGTGGCTCAGTGGTAAAGAACCTGCCTGCCAATGCCGGAAATGCAAAAGATGAATGGTTTGATCCCTGGGTCGGGAAGATCCCCTGGAGAAGGAAATGCAACCCACTCCAGTATTCTTGCCTGTAAAATCCCATGGACAGAGGAGCCTGGCGGACGAAAGTCCATGGGGTTGCAAAGAGTCGGCCGTGAGTGAGTACGCACACACACACACCAGTGCATAGGGGTTAGTGGAGAATCTCAGATGCAGCACCTATCCTAGGAGAAGAGCGGCGATGCCCCCTGTGTCCTGGCCTTTTCTCTCTCTGCTGTGGACCACCACCAGTCTGAGGTCCCCTGTGCACAGCAGCCTTGAGGGTCGGCTGGCCTGGTCTGGGAGTCACTGCCTGGGAAAGAGATCCATGAAGGTGAGAAGTGGAACCCTCATGGGACTCAAGATCCTGACGAGAGAATGGTGACAAGTGCCCACAGCTCCTGCTCTGGAGGAGCCAGCAGAGACCTGGGGAGTTGTAACTCTGGCTCTGGGTCCCCCAAGGCAAATTTCTAGCCCACTGCCTACTGAGCTCTGGCTTGTGGCTCAAATGCGCTTGCTCTGGGCTCAGCCTTGGCTCTGAGACAACCCTCTTTCCTCCCCACACACAGTGGGTGGGCGTATCCAGGCTTCTTGCTGCAGCTCGGTCTGAAGCCTGAAGCTCTTCTGGGTCTGGTGGGCGTCAGGTCCTGGTCTGGCCGCCAGCACCCACTTGAGATCTGAGCCCGTCTGCTAGATCTGAGCTCTGAGCTCTTGGCTAGATCTGCGACTGCTCCACAACTCAAGCAAAGAGAAGCTGCTGTGGTTCCCGGCCTTCAAGGCCACAAGAGCGCTCGGTTTGGGGGCACAAGTGCAGGGGTCCAGGAAAGCCACGTGTTTTGGGGATGTGCAACTCTGAGGCTAAGAAGGCGTCTTCAGCCAGAACCTTATCTTCACGCCCGCTGTGGTCGAGCGCCCGGCACTGAGGCCTCCCAGGCACCGAGGTCATGGAGCCGGGTATGGTCTCAAACGGGATGGGGAGGCGCGTCCTCCACACTAAGCAAAGAAGGAGCAGTGACAGTGGGGACAGCAGACAGCAGACGGCACGTGGTGAGGAGGTATGATGACCACATGACAGCGACTTTGGAGGGACATGTCCTGATGGGCCAGCAGGTCGTACTGCTAGGGCCTAATAGTGCCCTCAACTTACCAGGCGGAGGAGGGGGAGGGGGACCTGCAGGGAGAGGGCCGATGTGCTCGGCCTGCTTGTGCGTGGCAGGTGGGCTGGGCAGAGGCCCCACACGGGCACTATCCTGTGTTAAAAGGAACTCAGGTCTTCATGTCTAGGACTTTGGCTTGGGGTTATATGGGCCCACGTCTGGTTCTTCCATCAGCTGGCTGGAGCAGATCGTAGAGTAGAACTCCACTCTTTGTAACCAGCCTCTGTTCTAAGTACTGCCTGGTTTCATGGTACAGCTGATGGACTTGCAGCGTGGAAAAGGGATGCTCAGCTGTTGCGGGCCTGGGTGGCTAAGGAGGACTGAAGTCCCGCAGGGTGCCTGGGACTGTCTCTGGGAAATTCACTTTGCCATGACCTGTCCTTCTCATTATTCCTGGTGACGTGCTTGGCCACAGGTCTGTTCTGAACAACAAAGAGAGGTCTGCGTGGGCCTGAGTGGAGAGGGACCAAAGCCACAGGGCTTGCTGAATTCTGGGGCTGGTGGGGAGGAGCCCTGGGGAGTGGGTGCCCACTGAGTTTCCATGAAGGTGAGCTCAGGGCAGGTGGCAGCTGGGGGAGTCTCAGAGGGTGGGCCCTGGGGAGCCAAAGATACAAACAAACAAGATCTAGACCTCAGCATCAAGCCAAACATGGATTAAATGATGAACACAAGAACTGGTCAGGACTCTGGACAGACAGACTGGCCTGGGTGTTAAAAGTATGGCTCAACCTTGGCCAGCTGGTGCTTAGGGACAAGAGGCAGACGCTCAGGATAGGGACAGACAGGAGAGGCTGCCACCTGGGAAGAGGAAGCGTACCTTTTTCGGCCACAGACAGATTGGGATCACTGCAGGGTTTGCAGGCTCCAACCACTTGCTGGAACAGGGCCCGCTGGAAGTTTGGCAGCTGAGGGAAGGAGAAACGTATCAAAAGGTGACAACAATCAGTTACATATTGGGGGTGTCATAAGCCCCAGGAGCCAGGGCATTCTAGGATCAGACCAGGAAAATCAAAGCAGTGGGACAGTTCATGCTTGAGATGTGCTGAGAATGTCAGGCTGGTTGGAACGCCATCCATGCTGTCTGGCTCCGAGTCCTTCCCTGTGCGACTGTGCAGTGTCTGGGGCTCCCCTACCACCCCCCGCGCCTGGCTGGGCTCCAGGCTGTCCCGCACACGGCCAACAAGGAGGACACCAGCACCTGAGGGCATCTAACTGCATCCTCCTGTCCTGCCAGGAGACCCATGGGTAGGAAGGATACGGGGACCTGTCGCAGCCCTGAGCCCTGGCAGGTTTGGCTTCCTAGAGACTCCCCGCACGCACAGGCCCGTGTGAGGGGAACGGCAGCACTCAGGCCTGAGGTCACAGACATGACCCACTGTTCTGTGGGTAGCTGCCAGGCAGACCTGTTCCTTCCACTTGGCAGAACTGCCCAGGCACATGGAGCTGAGAAGGTCCTGGCACTCTGGGACTGGGTAACGGTCACTGGAGGTGACCCTCATGGCCCCTGAGAGAAGGGCAGGGTAGACTGGATGGGGGAAGGAGCTAGTTGCTGCAGCTTCCTGTTCAAGGCCCCATACGGGACATCTGCAGAGCTCTGCAAATTGTGTGGGGAGGGTCCCAGCGGGAAGAGAGGGGCTTCGGGCAGACGGATGGACAGACAGATGGATGCATGGATGGACAGATGGATGGAAGAGGCAGAGCTTGCCCCTGTGGGGATGTCCTTCATGCACACATGGAGGAAGGCCAGTCTCTAGATCCATGTCTGCCACTGCCTTCTCTGGACAGAAAAGAACCAGTTTTCTCTGCCAGGTTGTTTTTAGATGAGGAGTTCAGGAGGCTGGCCAGAAGGACAGATAGCCACACAGACAGTGCTGGGTCCAACCCCGCCGCCATTCTGCTCCTAGCTGTACTCTGTTTGGACCGAGTACGGATGCTGGTCCCCACATTCACTGCCGCTCCCATCCAGGAGGGTCTTCACGGCAGCATGAGGAAGGCATGGACAATGCAGAAAGCCTAGCGAGTGCAATGAGGGGCGTTCAGGCCAGCACAGTAGCAGCAAAGAGCGGTCAGCGGGCTGGCTCCGTTACCTGTCCGTTCTCCAGGATGGCTGCTGGATACATGGCGCTGCTCGGGCGGTCCCGGGGCGTGGGCAGCAGCAGCATCATTTCCCGGGCATGGCGGTACTTATCTGGCAGAGAGGGAGAGCCTGTAACCAAGTGAGAACAATCACGCACAGATGACACGCCACAGACGGAGGGCCCAGAGGGCATGCATCCCGGGGAGCCAGCGACCCAGGGTCAGCGTCTCCTTGCAGCTGGGGTGAGGATGAGCTCGGCAAGCACAGGAGAAGTGAAGTGGAGCCTGGTGGTTAGGTGGTGGTGGGGGAGGAGGGGGCTGTACTGGGCATCCCAGCCGAGGCAGGCACATTGCAGACTAGGGTGATGTGGACTCGCTGACGCGGCCCCATATCCCTGCTCGGGGGCAGATCATGAGGAGAGCTGGGGGTTGGAGTTGGGGCCGTGAGAGCCCTGCGTTTCCGGCACTCAGGGGAAATGGGGGTGGCCTGGGTGTTGGGCTCTCTCAGGGCCCAGGCGTGGGCCCAGGCCAGCTTGCAATGGAGCCATCACACAGAAACAGACACACTCAGGTAACAGAGAGGCACAGTTTTTACTGGACATGGTTTCCACACACTTACCTTCTCCAGACACCACTGGCCCTGTCTCAGCTGGCCCCTACCACCTTTCCCCAGATTCCAGGCCTCCTGTGCCTGGTCTCTGCCTTCCTGGCCATCTTACTGCAGACTCGGCCCGAGCGGCTCGGGGCCCGGGGCCCTGCACACAGGGGGCTCTCCGGGGCTCCTCACTCTGAGACTTGCCCTTCAGTGAACACGGGAGTCATGGAGCTACTCTGGGACTTGTGGGGCCTTAACCCGGGCTCCCGAGTTGACTTGGTTCGTGCTCTTCGCTTACGAGACCCCTTCAGGACTGAGGGGCTGTTACAGAAGCCAGATGTAGTGTGGCTTAGTCCCCATCGATGCAGGCCATGGTCACACACCCAGGAACCTGTCAACCAGCGGTCCTCAAGGGCACCTTCCACAGAAGTGGTGAGAAGAAACTTGCAGGCTTCCCTTGGGAATATATAATTTAGAAGGCCCTCCAAATGTGCATCTCATTGTATCAGACAGCGGCATGTCCATGTCAAGCTAGTCGGGTCTTCCGGATCCCTCATGGGAGAGTTAACTGGACCCCAGTCCTGTCGACTTGTCCGCTGGCAGCCTGGCAGCCTCTGGCTGGTTCAAGTGGGTAAACTCCCTCTGTGTGGTTTCTCTTAGTGAAGCTCCTCTGACAGGTGAACCTGCAGGTCTGCAGGCTCTGCATGGGCCTTCTTGTGGGGGTGCCCTCTAGGCACTGTCAGGGCACAACCGAAAAGGTGGCCAGGAGTTCTTGAGAAATGCATCTTAAATACTCATTTTAGTCCCAAAGATGAGGCTTAAGTATGTTGAAGAAGTCAGCATACTAGAAACCAATAATGCAGCTATTATTAATGTAAACTTCCTCCATAGCTGGTCTGAGTGATACTGTTTGTGGAGCCTCAGAACTCACTTTAAGGCCTGGTTTTAAAAACCATCCTTCATTGATAAGGGGATGAGTAAACTACACTTAAAAAAAAAAAAAAAACTAGGCCTGAATTTCTACTATTTGGTGATTTTTCTCCCCTATCAATATTTTCTTTCAGAACTTGTGCTCTGAGGAAATCTCACGAAGATGGCTGTGTAAAGAAAAGAGGAAAAGGGTTCCTAATCCCACTGATTTTCACAGTGCCTTTCCAGCAAGAAACTCTGAAGGCTCCCTGGGTCTCGTTGGCTGCAGCCCTGGACAGAGCTGCCCGCATGTAACGTTGTCACATACCTATCCTGTACCAGGCACGTGGCTGGAACATGGTATGCTGCCTTGCTCAGTTTGGCCCTGGTCCCTGACATGACAGAGCTCACAGGCTGGCTCACCAGGCTGAACCGGGATTTGAGCACTCAACATCCTGATACGTGCTGTGGGGCGAGGCTGGAGGGACAGCACCTGGCAGGTCCCAAGGGCTGTGCTGAGGGCTTATATCCACGTCAGGTGCTCTGTGCAAACACTAGATTTTCCAACTCTAGCTTCCTTCCCACTGCTATTTTCCCTAGGTGGCCAAAACCATAGTACGTGAGAGTGGTGGCTACTTTTGTGAAAACATTTAAATACCGCAATGACTTCTGTGTCACAGGACTTCCGAACTATTTCAGTTGTAGTCCGGTGAACTCCAGGGAGGCTGAGTCCCCAGAATGACTGAGTATATTCAAAGAAAAGAAAGAAAGTTTAGTTACTCAGTCGTGTCTGACTCTGCAACCCCATGGACTGTAGCCTACCAGGCTCCTCCGTCCATGGAATTTTCCAGGCAAGAGTACTGGAGTGGGTTGCCATTTCCTTCTCCAGAGGATATTCCCAATCCAGGGATCAAACTCGGGTCTCCCACATTGTAGGCAGACGCTTTACCATCTGAGCCACCAGGGAAGTCCTGAGTATATTCAAGGTTCAATCAAAATCTCCTAGCCTCGCTCAGCCTTTTGACCACCAGGGGGTGCTGCCGACTTACAAGACTGTGCCTTGCAGGCCATTCACCTTGAAGGTTTCCAAAGCAACAAGAACCACTGCAGAACATCAACGGGCACAGCAAGGAAGCTATTGGCGTCATGACCACTCCTGGGAGTGGGGAAAGTGACTCCAATGGAAAGGACTCTCTGGAACACTTTCTCCATGAAAGCCCTCCCTTCGTCTGTAACATCAGACACAAACCCCAGCGTGGGCCATCCCATCTATTCTGCGCCCCGTGCACCTACTACTGCACCTACCACATTTTGGGCCTCCCAGGTGGCTCAGTGGTAAAGAATCCGCCTGCCAATGCAGGAGACATGGGTTCAATCCCTGGTTGGCAAGATCCCCTGGAGAAGGAAATGGCAACCCACTCCAGTATTCTTGCCTGGGAAATCCCATGGACAAAGGAGCCAGGCGGGCTACAGTCCATGCGACTAAACAGTAACAAATTCAGTCTTCCTCTGTGACACTGGGTCTGGTCTTTATCTTCTCTTGCATGTAGGCCTGACACTTGCCGGACCCTTGGTTTTCTCCAGATGGGCCTGCACATAGATTGAATCGATGCTGTAGCCTAGAAGTGACTGCCCGCTCTTTCTTAACAGCCTCTGCTCTTATCACAGTACCCTGCTTTGGGCCAAGTTCTAGTTAACCTTGGAGAAGGAAATGGCAATCCACTCCAGTATTCTTGCCTGGAAAATCCCATGGACAGAGGAGCCTGGTGGGCTACAGTTCATGAGGTTGCAAGAATCAGACACGACTTGGTGACTAAACCGCCAACCACCACCTAGTTAACCATTTGGTTTACTTTTCTATCAGCCTTTCATTATATGATATTCTGGAGTTTGGCCATCATGATAGCTTATCTCCAGACAAGGGTACGATTGATGCCTTCTCTCCCTAGCACACACATGTCATCCTCACATCATGAGGTGCAGTCTTATTCTTTACCCTGCTATTTGGGTTGGCCTCAGTGATGGCATTAACTGACAGAATGTGGCAAAAAGGATGTTTTGGGACTTTCAAGGCTGGGGAGTAAGAAGCCCTGAAGCTTTTGCCTGGGTGTCTTGGAATGCTTGCTCTGGGCAAAGTCAGCTGCATGCTGTGAGAAGCTCAAGCGACAGAGAGGTCATACGTAGGGACTCAGGTTGACAGCCTCAGCTGAACTTCTGGCAGACAGGCACTGCTGACTGCCAGCCATGTGAGAAAGCTGTCTTGGATGTCCAGTTTAGTTGAGTCTTGAGATGACTCCAGCCCCTAGTGACATCTGACAGCAAGCTCATGGGGGACTGTAACTGAGAACTCACTCAGGAAGCCCTGTCAACCCACAAAACCACGTGAGATGATAATAAATTGTTTCAAGTCACTAAGGTTTGGTGGGCGGTTTTACAGGACAGGGAAGCCTGGTGGGCTGCAGTGCACAGGGTCACAGAGAGTCAGACATGACTTAGTAACTGAACAACAACAACAATTGATAACCAAGTCATCTGAAATAAAGATTACTTCCAACAGGGAGAACATAACTTCTCTCTATTCAACTCTGATCATGCAAGAACAATGCCCCCTTCTCACTGAGCACTCGTAAAAGCTTGATGAGTGAATACACCAGTAAACAATTAGCTGGAAGGACAAAGGTGGTACCAGCCAGCCTGTGAGGTCCCTGATGGCATCTTTGTCCTCTCCAGGGCACCGAGTACCGGGCACTGCCTAGAGGAAGTATCTGAGCACTCAGAGTGGAAGTGAGGTACAATGCTCACCCCTCGCTGCCTTTGTTTTTTTAATCAACAATCATGGGTCAGAGATCTGACTTCAGCAACAATACCCAGATGAAGACTTAGATGTGGCTGAGTATATCTGAGACAGTGTTCAGGTTAGGAAAGAACCCACACAATAGATTAGATTACAAAATCTGATTCTGCAGCTTTGTTCAGGAGCTCTCACTAGACACTGCAAATGCTAACCTGCACTAGAGCAGTCACAGCCTATTTCTCAGGGTTTCCTTCCTCAAACCACCTTTTCATGTGCCTTCTTTACCAATACAAATCACCATCCCTTCTCTATGTCTGCAGCCCTCACATACTGACACATCTTACAGGTGTACCATTGGGTGGGTCATTTCTCATCTTTCACACTAGAAATGCCTGCTCCCAGATGCTGGCTCCCCTTTTATAGCACCTTAGTCCACGCTGGGAAGGCAGTCATCAAAGTGGAATGGGCACCGGACTGGGGGCTTGCGAGTGTAAAGACTCAAAGCTCCAAATTCTACTTGGCCACCAACTGATGGGATGGACTTAAGTCCCCCATCGGACCTGTTTTCTTCCACAGGAAATGAGGGGCTGGGCCAGTGTTGGGGAAAGTCTGTAACTGCTCTTGTTGTGACCTCAACCCTCCTTCTGCTGTCTGTTGAGGTTTTTCCCAATGGCCCCACTGGCCACTGCATCTCTCTCTTCATCACTCCTACTGTGGGTCATGGATGACTCAGGTGATAAAGAATCTGCCTGCAATGCAGGAGATTCAGGTTTGATCCCTGGGTAAGGAAGATCCCCTGGAGAGGGGAATGGCAATCCACTCCAGTATTCTTGCCTGGAGAATTCCATGGACAGAGGAGCCTGGGAGGCTACAGTCCATGGGGCTGCAAAAAGTCAGACACAACTAAGCAATTTCTTTTCATTCAGGTTTGTGTGCTTTGAAAGAAGAGGTTGTTTTTTTTTTTTCCCTAATGATCATCTATGTCAAACATCTGTGTTATTTCCCTGTCTTCATAATATTGAGAAGAACAGACTCCATTTGTCTGAAGCCTGGAAGCAAGAGCCGGTAGCTGGCTACTGCCGCTGTGCTACACAGTCCACCCCGGGGGCACCAGGTCTTAGTCACCACAGCTAATTTCCATTCCACTGCAAGTAGCTCTATCTAAAAGGACAGAGGACCAAACTTGACTGCAGGAACTAGAGTCGGAAAAAGCTGCTGCCTCTCAGAGAACAGTATTTATTCAATTGAATAAGAAATCAAGCAATAATAACAAGTAGCCTTTTACAGAGCCATCTCTCCTGATTCAGCCTTTCCCAGCTGAACAAAGTTTTTTTGGCTGCTGCTACCACTTAGAATAATGTTTTCCAGGCTTAATTTTAGTCTTCACACTTAGTTTTCATACCTTTTCATCATGTTTGATCACTCAAGACAAAACTCACTTTTGCCTTAACTTTGTGCTCTATCCTCATAAACACTCCAGTGAGAAAGAGCTGCGCCTTCTCCTGGGCTGTGTGTCCTCTTACTGAAGTGGAGATGTGTTGTCTGGCCACCTCACTGCAGCACAGCTGCAGCCACTGCCCCAAGCAGGGTCTGAAGCCAGAGAAAAAAATATGGAGGTAAGAGCCCTTGAGTCCCTGATGCTAAAAGCATAGGTGAGCACTCACTAAGTCACAGGGCCGCTTTCAAAGACATAGCCACAGGTGAGAGGAGGACAAGGGGCGCCCATGAGGCTCTCTCCTCTCCCTTCTGCGAGCAGCGCCCTGCCGTCCTTACCTCGGGCACTGGAAGGGGCAGAGGTAATCATCTGGGATGGTGCTGAGTGAGTGGAACTCAGGCTGGAGGAAGAAGGGCTTGCCTGGGACGAGGACAGAACAGAGACGTTGGTGACTGAGCCCTGGTACCTGGGGTTGGGATACGCGAGCTGCAAAGGGAGAAAAATTAGCAGGATAGAGGTCCAAACGGCCAGGATGGTAGGACTGGCCCAGAGTTGGCTTCTTCATGCCACCAGGTGCCCAGACCCAGTGTCTGATGCTGTACCCTTGCCCTGATGAAGGCCAGGCTGATAGCCAGCACTAGGGGTCAACTATAACTCCGATGGAACAGGGCTGCTGGGTAGACTTTAGCGATGGTACCCACGGAGGAGACTGGACTGAGCCATCAGGAATGCCAGGCAGGAGGGCAATTTGGCAGAGGAGCTTTCCCATGGGATCTCTAAGAGCAGCCAGGACTGAAGGAAGAGTTCCTTCTTGGGAAATAAGGCCTGGGAAGTGTGACACGGGGAGGTGTGGAGGGAAGGCTATTCTGCTAGCTCTGGGTATTCTGAATTCAGAAACTGGAGAACTAGGCAGCAACGCCAGTCCTCAGGCCAGACTAGCCAGCAGAGAGCTGAGTCCTCCGGGTATGGTGCCCTGGCCCGTTCTTCCTGGACCGCGCTGGTACCTGCATGTGGTGGTACAGGTCTTCAGGAGCCTCGCCCATGGAGCTGTCGCCCAGCATCACCACGTTCCCAGCTTCGCTAGATGCATGTGAGGAGAGGGAGGACGATGAATGGCGGCCGGTGCCCATCAAGTTCATGGGGCTGCGGACAAGAGTGGGAGATGGTCAGGAGTCAGGGCTGGAGCTGAGATGCTTTGCTAGGCAGTGGGGGCAAGAGTCATGGATGGGTGTGTGTAAAACAGTCATCCCCAAGCCTCAGCCTCTCTGGATGGGAAGGTTCCACAGCCAATTTTCATACCTGTCTGAGGCCTGGAGCCGTCCTGAACCCCACCCTGCTGCTCAGGGGCCCCTGGTGTGGGAGGGCCAACAGTAGCCAGGCAGAGCCTTGACCTAGAGTTAAATGGTTTGTGGCCACTCAGTCTGATGATGTCAGCAGTGTCTCAGGAGGAATGAAGGAGACAAACTGAATCAGGTGAAGGACCCCAGGTCTTCCTAGCCACGGGCTGTGTACTTAAGCCGGCACCCACTCTGCACTGGGATCTGCTCCCAGCTCAGGGTGTCTTCCTGACTTGGGGAAGCTGTCACAGGAGCTGCCTGTGAACCATCTGCTGGCATCCTTCCATGGCTGTGGCCACAGGCTTGCCAGCAGTTCTTTTCTGTCAATTCTAAGCAGCTCCCCCCATTCATTTGCTCCTTCTCATTTGCTGAGTGCCCACCCTGTGCTGACTTCCTGGTCACAGTGGAAAACAAATCCCAGTGAGGGCCCCTCTCCAGGTTTTTCGCTTGCCTGGCCTTCCTGCCCTGGCGACCTGGAGCCTCCCCTGCAGAGCCCCGGTAACAGGTCTGCTGAGTGCAGAGCAGACACACCTTGAGGCCTTCACCACCATGCTGTTCTTTCTGAAAGCCAACTGGGGATCCTCGCTCCCCTGGGATCAGGTCCCAAGGCCAGAGTGAACAGGGCCCATCCAGAGAAATCCTGGCCCCCTTCCAGGCCCTGGAATCCTGCACTGTAGCCACTTGGCTCTACCTGCAGTACTGACCACACTGGCCTGCATGAGAATCTTGAGGCATTTGCACATGTTCGTGACTTTGCCTGGATCTTGCTCCGTCATCTTCCTAACACCAGTTCTTTTCCACCCAGCAAACTTCTACTCACCCCTCAGGACTCACCCTGATGCCCATGTATACTCCTCTGTCACCATGGATGACCAGATGTGGAGTGCAGATCCTGTGGCAGGAGCTGTGTGTTTTCTGTGCGTGTGGGGGAGGGGGCATGTGAGTGCACACAATCAGTGTTCTGGACGCCCTTGCTCTGACCTCTGACGTCCAGACTTACCTTTGTGGAGGGGACCCTCCTCAGCCCTAAGGCCATACCTGTGCCGATGGGTCATCTTGATGTTCTCTGGGCTCATGGGGCTATGGGATGCTAGGACATTTCCCCGTGGGGTGCTGGTGCCCGAACATGCAGGACTTAGCTTGTCCAAACCCGGAAACTCCTGTTGAGACATGAGTGCCCCTTCATAATAAATAATTGGGAATAAATAAGTAATTGGTAGCTCAGATGTTAAAGAATCTGCCTGCAATGCAGGAAACTCAGGTGCGATCCCCGGCTCGGGAAGATCCCCTGGAGAAGGGAATGGCAACCCACTCCAGTATTCTCACTTGGAGAATCCCATGGAGAGAGGAGCCTCGTGGGCTACAGTCTATGGGGTTACAAAGAGTCAGACACGACTGAGTGACTAACAGTTTCACTTCACTTTTTTTCCCCCCAAGTAATTAAGGGGTAAAAGAGAAGAGGCAGGCTGGTAGCAGGAATATAAAAGAAAAAAAGAATCATATGCTATTGGCTGAACCTTAAACTCCTGCCTTCTTTTGGGCAGTCACCCTGCCATGACTAAAGTACCCTCCTAACCACAACACAGCCTAGACCAGAGGCCATGAGGCCTAAGTGGACCCTTGAGAGCACATATGGAGTAGGCTGTGGAGTTGGTCTGAGTTCATAAAATGTATTAACAGGCTTTTTCACTGGAGAAAAAGTGGAAGAAGAGCTGGGGAACAGGAGAGAAAGAGCTGGTGATCACCCGTCAGGCAGTGGGCACCTCTGACATAAGGACTGGAGTTTTACTGGACTGCTAAATGGCCCCACTCTTAGTGACCTTGGTTAAGCTGTCTGTGACACAGTCTGTGGGGTGTCAGGACACAAAATCCTGATGCAGATAACTGAAAAACAGCACGCTTCTATTTTAGCATAATTAAATTAAGTACGTAGACATCTTGGCAGAAACTTTTGGTCCCAAATTCTCCTGGGGGACAGCACATTGCTTTGTGTCACTATCTGCAACTCTGAGGAAACAAAACACAACTGCTCGTGTTTCCAGAAGCCCTTCACAATCTGTGGTTCCTACATCTATTGGGGATGTTTCTGAGCTTGGTCTGAAAAAAGCAGTAAGTTTTCCACCTGCTTCTTCCAAAGCATGTAGAAGGTGGAAATGTGCTTTTGCTGGACAGGACACTTCCATGTGTGCTGTGGAGACCCTGAGACACGTGAGTGAGCGTTCTGTGCTTTTTCCTGCAGTGACCTGACAGCCTGCACACTAGGGAGTTCCCAGTCCCCCAGGGGCCAGGCTCTAGCTTGCCTGAGTCACCTGCTGTGATGGGGAGTTCACATACAGAGACCAGAGGTGTGAGCTCAAGACTACCTAGGGACATCCCCGATGGTCCGTGGTTGAGAATCTGCTTTGCAGTGCAGGGGACATGAGTTCTAGCCCTGGTCTGGGAACTAAGATCCCAAATGCTGCAGAGCCACTAAGCCTGCGCAGGCATCTACTGAGCCCTATGATCTCTGAAGCTTGCATGCCACAACTAGACGGTCGATGTGCTGCAATGAAGGATCCCACATGATGCACTGCAACAGAGATCCCACATGCTGCAACCAAGACCCAACTCAGCCAAAGGGGGGAAAAAAAGACCACCTGAACCCTACCCTCAGACAGCTAGCGCTCCCTGTAAGACCCCTGGAGGAAAACCAGTCTTGGATACAGGCCTTGCTTCTGCTCGTGTGCATCAGTCCTTGGGTCAAACCCTGCCAGGGAGACTGAGGAGCCAGGTCAGAGTCAGGGAGATCTTCTAGGGCCAGGGCCAGCCCCAGGATCTGCCTGGGCCCTCAAAGAGAAGCCAGTACAAAAGTACTGCCACCCCAGGCTTTCTCAGGTGGGAGCCTGGATCACCAGACAGGAGGAAGAGGGAGGGAGGGGAAGCAGGGAGCTAAAGGGGAAGGGGATGGAGAGGGAGGGAGATGGACGAGAGAAGGCTGGTCCGGCTAAGCCTTACTTCTGTAGGTTCCTGGGATGAAAAGTATCCCTGAAGGGATTCCTGTATGTGGGCCATACACTTTAGCTCTTTTCCTCCTCATGTGAAAACCGCTGTTCACCAGCACAGTGCATTGAAAAACACGTTTTCTGTCCTGAATATGGCTCCTCCTTAAGGGGAAAGTGGATAAGGGGGTTCTTGGCATTTTTCTCCTGGCTCGACCACCCGCCCCTGCCTCATGCTGTTCTGTGGCGGAAACAGATCTTCCTTCAGTCTTGCTTCTCCCCACTCCCTTCCCCACCCCTTTCTTCTGATTTGCTGCACAGGTCCCAGGCCTGGAGGAGGTGACACTGGTTAGACTGTAGCGGGGCCAGGACAGGGCTCAGCTTACATGGTAGAGACTGGCCCGCATCATCTGGAACTGATCAATCAGCTTCTTATGCAGAGGGCGCATTTCTGGGTGCACAAATTTCTCATGAACTGCCAGCCCAACTCCAAGGACATGGACCTATCAGGGTGATAAACAAGGCCATGCTGTTAGCTCGGGAGCAGATGATGGGTGCTGCAGCTACCCTGTAGTGCCTCCACACAACTCTGGCAAGGCATACCTGCTCCTGCATGAGCTCCTTGAGCTGAGTTATCTTCTCAGCATCTCCTGGGTGCTTGGTGATGTAATCTTTATCAAAGAAGGCCTGTGAAAGAAAAGGCCAAGTCCAGAAGACTTCCCAGGGTGACCACTCAGTCTGAGGTGCCACCTGGAAGGCATCTGGGCTGCCTAACAGGGGCACACACCAGCGCGCCTCTAGCACGGCCTGCTGAACCTCTTGAAATCACATGTGTGCTTTTTACATCTAAGGAGGACTGAAGGTGGCCAAGTAATCTAAGCCTGAATGCTGGTCCCAACTGGCTTGGGCAGGGCAGGCAGGGCTGGTGGCCAGGATGAGGGGGTTAGTCTCCCAGCCAGGCCACAACTCGTTCCTTGTCAAAGGCTGGGCTCTAGGGCTCCTTCCATGATCAGATGGATTACCCATTCTGTCAAGAGTTCAGAGAATAAAAGGGAAGAAACGTTCCCACGGGAGAGCTGTAGTCATGGAGACAGGGAACGACGGGGAGCCTAAAGCCTCACCCCTGGTGGCTCAGACAGGAAAGAATCCACCTGCAATGCAGGAGACCCAGTTCAGTCCCTCGGTCAGGAAGATCCCCTGGAGGAGGGAATGGCTACCCACCCCAGTATTCTTGCCTGGAAAATCCCATGGACAGAGGAGCCTGGGAGGTTATATTCTACGGGTCGCAAAGAATCGGACACGACTGAGTGGCTAACACATACTATTCAGGACCATGCTCGGTCAGCCAAGGCACAGCCGGCGAGCGTGTGCTGGGAAGGCTGTTCTAAGAGGCTGAACCTCGGGAAGAGGCACTGAGACCCATGTCCCTGGTCGGTCTGGCTGGGCCAGCTTACCTCCTGGTAGCGTGCAATGCCTCCGTTGACGGCAGCGTCAATGACGCCGTTCAGGCACATGCTTAGCAGGTTGATGTTGCCGTGCACTTGCTTGTGCTGATACTGGCTGATCAAGGCCCGCAGCTCCTGGTTCTTGTTCTCAACCACTTGGATGGCATTCTCCAGGGGGCTCACCTCCACCTGGGGGCACACAGCACGTGGTGTCAGCCCAGGCCCAATGACAATCCCTCCCTCCTCATAGGCCTGACAGCAAGGGGCTGTGACCCGTGCCGCTGAGTCCCCACTCTGGTTCCTGTGGACCTGAGGCTCCCTGGGCCCTTTCTAATTTCCTCTTCTGATCTGTAGGCACTCGGAAGTACAGTGAATACTAAACAACATCAGTTCTGAATGCAGAGGTCTCTGGCTTCCTGAGCTTCAGGGAATAGTTTCTGCATTTGTAAACTGGGGGAACAAAAATGCCTGCTGCCTAGGGGTGTTGCGGAGATTAAAGGAGAGAAGGAAGGTGAGCAAAGCCTCCAGCACTGGACTGCCTGTGGCTCCCCGGCCAGGCAGCAGGTGGCTAAGAACTCCTTCTCTTTTCTTCCTTAGAGAATGGCCCCCCAAGTAAGGAACTGAGGAAGCACTGTTAAACTAGCCCCTCTGAATCGCATCTCACCAGCTCCCTCCTCTCCACTTCAAACCACCGAGAGATGCCCGGCAAGCTGTGGGTCAGGGTCAGCGTGGTGCGCTCGATCCACAGGCTCTGCGGGGAGGGTACAGGCAGGTTCAGGCCACGAGGCGATTCTTCCCACACCCCACCTGCCCCCAGGAGAGTCACTGATGAGCTCCCAAGAAAGCGGGGCCGGCCCCAGCCTCGCTGTGAGCACTGACCCCGCTCCCCTAGATGCACTCACCTTGAATTCATTCTCCTTGTCCTTGGGGCCTTTGTGGAAAGGCCGGTCATACCGGAACCTCCTGACGTTGTTGACACGGTAGAAGCTCTTGACACGGTCTGGGACCCTGTCCATCTGCAGGACGTCCACATACTCTGGGATGGGCGTCACTGCATAGATCTGTAGGTCTGGGCAGGAGGTGAAGGGAAACTGGACGTGAAAGAGAGACGGACCAGAGTGGCTGACCCATCACCCCTGCCAAGGGAAAGGAGACCAGCAGAGCCCTTCAAAGGGGCAGCAGCAGCATTTCAAAGAGCAGAAGGGACCAAACACAATTCGGCTGACTCTGCCTTTCCAGCCCCGCCCTGCTCCAGCAGTGAGTGCCCCAAGCCCTCAGCCAAGGTGAGGTATCAGCAGGCAGGGGTCCCCCAGTGCCCCTTTAAGAAGGAAGGAAAAGGGGTCAGGAAGATACCCCATAGGAATGAAAAAGGTGCAAGGGCCTAGGCCGGCCCACTGCAGGTAAACTACACAGTATTCACTGCCAAACAACATTTTAACAAGATACTCTTTGGGATCTTTGTGGAGAGTGAACATGGGCGTCTGCCTACCCTCCTCTCTCTGGGACTAGCTTGCCACAGCCACAGTGACTGTCATGGAAGTTGAGTGCTGGGAAGGAGGGGCAGGCCAGTGTTTGCATTCAGAATTCCAAGTACCCCCAAGAACACAGGAATTCCCCATCTTCCTCTCTACTCCGTCCGCCCCAACCCGTGCCTCAGTCCTGACAAAGGCTCGGGGTATCAACAGACACACGTGGGGGTGCAGCAGGGGATGGAAGTGGAGCGTCCCTGTGGACACTGGGAGAATCCATAGAGTCTGCGGCTGGGTGCCAGGAGACTCTTCATGGGCGGGGTGGGGACTAAGGTACCAGCAGTAGCTCACCAGAGGGAAAAAAGCTAGCTGATGACCAGGCCCCCCAGGGCTAAGGGCAAGCCCCTGCATCCTCTGTGAGGCTCAAGTGCCCCTTTAAGGGTCAGTGAGTGATGTGGACACACTCTGCTTTGGGACTTGGTGGGTAACCTGGCCACCAGCAGCCAACAGCGTCATAGCGGGGCAGTCAACTGGGTGGGCCTCCCCTCCCACGGTCCCAGCCCTCCTCCCCTCCATGGGTCAAAAGATACACTGGGCGTCACACTGCAGGATGGCGTCATCAGGGTGGTTGGGGTGCTGCATGGCAACGGCCTGCGGGAACTCGCTGAGCATCCTCTGCTGGAAGGCCTCCAGCCTCTCGTAGTCGTGGCCCCGGCACACATACTCTTTGTTCTGCCACAAAGGGGAGAGCACATGCCATGCCTTGCCTGCAGCCGCCCACCCTCAGCTCCTCAACCTGGGAGCCCCTGGGGCAGGCCTGGGGCAGAGCACGTTGCCCGCTACTCTGCCCTAAAGGAAAGCACGGTCAAGAAGGGTGAAGGACAGCAGTGGTGTGGCGGCGGCTGGCGTGGGAGCTGCAGGAAGCTCGTGGGCGGGCAGGGCTTTTCACACGGGAAGGGCCGCTAGTGGGGGGACGGGGGTGGGACTGTGGAAAACAGCCACGCCTGGAGACAGTCCTGGAAGGTCCACCTGGGCCACCCAGCGGAGTAGAGAAGTGGGGTCAATCTATGTGCATACAGTGACAACCAGGGCAACAAGCCAAGACAGGAAAAGGCACGGCTAGAAGGAAGGTGCTTGTGGAGCACTGGTGGGAGGCAACGAAGGGGCTGCTGCTGTGTGTCCACGAGTACCGCTATGGGAGCCACCAGATAATTGACAACAGGAAGGTGGTAAGATGTGTGCTTTTGTAGGATGACTTTTGTCAGCTGAGAGAAGCAGTCTAAATGCTGCCCAGCGCCTCGTGGGCACTTACCAACTCCTCTAGCAGCAATTCCTCTGCAACTGGGTCCGCAGACCATCATTCCAACTACACACTTCTTAAGACTTCACGTTATGCCATGTTGGGTTTGGGTTGGGTCTCGGTTTTCCTCTCTGGGGACTGAGGGCACCCTGACCCTACTGCTCTGCCTGCCTCACGGCTGGGCCAGAGTGTGTGGCTGGAGGCGCTCCTCAGAAGCCCTCTGGTGACCTCTGTCCGCCTGACCAGATTCACTCTGACAGTGGTGCTAGGCATTTACGTGTCTTCAGAGGGAGGAAGAGAGAGGTTCCACAGGGCCAGCCCTATGCTTCCTGGTAGGGGGGTCACCACAGGCTAGGCTGTGGGTGACCTCAGCCTTTTTTAAAAGCAAGTTTTTTATTTTGTATTGGAGTATAGCCAACCAACAATGTTGTGATAGTTTCAGGCGAACAGTGGAGGCACCCAGCCATACATACACACACATCCGTTCTCCCCCAACCTCCCCTCCCATCCAGGCTGCCACATAACATTGAGCAGAGTCCCTGTGCTATACAGTACAACATCAATCTTTCTGGAATAGGATTTCTGCCCACTTTTCACTTCTTCTCTTACTATGGGAGAATTCAGGTAAGGTTTGGCCACATGTCCAGATGGATCAGAATGCAAGGGCAACAGTGGAAGGGAAGTCAAGGTCAGGGGAAGCAGGCTGACCTCCCCAGTGGAACAGATCAGTAGTCAGAGGACAGAGACATTTACAAGCTCCCTGCTTGATAAGCAGAACTGACAAAGAAGGTTAATTGTGAAGAACTGGCCTTTTCATGCAAAATGTACAATCCTCATCAGTGTCTGTTCATGGGTAAAATGAAAAGAAAAAGAAACTCCCCCAAGACGGTAGGGCTGGATGTTTTCCTGTCTCCATGCAGATTAGCGGATAATCACATTTGTGAAGCAACACAGGCAGATGGTCCAGAGGACTCAAGCTGACAGAGCTGGAGCAATAAACGGCCTCTGTGCTCAGGGAAGGTCAAAGAGCAGCCTAGTGCTCTGGGGAGGACCCAGCAGGAGAAGGGCACAGTACATTGACCTTGAGGCTAGCTGTTGGTTTCCAGTCTGCTCAGGCGAGAGTCCCGGCAGCCCTGCGTAGTACGGATCTGGCTGCCACTGCTTTCCCCTCTGTCCTTGCCATTTACAAGGCAAACGGCTACCTCTGCTGGCCTTATTCCATTTGCTGCAGCTGAACTGAGCAACTGAGGGGGGCAGGGGGACAGCACGCGGCCAGGCCAAGCAGACCCGTACGCCTGAAACATAGCTCCTGCTGTGGAGATGAGGATGGACTGACAGGTGATGTTTCTCGGTTATTCTTCCTCTATCACTGGCACCCTTGAAACCATGTTTGAATATTTAGACTGTAACTGGCTCAGATGCAGGTTTATGCCAGGTCCTACCTGTCAGAAAGCTCTCAGAACCCTGAGACACTGATGCTCCCTGTGACGTGAGCATGGGGGGTGGGAGCCAGGTGGAACCATGGTGGAGACTTGCTGCTTGACAGGGACAAAAATGGGGTACACCAGTGCTTGATTTTTGTAAGAGCCAAAAGAACGATGCTTTGGAGTAAAATCTAGTTGATGACGTACAAATCATGGGACTAAACAAGGAGAGTAAAATGACAATAAAACATAACTTACAAAGATAAAATGAGAAAGAAGTTAGTTACAAGGCTAGAATCATTAGCTTACCAAAGGACTTTCTAGAGATGTTTTTGGTTCTAAGAAAGAGTCAGTCACTCAGTCGTGCCCGATTCTTTGCGATCCCATGGACTGTAGCCCACCAGGCTCCTGTGTCCATGGAATTCTCCAGGCAAGAACACTGGAGTCGGAAGCCATTCCCTTCTCCAGGGGATCTTCCTGACCCAGGGATTCTTGCACTATTCCTTCTTCTGCTGACCTCTACCCTCACTGCTGTATGATCTATGTAGATGGGGGCAACAAACATGCCCCGTCTGATAAGCCTGGGCTGGATGGTCCTAGAGAGTGAAGGAGGTCCAGCAGCTCGTGGAGCCTCTACTGAGGCACGTTCTGCTACTAGCAACCCTTCTGTGGAACAGAATTTGAGCCTTCTGGGGATCACAGTCAGGCAGGGTGTATTTGCTGTCCTTGTCACTATCACTAGTTTCCTACAGAAATCATTTTTCTTCTTAGCCTAGAATAATTACTGCCCAGGAAATGTGCATGTTGACCTGCATTACATCCAAAATGCAGTCAGCCTGGACTCTGTTGCTTAGCAGGCTGGCTTCTTTTTAAAAGAAGCCATTAAGCTCTGTTGACCTTCAATGAGATAACAAGCTTATTATTGCTCATTGGCTAAAGCAATTTCTCCAGTAAGATAGGATCCCAAGAACATCAAAGGAATCCTATGAATTTTCCTAGCAGCTTCCTGAGACTTGTGGACACTGAACCTTAGTATGATATTGGAGCTTAGGACAATCAGAGCTAATCTTAGGTCTCAACTGCAGCCTCTGAGTCCTTCCATCAGCACGGCTTCATTTAGGTCATCTGAGGATAGCTACTTGTGGGTTATAGCCTACAAGCCCAGGCTGACTCCTCCGGGAGCCCCTGGATTGTGCTAAATAAATACAAAAAACAATCACAACTGTTCAACTGGTGTCAGTACTTCTGTGCTCAGGCAATCCTTCCACTCTCTTTATATCCCTGCCCAGCCTTTCCAGCAGTGGTGGAACAAAATGGCTGTAGTCACCATGGGCCAGAGAACTGGCTGCCTTGGAAAGGCCTTCTTCCCCAGCCAAACCCAATGTTTGGTTTGCTCCACAAACCCCAGGAGCAAAAGGGATTATCCTCAGAGATCTCTCAACTCAGTGATTCTCCACCCTGACTGTGAAGCCTACTGTTGAGGTCAAGGTTGCACTGATATCCGGTGTGGCAGAGAATAGTCACAACAGAGGATTCCAGGCCCTGGAAACAGAAGGTGGAAGGTTTCTAAACATTATCTACGGGATAGTCTCAAACCCTGGTCATTTTCTGCAGGATCCTTGTTGATTTGGTAAGAAAGCCACCCTCGTATATTCCAGGTGGCTGCAAAACAGTTTAACTGCAAAGAGAAAGACAGTCTAAAGTTGGCAGCCAGTTCAGTCAAATAAAGCCAAACACTCTCATCAGTCCTTCGTAAGGAACTATTCAGTGCAATAGGAAAAGGTTAAAAAAGAAAAAAAAAAAACAGATTAGAAATTACGTGTAAAATATGATAGAAGCTCTTGTGACTACCTGAATGGACTCACCCGAAGGAAGAAAGGAAACTTCCGGCCATAGAATCCGACCCGGAAGAACTCGGGCTCCAGGCGCTGCTGCTCCATGATGTTGTCGTAGTAGCTGGCCTCCATTTTCTGTGAACGAGAAAGGCAGTTGCCTGCAGGTTGGCTTGATGCTAGTGGTGTGTCCAAAGCAAGTTCTCCCAGGCCTAAGCAGACACTGCCTTTTGGAAAGAGAACGTGATGATTCAGTCTAGATAAAAAGTGAGCACCTAGCCACGATCAACCCCTCGCCAGGGAGCTGCCGGATGGAAAGGAAACCTCCCCTCCCCATCATCACCTGGAGGTGGGCCAGCCCCAAGAGGCTGCGTGGACTCTCCTGTCCAGTGAGTGGACCCAGCCCCACACAGGCTCAGGCTTCCTGTACTTTCAGGGGCACACGTTTAACATGGACTTCCTCTTTTTTCTTCAGGGATTTCTGGTTTTGATGATACCCACTACACCAACTGACAATAAGTGTTGCCTATAGGTGACACCATCAGTCCAACTGCATTGCTTTAGTTCATTTACCATCTGACTCAAGATGCTAACAAAATGAGGAAGGCTTAGTTACCAGAGTCACTGTACTGGTCCCAATTTCGGAGATTTTAAACTTTAAAAGTGGAACTACTATCCATGATGTCTGGCATTACCAAGGTTGGTAAGTTTTTTAGTTTTAGCTGACCTGGCTTCAGATTCAGAAAAACTCACTGAAATTTGACTGAGATGTCCCTGATGCATTCAATCAAGCCAGCCTGCCAGGGAGCCCTGACCTTCAAAGACCAGAGCAAAAGTTTCCTGGTGTAGAACCTCATCTATTCTACAGAGCCTGATCAGGGTCAGGGAACCATTGACAAGGGTGCAGGAGGCAGATGAACTGAGATTCCTGACTTCTCTTTGCCAAAGACTTAACCAGCTGTTATGATTCAAAACCCAGCACCGGAAACAAGGAAAAATTTGGTAGAGACCTTCAAAATCCATTTCACTTAGTTTTGAATATTTCGCATCAAAGAAGGGAAGAACTTTCTCCACTTGGGTGCCTAGGAGTGACCACAAGCCAAGCCAGGGAGGCACTAAGATGAGGCATATCTGAACGGAATCATTTCTGGAGAAGCCTCTTCATGCAGCTGGGCTGCCGTCGCCTCCGTGAACCACCCCTGTCCTATCCTGCGTGTGCTGCCGCCTCCTCCTTAAGCACCAGTGGCCCCTGGGGTCTGGATCACGCAGGCATCTGTCAGGTGTGTGCTCTGCGTCTTGAGAGCAGGAACCTTGGCTTCTGCTTCTCCTGCACTGTCCACAGCACGCAACCCAGTGCTGAGGTGCTCAGTCAGTGCTCCCTTAGAAGCTGATGCGAAGCTCACCCGAATCCAGCTGAGGCTCTGATAGTCGTAGAGGCTCTCATACTGACACGCCAGTTCCCTGCACAGTGGGATCCCGAACTCCCAACTCTGCAACAGAAACAGGAACAAGGCTTTAGCACCGCAGGCATGCTCAGAAAGGTCCAAGCCTTGCCAAACATATCAGAAGGCACAACTAAAGGCCTCCTGCAACTCATATGTCATGAAGAACACATGCTCAAAACCGATTTGTGCAGGACACACAGAATTATGACACTCAGGCTCAGTGCATAGCTCTCAGGTTTTTACTCAAATGTTTCCACCTCCAAGAGGCCTCTCTATGACTACCTCGTCAAGGACAAGCACCCACCCTATCTATTCTCCTTTCATTACTCTGAAGCCATCTTCTTTAAAAAAGCATTTGCTTTTAAAAATTGAAATATGGTTGATTTACAATACTGTGTTAGTTTCAGGTATACAGTAAAGTGATCCAGTTGTATAAATAAGACTATATACACACATATAAACACATACACACACACATATATATTGTCCTTTTTAGACTCCACTATAGATTATTGTAAGATATTGAATGTAGTTCTCTGTGCTATTCAGTAGGTCTTTGCTGTTTATCTATTTTATATATAGTACTGTATATCTGTTAATCCCAAACTCCTAATTTACCCCTCATCCACCCTTTCCTCTTTGCTAACAATAAGTTTGTTTTCTATGTCTGTGAGTCTGTTTCTGTTCTATAAATAAGTTCATCTGTGTAATTTTTTAGATTCCACATGTAAGTGATATCATATAATATGTCTTTCTCTGACTTGTTTCACCTAGTGTGACAATCACTAGGTTCATCCATGTTGCTGCAAATGGTGGTATTTCATTCTTTTTAATGGCTTAGTAATAGTCCACTGCATATGCATGTATACACACACCCCACACACATCTTTATCCATTCATATACTGATGAACACTTTGGTCAGTTCAGTCCAGTACCTCAGTTATGTCCGACTCTCTGTGATGAACATTTAGGTCGCTTCTATGCCTTGGCTATTGTAAACAGTGCTGATGTCAACATTAGGTGCATGTATCTTTTTGGTTTTGAGTTATTTTCTTTTTTGGATATATGCCCAGGAGTGGGACTGCTGGATCATGTAACTAAAATGTACTTTGTCTTCAGTTTTTTAAGGAACCTCCATATTGTTCTCCATACTGGCTGCACCAAGAGTGTAGGAGGGTTCCCTTTATCCACACCCTCTCCAGAATTTACTATTTGTAGATTTTCTGATGATGGTCATTCTCACCAGTGTGAGGTGATACCCATCGTACATTAAGTTGTGGTTTGCCTCTTTTAATAACTAGTGACATTAAACATCTTTTCATGTGCCTGTTGGCTATCTGTATGTTTCTTTTGGAGAAATGTCTATTTAGGTCTTCTGAGCATTTTCTGATTGGGCTGTTTGCTTTTTTGATATTGAGCTCTAATGAACTGTTTGTATACTTTGGAAATTAAGTGCCTGTCAGTTGCATAGTTTGAAATACTTTCTGCCAGTCCATAGGCTGTCTTTCTGTTTTGTTTATGGCTTCCTTTCCTGTGCAAAAGCTTCTAAGTTTGATTAGGCCCTATCTATTTCTGCTTTTATTTCTTTTGCTCGAGAGACTGAATGAAGAAAACATTGCTACAGTTTATGTCAGAGAATATTTTGCCTATATTCTCTTCTAGGAGCTTTATGCTGTCACGTCTTACATTTAAATCTTTAAGCCATTTTGAGTGTATTTTTGTGAGGGAGGGTTCCAACTTCATTGGTCCCCATGTGGCTATCAAGCTTCCCCAACACCAAATTGCCAAAGAGACTGTCTTTTCTTCATTGTATATTCTTGCCTCCTTTGTCAAAGATTAATTGACTGTTGGTATATGGGTTTATTTCTGGGCTAAGAAGTATTTATTTTTATGTTGTACTAGTCATAATCAGATGAAAAGCTGCATGAGGGCAAGGATTCTGTTTATATTCCTTATCTTCAGAGCCTAGAACCAGGCCAGGCATGAACGGGTACTCAATGAAGATTTATTTAATGAGTTAATGAAGAAAATAATGATTCTTAAGTTAAGATGATTTAAGCTTAGAAAGAAGTATGGAAGCTAAGAAGGAAGTAGCTACCCAAGGACTTGGCAGTAGATCTGACAATTTCCTTTAAAGAAATATTCCACTCTTAGAGGAGGCTTCAGATAATCCTTGTCTAATCAGGTCTCAGGCTGTTTCTGTGGTGTGGCTCCTGTTATGGTGGCAGGCCCATCGAATGGCAGCTTTCACCAAGGGGCAATACTGTCCATTTCCTCCTTTTTTTAATATAGTGCTTTCTCTCTTAGGGAGATTGGGAATCAAAGGTTTACTTGGTATTTTAGACAGGCTCTTCTCCCCAACTTCTAAATACTAATTAAAATTTTTTATTATAGGAAGACTTTAAGCTATGGAAACACAGAAGTATGAACCCCTAGGTACTCATACCCAGCCTCAACCATGGCCAACTCAGAGTCAGTTTTGTATCATTCACAGCTCACTCACTTACTCCTCCCTACAGTTTTGGAAGCAGATCTCAGATATCATGTAATTTCACCCATCAGGGTTTCAGTATGAATGTTTAATAAGGACTTTATTAAAAACATAGATTTAAAATAGCATCAGGGAGAAGGACAACACTATTTTATTCAGGATTGTGTTTCCTAAAAAGAGCACATTATTTCTATCCTTTGAAGAAATTAATGCAATACAGATTGACCTGCAGGACCAATTAAAAATGTTGAAACAAACCAAAGAGAATTTTAAATAGACCCTGATTCTCTGCTCCAATACAGCTCCTTCTGCCTCAGGGAGCAGAAAGCCTCCTGTGCCCCCACATCGCAGCTTTAAAGAGGGCACGTGTCTGTCCTCTCTCTGGCTCCAAATGCTGCTTGGGCAGGTGAAGGGCCCACCCCGGGCAGGCAGTTCCACGGAAGCTGGCTAAGCAGTGTGTGTGCAGACAGCTGGCCAGCCTGCAAGGAGCACCCCCTGGGGAACTGCTCACTTAGGTGCTGGCGGCCTCACGTGAGCCTCAGGGAGCTCTGCCTGCTGACACAGCAGCTCCTAAGAAAGCTGTGCTTATCTGCCTCGCTGGCATCTCTGGCCTCATTTGTAGCCTTGCTGCTCCGAGCCTGCACCCATATCCCACCCGAAGGGTGAGCCTTGAGGGTTGCGCTGGAATACTGGGGGTTCTGAGAGCAACCTCGGAGCACAGGGAGGGAATGCTCGGCAGGTATGATGCATACCATCTACCTCTTTTCCCTTGCCAGAAAGGCAGGAGGCAAAGCCAGCCCACAACTCCTAACCGGTGTCTGAAATCCAGTCACTTCCACCCACCTGGGCAGACATGTGTTTGTACATCCATGCTGCCCCCACTCACAGGAATGGAAGCTGCACTGACTTGGCTCACTCTGCTCAAACTGGAAAGGCAGGCAAAAGCCAGGACTCCAGAGGGGCAGTCTCTGTACTTCTGTTTACAGACAATGTATCGAAGTAACAGATCTGTCTTTCCTTCCAAGGAGTGTGAGCAATAGCAGCCCTGGGCAGCAGACCCCAAGCCCACCCCCACAGGGAGGGCTGGTTCATACCTGATGGTCTGTGTGCCAGCTAAGCAGGGTTCCCCTCCTGTCTGCTCCTTCTTCCCTGGGATGAAGGACTGGCTCCCATCTTCTCGTCTTCCCTTCATTCTTTTAACTCCCACCTGGGCACACCCTTTGGAGTGTCCCTCTCTCCTTGTCTGGCCTGGGAGAGCTGACCTCTGTGACCACAACCCAATTCACCTTCCTAGGCTGACCACCTCACCACCAGAGGGAATGAACCAGGGCAAAGCTGTGGCCGTGAGCTGGACTTCTGGTTCAGTCCTTCTAGATACTCAGGAGAGAAATGTGGGACCAAAGGAGATGGGGTCATCTGTATGTGGCGGGTAACAGAGAGATTAGGAGTGGGAGGAAAGTGGCTGTGAGGCGGGCTGTGCTAGAAGTGCTGAGGTCAAGAACCTCACTGCCTGCCCCCGCTTCCGTGCAGTCTGCTCTCTTCCTGCCCTCCTCTGACTGCCAAGCTCACGTTCCTCCTGGCACTAAGAACCCTATAGAAGCACTTTTCCTGTATCAGAAAGGGTTTGCTTTTCTGGAGCCTTTAGAAAAAAGGCCCTGAATGCTTTTAAGAGAATGGGTGAGCCCTATCCATTGGTGCCATCAGGTATGGAGGAACAGAAACAGAAAAGTCATACCTTCTATACAAGCCCAGGAGAAGGCCTCTGATAAATACCCTGTGAGGATGCACTCATGGAAAGGCTCAGAGTGGTCTGTACTGAGCGGTCTGTACAGAAGCAGCTCCCCCAGAAATTCACAGCAAAGGCAGAAGGAGTGGGAGATTCCTGAGAAGGTGGCCTACGGAGTCTCTCAGTCCTTCTCCCCTTCCTGCCCATCCACAATACTCAGGCAGGCTTTGCATTACCCCCCTTGTCCATGTTACTGCTGTTGTGGTTTAGCTGCTAAGTGGTGTCTGACTCTTTTGCAATCCCAGGGACAGGAGCCTATCAGGCTGCTCTAACCATGGGATTTCCCAGGCAAGAACACTGCAATCGGTTGCCATTTCCTTCTCCAGGGGATCTTCCCAACCCAGAGATCAAACCCATATCTCCTGCATTGGCAGGCAGATTCTTTTACCACTGAGTCACCTGGGAAACCGTTCCCTTGTTCATACTTAGCATTAAACCTGCTTTCTTAACACTATTATAGTGTGGAGTAAGAAGGGGACCATGAATGCTCAAATGATCCACAGGTAGGCTCAATCAGATAAGCACAGCTCTTCTCTGTGCTCTATGCCCATGGAAAGAAAAGAGACCTAATATACTGACAGCACTCCTGCACACTCACACCATGCTTACGCCAGTGCCTCCGAGCTGGGAGGGCTCACTGGGCATATGGGTAGGTGGCAGCTCCAGATGGACTGCGTGCCAGGAAGACATGCCTACAAGCAAGCTGGCATGGAGCCCTCAGTCCATCTCTGGACCAGCAAGGAGAGGATGCTTTGGGCTGGCTCCATCGCTCAGTCATGTGTGGCTGGCTGAGAGCAGGCACGGATCTCCTTTCTGGGCTAGGTGGAATGAGAGCTCCTGAGGTTTCAGATGGGTTCCTACTGACCAGTGCATGTGCATTCCCTACATGGGTGAATGTTTTTGACAAACAGAAGTCTCCCATGCTGTGTAAACCTGATGAATGTTTTCTGAGTTATGGGCAAAAGGTATTAATGTTTGANTGGGTGAATGTTTTTGACAAACAGAAGTCTCCCATGCTGTGTAAACCTGATGAATGTTTTCTGAGTTATGGGCAAAAGGTATTAATGTTTGAATCTTTTCTATGATGAAATAACTCATTAAAAATTTTTTTAATTCATGTCTGGTGTTCAGCCACTATAGTTCCCTGCATGATCCTAGTTTAGCTTTCTATGATGTGCTCAAAGCTGAGTAATGAGAAAACAGCTTCAACAAGTTACACAAACCTAGCCTTTCCAGTGTATGGGGCACACCCAACAGCAGGTGGTCAGACAGCCCCACAAGGAACTCTCCCAGAGATTGGAGCAGGATGGTGGGCAAGTTCCAAGAAAGTCTGAGCCAATGCTGACAATGCCTGCTAATTCTACAGTCAAATTTAACAGAGAACGAGCCTGTGAGAGGAACCTGGATGGTGTTGTAAGGAAGAGAGACCCAAGACAAGAACATGGACAGGAGGCAGTATGGGCCTCCTTTGGCTGTGGTTAAAATCCACTCATTTTTACGGCTCACATTTTCTATGGCAGATCAGAATGCTACAGTAACCTAAGTAAATCTAATACAGACAAGCAGGGGGCCCAGAGGCCCCTGATCTTGGAGCATTAGTATTTACAGATGTGCAAAGGTGGTGTGTGGGGTTCTTTTACACCCTCAATTTGCGACTGGCTTCCAAGTCACAGAATTAAGCTGTTATTTTTTTCCCCCAGAGAAAGTCATGCTGCCTCCAAATCCAATGCATGCACATGGGCACCCACCTCCTCATCACCCCTCACAGCACCCTCTGCAGCTGCTGCCACTCCTGCAGGGTGAAGGTGCCATGGAGCCCAGTAGGGGCTGAGGCACTCGAAGCCTCGCCCGGGGACACCCACCTTGCCTTTGTTGAAGTAGTGGATGATCTTGCGGCACAGTCCCTCTTTCCGCTGCCACTCCGTCTGGGATGGGTAGTGGAGGAACTCCCGCAGGGGCCGCTCCTCCCACTGCAGCAGCTCACAGTAGAGGAGCAGAGTGAACGCAGCTTCTGTGGGGACAGGCTCTAGCGAGGTCCTGGGGCAGCCAAGTGCCCGGGGACCCAGTGTGCACAGCCTAGGTCAGGGGTGCCAGACACCACACCTGAGAGAGAGGGGCTGTCCAGCCACCCACCAGCCCTTGACCACAGCACGAAGGGACCCAGTGGACACCGTCCTCCCTCAGCCTGGCCACCTGCTCTGGGCTCTGAATAAGGTGTGGCTCAGGTATCCCAGGGTCAGTGCACAGGCCGCTTTGCTCTGGGTCACACTGCCATGTCAGAGAGAGTTCCTGGGTTCCCTTTTGCTCAAGGGACTAGCGCTTCTTTCCCAACCTTCTCAGAACTGGATCAGAGGGGTGAGCTCTGACAAGCTTTCCTCGGCCATCCCACAGCCAGCCTCCATACCTCCAGCTCCACTTTCTGACCTCAGCATGGGGAAATGACCCTTTCTCCTCATCTCGACCATTTCTAAAAGGACCAGCGAGCAGGAGTGTGTAGTGTATGGTGGTAACTGTGTGAAGGGCTCCATTCATAGAGGAAACTACAGCTGATACTGGATCCAGGGCAGAGGGCTGGTGACGTCTCCCGTACACATGGAACTGATAGGGAGGGTTTATAAAAAAGCCATAGCTCAATACCGTGGCTTCTTAGAGCCCAGAAGTGAGTCACACTGAATTACAGCTGCTGCTCTGGGTCCTCATCACACGGCCTGCTCCGTCCTGTTCTATTTGTTTCTTTTTGGCGAGCATCTCCTATTGGCAACTTAATTAGCTTGAGCTTCTGCCTGGCCTTCAAGGCCCAATTCAAATCTGTGGAGAATCTCTTTTCTAATTATCTTGTGATCCACTTCCAGTTTTAGCCAGGCTTGCTTGCCCACAGCCTTCCCAGGCCCTGCTCACCTCTGCCTCTCCGCCTACACTCTGGCCACCAGTCTTCCTGCCCAGGGACGCACATGACTCCTCACTGGAGCTGCGAAGCCCCTTCTGACTGCGGGGCAAGCCCGTGAAGCCTGCAAGGCCTAACTGTGGAACTTAGAAAATCATGTGAAATCTTTTTCTTCCCTGTCAATATTCTTTTTAGATGTTATTCCTGAGGCCACCAGAAGCAAGGCTTAGCACCTTCTCTCTGTCCGAATTCCCGACCTAGCCTCTCAGTCTCATCCCAGGGCTCTAGGAGTTCAGTAAATGCCTCTATTGATACATGGAACTTTTCAGTCTGTCACTTCACTGCCCCCTCAAAGGGTTGCTGGGATCATGGGTGGAAGTGGATGCAGAGGATGGCAGATTCAGCCCAGTCATTTCAGACTTAATTCTTGCCAAGCTGTGTCAGGAAAGGTGGAATCTCTGTGAAACAATCTCTAACATCTAACAGAAAATAGGGAGGGAGGTTTCTGCGTTTCTACAAATTCATCTCATTCTAGTAACACTGTGGACAAGAATAGCCTAAATTTCCTGGCCTATCACACCACCTGTGGCTCAAGGGCTAAGATGTGATGGCTGGTTACCATGGTGAAAAATGGTTATTTTGGGGGGAACTGTGGCACAAGGTGATCACCCAGGGCACATGTGGGTATACTTGTCTTCCTGACTCAGAGCAGCACTCAGTAAACAGTGTGACAGGTATGTTTTTAAATTTTTCTTTTAGAAAAGGCCTTAGTAATGGACTAAATTGTGATACAGTGAAAAGGCCCCTGTCCAGCCAGTCAGAAAGTCAGGTGCACACTGTCCATCCTCACGGTGGCTGCAAGGGAAGAGCCCAGACCACAAGGCAGGTCCGCCAGCATGTTCTGGAGGCCCCAGGGTTAGGCGGTGAGCCTGGGCTGTGGCCTCACTCAGCCCAGCTGTGAGGTCCTCGGAAAGGCTCTGCTCGTGAGGAGCAACAAAGAGCTTAGGAGGCTCTGAACCTGGCTCCCAGGATCTGGAGGTCACCCTCAGATGGGGGGAACAGGAGGCAAGGGGAGTGGAAGAACCTTGGCAGCCAGGCACAAGGGCAAGTTCCCCCTGCTTTCTCTCCACCACGCATTACAAAGGAGTTGAGGGCAAGGGGTGAGGGGATGGGCATTGTGGGCGCTGACACTCCGCTGACATCTGGCGGGCCCCAACTCAGAGCTTTCCCCTGTCAGCGGCGCATGTCTGTCCAGTCCTTTGCCGGGAGGAGGCCGGGCTCTCCCTTCCTGCTTACCTGTGTAGTTTTCTGCCTGCAAATGCATGTCACAGAGCTTATGGATATAGCGGATATACATCTCCTCTTTATTAATCTCCGATTTGTAGAAGTTCTGTAAGAGAGGAGGAAGTACACAAGAAGGCGAGAGGGGCTGCCGCCTCTGGAGGCCGTATCTGAGCTCCAGGCAGCTGGCCAAAACCCTGGGGGTGCTGGACAGGAAGGAGGAGACAGGCCGTGGGGGCAGCCAGCGCCAGAAAGAGAAGGGACCAGTCATAAGGCACCCCTGCTGGGGGCAAAACCTCTGGCAGGTCTGCAGGGGTCCTGAGTGGTGAGAAACAGGAAGAGTACCAGTGGTGGAAAAGGGAGTATGTCAGAGTCGGTGGGACCTTGACAAGAGGCCAGGCTATACAGCTCTGTCTGAGGAGAGGTTCACTGCATTCCTTTCTCGAGTGGGAATGTGAGTTTCCAGAGACAGGCCTGATGTCTGGACGCAAACCCGCAGGCTTATAGCCACATACTGCAGAAAGGACAAGGTGGCCACAGGGCGGGACAGAAGCCACTCCATGAGGCAGAGAGGAGGAACAGCCCAGGTTCTCTTACCATCAGGTTAACAGTGCAGCCAATCTTCTTATTCTCTGTCTCCTCTCCTTTCATGCAATCCCTGGAGGGGAGAGCGAAGATGAATGGACCAAGTGGTGCCTCTGGGACAACACAGACCTGCAGTGTCCCTGAGGCTTCAGTGTGTCCAAACCCCAGAGGAGGATGCTCTCCAACAGAAACTTGTCCACGGATGGGACTGTACTGTGTGTTCCCTCCAGGCTCTGGACCCATTCCTAGGGCTCAAATATCTCTGTTCAGCTGTACCCTTGTTCTGGTGGCAGTGTGCAGAGCCCAGAGGCTATATCAGGGCATTCAGTAGCACCTACCAACATCTTCAGTGCAGAAGTATGTCAGTAAAGTAGAAGGTTAAACCCTCAAGTTCTTCAAAGGGAAGCCACAGAGCCGTCCATAAAGGGCAGTTTTCATTTTGTAGGACAGTGTTTAGGGGAAGCCAATACACTCTACTCCAGGGACCTGCCTTCAGAACCCTGTAGCCCAGCAACCATGGCACAGCCGCCACGTAAATCATCTCACTGACTTTTCTCCCTGTGGTGTCCTTCTTGTGCACTAGTATTTGGAATCCCCTCCAACTAGGAGCAGTGGATTTGAAGCTTTCTTCTGATTTAGGGGTAGCTTCAGCCAGGGCTGAGCTGCATTTGTGCTGAACAGGCTTGGATGCAGGAGGGTTCAGGGCTAGCCTGCCAGACACAGAACACAGAAACACTGAGAATGGATCCTTGCCAAAGAAGAGTGGAGACTGATCAAATCCATGCTCCTCTATCAAGGAGGGGCGGCCTAGCACAAGGAGATGAAAGAATGAGGAGCAGAAGCCTCCTGTACACACGGCCACCTGAGTCCCAGGTACACCCCCTGATATCTGCACGAGACACAGCACAGAGCAGACAACTACTGCTTGGGGCTGGTTTCTCTGTCCCCCTCCTCATTCCTTATCACCTTCCCCTGTAACCTCCCTAAGACCCTCTTGGCTCACCTGAACTCTACTGAGAGAATAACTAAGGCCCCAGTGGCAGTGGCAGTGTTCCTTTTAGGCTAAGTCAAAAGCCATGATATGACTGAGAGAGCAGGCTTTCAGGAAAAAAACAGATTACATGTCAACTCCCAGATTCCACATATCATAAAGATCTCTGAGCTCACAGGCTGCCTCCTCTCATCTATACCTGGCCAGGGTCAATGGACAGAAATAAATAGATTTTACACAAAGAATGGAAGCATGGGAAAATCGGGTACCCCTTGCCCTGGAAAAAAGAAGTGAAAGTCCTCCTGGGTCACAATTCTGTTGTCTTGTAGTTGGTAAGTTGTGTCTGACTCTTTGCCACCTCATGGACTGCAGTCTGCCAGGCTCCTCTGTCCATGGGATTTTTCAGGCAAGAATACTGGAGTGGGTTGCCATTTCCTTCTCCAGGGGACCTTCCCAACTCAGGGGTCCAATCCATGTCTCCTGCATTGCAGGGAGATTCTTTACTGCTGAGCCACCAGGGAAATCCAAACAAGTACAACAGTCCTGTATTGGGTGGTATTTCCCTGCCCACCTGCCATACGGCTCTGAGGAAGGTCTGCACTAAGATCCCACCTCACTCTGGAGACAGCCTTTCTCCTCTCTGCTGTGCCCACCCTCTGAGTCTTGACTTTTCTGGATGAAAAGCCAGATGGCTACATGTCCCTAGGACACCTCCAGTGTAGATGTGGCCACAAACCAGGGGTAAGCCCAGGAAATCCTGGCCTTACGCCTGAGAGAAGGCTTTCACCCCTTCCTCCTTGGCTATCAGGAGATTCCTAATGACTGGTGATGGCACACAACACCAGAACAGCCCTGCCTCTTGTGGTCACGTGGTCTCAATTTTAAGGTTAGGGGATCCTCCTGCTGGGGAGAGGATGTGACCAGAGAAGAGGTCAGGTAAGTTCCTGAGAAGATACCTGTAGTCAAGGAGGCGTTCCATGAGGCGGGTGACTGAGGTTACAAAGGAAATGCCGGTCTCACGCCATGTTTCCTGTTCAACCTTCTCCAGCAGGCTATTGATAGAAGCAAACAGAACGCACGATTCATGAGCCTCCCGGGGGCACCAGTGTAAGGTCCCAGAGCCCGGGGGGCCTGTGATAGATCTGGAGACGGCAGACTTACCACATGGCAGTCTTACCTGGGGTAGGGCCCAAACAGCTGGGTTCTACTCCATGCAGCAGAAAGCAAAGACAAAGCAATTACTGAATGGACAGCAACAAATGAACATGTCTTCCATTGTCCTGTGTGAGCTCTTAAGGACGCCACTGAGCTGAGGGAGAAGCTTCAGAGCCCCAGCCCCTGTCGGGGTACACACTGTGAGAGCTGTTCTGAGGAAGCAGCTGAGGACCAGTCCGAGGGAGAGACCTGGCTTTGCCAACTGGCTGGCTGCCTCTATCACTGCTCAGAACCATCCTCAGCAAACACGCTGACCAGCCTTTTCACATAGACCAAGGGTAAGACTGCAATCAGTCTTGAGGGCCCAGCATGAAGGACAGACAGTGAGTCCACTGTCACAGGAGACTTCCACAGAAAATGGCCAGAGCCAGGAGCTACATGCCTGGGTCCCTTTCTCACTTGTCAGCCCGTGTTCCTATTATCTTCAGGTAGGCTCTGACTTCTCCAAAGAACCTGGTTTCTGAGATCCTCTACCTTCCCACTGATGATCCCAGGTGCAGGTCTTGCTGCTGACTCCTTTGTACACTGGCCCTAGCTCCCTGAGGTCATGATAGTCCCCTAGAGTGAAGGGCTCAGCCAGGGACCACCAGTGGGGACTCACACCCATAGCCTGACTGTTGTTAATGCTGCAGTGATGACAACTGTCTTCCTTGCACAGAGCATCTAACCTGAGATGGGGCCTCTGGGAGAGTGAGGGTTTCCCAGGTGACCCATGGTCCCAGAGCAAGATGGCAGGATCACTGGTTCTCAACTCTGAGCTATGTGGGAAAAGCTACTATGTACACATTTCCCAAACTGCGTTCTACAGAGCTCTGCTGTCCTGGGGGACAGAGAGGTGTTCTGTTAGCAAACAAGCACGAAAGTGGTGGGTCACTACACCTTCCTCTTCAGAGATTTTTCACACCTTTCTGCATACTGAAGGCTTTGAGAAGTTCTATAATACAGACGTTTGTTTAATTTCCTTTTACTGAGTCTTTTCTAAACTGATTAGTCCATGATCTACATCCCCCAGTGTACCTACACAAACATCTCCTCTTAAACACAAATTAGGAAATGCTGCTCCACGGTTATCAGTGGCTTTCAGTTCTCAGACATGACTCAGAAGAGTTTGTGAAACACTTCTTTGTCAGGTAATTACTAACTGCAAGTTATTTTTGTGCTTTTTCCTTTGTAGTAAAATCATCAGTGAGTGGCTTAGGAAGAGACTTCACTTCCTTATTTCCATAATTAGAAACATCTTTGGCCAAAAGAAAATCCCTAAGGATGGATTCATTTTCACAAATTAAAATTACTTAAGTTTCAAATGAATTCACATTTTACTGCATGACTCATCAAGGAACAAACTACATAGGCAGGGTACAGGAGAAAGATTTCCCCCCCTTGAAACTGGAACGTCTAGATGGTATCCCCAGACATGCTTCTTAGTGGCCATGCAACTGAGGGCAATGCCACCACCTCTCCAAGCTCAGTTGCATTATTTTTACTCATCAGGATACTCTCTGCCCTGCCCACCTCACAGATGTATTGTGAGGATTAAATCCGAAATGTCAACATATTTTGTCCACTGTAAGTTCTAAGCAAATGTACAGTATAACTAATAGAAAATATGTTATAAGCTTATCTTAAAAATGCTACAGCTAGAAAATCTCACAGCTAGAAACAATGAGTGAGATGGGAGGGGGCACTAAAGCTGTAAATGTCTTCACATTTATCTTTTCAGGAAGATAAAATACCCAATTTACTGCCTATGTGGGAGGACCATGGCTCTCGAGTCCCTCCTTTAGACTGAGCCCTATAGCTGGGTCCTGTCAGGTTTTGTGGCCCCATCAACTCAGGACCGAAGCCATACTGGTGGACCTGGGACCCTTGACATTCAGTCAGTACAGCCACCCTGTTTCACAAGTGAAAACTGGTCTGGAAAGGGGGTATAACTTGTTTAAGTCACAAAATTCATGGTAGTATTTTTCAAGCTGACTGTACAATCTTACAAAGCTGAGATTTAAACCCCTTCCCCTCCCCAGAAAAGCTAGCGCTGAGCCCTCATTGAGTCCCCATGAGCTGTTTGCTCAACTAGGATACAGTACATGGTATGAAGACATATGATGATCCTTTTCCTACGGGCAAACCCAGGAGCTCAGAGTTACTGTGTCTACACCTTTCAGTTAACTACGATAATCCCTGAGAGAGCCTGCTGTCATGACGTCTCTTTCTTGTTGACAGAAGGTGAGCACTGCTGCCACCAGCAACAACCCGGGTCTCTCCTGATACCCACGCTCTGAAGCCTGCACAGAACAGGCTGTACCCCTACCCTTCATTAGCCCACTTCACCCTCTACCCCAACGTGGGGTGCCTCGGGCTGAAGCAGCTTACAGCAGGCCGAAGAGCTCCCTGTAGCTCTCATCGCCTTTCCCTTCTGATACCATGCTGTCCAGCTTGTCAATCAGCTCGGCCTCCACCTAGAGGGAAGCAGAGATTTTGTAAACCCGAAATAAGCTCAGGGGAAGGATGCAAAATCCAGCCCTCTGTGATGGGGGAGGACGCTGGGGAACTGCTTCCTGCTTTTGTTCTCGTACCAAAGAAATCCTGAAGAAGGTGGGATCTCACCTACGGCACCGGGAAGCCACGCTGCCTTCCCCCATCAGGAAGGACTCCCACTCTAGGGGTTTAAGAAAGAGTTGGAACTTACAAGTACGTCTCAGATACTCTTTTTCCAGGCTAGGGGCAAAAGGCAAGGACTCTGGAAAGAGAAGTATTTTGGATCCAAAAGACGCCTTTGTCAAGTGTTGTTTTTCTTTCTTAAAAAATGCTCATTAAAGGGAATTCATATGTATAAGACATACTTGGTTAGAACTTTACCCTCGGTCAGCCAGTCACAAGGGACGCTTGCTGGGGTTTGGTCCTTACCATAATGGCTGACATTCATTTGCACTGAGGGAGATGGGTTTCCTTCAGAGATTCTCCTTGAGAAAAGGCTCCATTCTTTGTCCTCACAGCACCTAGAGCCCTTGGAGCTGCTGCCCCTGCAGCTGCCTTGTCAATGAGGGCCCCTGCACTTGTTACTGGATTCCTAAATTGTGAGGAGCAACACTGCGTCTATTCCTCACCCACTAATTTGCAAGGCTTTCAACAGTGCTCGGTCACTTTCCTAATAGGCCTCAATGCATTTACTCTGAAGTGAGAAATTAGTTGTAAAGTGATATGAGATTAAAAAAAAAAATCTTTTAAACTGCTCATTAACCTTTGAAATGTGGTCCTGTGCGATTATTTGTATATTTTATATCAACAAAAAATGGCATGGCTTTTAATAACGAGCTATAACAAAAGGCATTTTCTCCTTCCACACAGGGCCAAGTCCTAAGGCAATGGAGTAGTAAAAGAATAACTGAATTAGAAAAGTCATTGAAGGCAATTATGGCTTTTGAAATCCTATCAGTGGAAAATAAGAATGGATGAATAAATATGGCCCTTTTATAGCAGTTTGCTACAGCCAGGGTGGAGGTGGTTGTACATCTACGTTTGGCCTAATGAGTCAGCTGCTTGAATATACTTTTCAGAAGACACACAAAGTCTGAGGTCTGCAGTCCTTGGGATTGAGGTCGTCTGCCTTTCTCTGTGAAGAGAAAAGGCGCCAGCAGGGACTTGCCTGGGGTCATGCAAAGTCAGGGAGGAATCTCTCGTCACACACGCAGGTACAGGTTGTGCTTTCCAGAACAGGGCAAAGTGGGAGGGGACCTGGAGCAGCAGAGGGTACAACGGTGCAAATATGGGTACAGCCGTTTCCTGGAGTTCTCAAAATGGTTCCCTGGCCAGCAGCAACAAGTCCCCAGAGATCTTATTAGACACACAAATTCCCAGGCTCCACTGGATCAAAAACTCAGGGGTTGTGTGGGGGCAGCAATCTGTGTTTTTACAAGCCCTCAGGTCGTTCTGGGCCCTATTCCAGGGTCAGAACTTCTGCATTAGGCAAAGGAGCTGGTGAGGGAAGGATTTAGGGACAGTACTTCCTCACTCCCTATAGTGCTGATAAAGGGAGAAGTTACTAAGAGGAACAAAAATCCAAAACATGACACTAAAAATCAATGTATGCAAAATCAATGTCTCTAGGTTACACAAAATGCTAAGGTCTTAAAATATAACGTCATAATTGGTAATATTGACCATTTTAGGTCTGTGGAGTTACTTTTATTTTATCAAACCAATATTCTTGAAAATAAAAGGTCAGTTTTCATTCCAATCCCAAAGAAGGGCAATGCTAAAGAACGTTCAAACTACTGCACAATTGCACTCGTTTCACATGCTAGCAAATTAATGCTCAAAATTCTAAAAGCAAGGCTTCAACAGTACATGAATCAAGAACTTTCAGATGTTCAAGTTGGATTTAGAAAAGGCAGAGGAACCAGAGATCAAATTGCCAACATCCATTGTATCAGAGAAAAAGAGAATTCCAGAAAAACATCTATTTCTGCTTCATTGATTATTCTAAAGCCTTTGACTGTGAAAAATTCTTAAAAAGAGACGGGAATACCAGGCCACCTTACCTGGCTCCTGCATTGACTACGCTAAAGCCTTTGACTATGGATCACAACAAACTGTGGAAAATTCTTAAAAAGAGATGAAAATACCAGACCACCTTACCTGTCTCCTGCAAAACCTCTATGTAGGTCAAGAAGCAGCAGTTAGTACTGGACATGGAACAATGGACTGGTTCAAAATTGGGAAAGGAGTATGTCAAGGCTGTGTATTATCACCCTGCTTATTTAACTTATATGCAGAGTACATCATGTGAAACGCCAGTTGAATGAAGCACAAGCTGGAATCAAGACTGCTGGATATACAGATGACACCACCCTTATGGCAGAAAGTGAAGAGGAATTAAAGATCCTCTTGATGAAGATGAAATAGGAGAGTGAAAAAGCTGGTTTAAAACTCAACATTCAAAAAACTAAGATCATGACGTCTGGTTCCATCACTTTATGGCAAATAGATGGGGAAAAAGTGTAAACAGTGACAGAGTTGGACCATAAAAAAGACTGAGCACCAAAGAATTGATGTTTTTGAACTGTGGTGTTGGAGAAGATTCATGAGTCCCGTGGACTGCAAGATCAAACCAGTCAATCCTAAAGGAAATCAATCCTGAATATTCACTGGAAGGACTGATGCTGAAGCTGAAGCTTCAATACCTTGGCCACCTGATGTGAAGAACCAACTCATTAGAAAAGACCCTGATGCTGGGAAAGATTGAGGGCAGGAGGAGAAGGGGATGACAGAGGACGAGATGGTTGAATGGCATCACTGACTCAATGGGCATGAGTTTGAGCAAGCTCTGAGAGATGGTGAAGGACAGGGAAGCCTGGTGTGCTGCAGTCCAAGGGGTCTCAAAGAGTTGGACACGACTGATCAACTGAATAACAACAAAGATAACTGATGCAATCATACTGTTCTAAGTGAAAGAAGTCAGCCTCAAGAGGCTACAGTCTACATGACTCCCTTTACATGACATTCTGGAAAACGTACACTGTCAGTGATGGAGAATAGATCAATGGTTGCCACAGGTTAAAGGTAGGGGAAGGGTTTGACTATAAAGGGGTAGCGAGATGGAAATTTTAGGAATTAAAAATTTTTTTTAAATTCTTGATTGTGATGGTGGTTACATGACTTTTTTGTGTCTGCCAAAATTTACAGAGCTGTGAATCCCAAAGAGTGAATTTTACTCTTTGTAAATATAAAAATACATAAATAAAAATTTAAAAATTACTGTTTGCACTGTCTGTTGCTCAGTGTTAGAATCACTCACTCTAAGACCACTGGTTCATCCCAGAACCACAGAGTTGGGGGGGAGCTTAGAGGGGAGTGATTACAGTCCCCAAGGCAACAGAGAAATCTCCCCTAGAGGACTCCAGGGAGCTTCTGTTTGAGAACCACCAACAGAGAGGAGCTCCCTTATCTCTGAAAGCAGGCCAGCTTATAGCAAATAACTTTTTGTGAGCAAGTTATTTTATTGGCTAAAACTGGTGTTACCACCACTGTTTTCCATCTGTTGTTCCTAGTCCTATTCCTTGTAGCTACAGATACAAGGGCAGGGGCCCTCTCCTCCACTTTAGGGGTGGCAGAGGAACCACCCAGAGGCACAGCCTAAAGCCACTCAGTCAGAAGCCAAGCACTTATCCCTCATGGGCCCAGCCCTCTGTGCAGGAGTCTGTGAAGTTCTCAGCTCTGAGAAGTTATCTGGTCTGGGCTCTAGCCATAGAAATGTCTGGACCATACACACTGGGGAACCTCCAGAGAGAAAAGACAACATGCTCCTGGGACCTCCTTCTGAGTGAAGTTGGGAGGTTACAGTCTCAGTCACTCTCTCCTTGATCAGAAAAGTCCTTTCACGTGATGTTAGGTTCCTTTTCTCTGATTCTTCTCTGACCTCTAACTTCTTCTCTGGCCTTCTAACTTCTCTGGTAGCACTTCATGAAGAAAATCCACAAATCACGTCTGGCCAGCAAGGAAGGGAAACCCTTGGATGGGACTCAAGACAGCCAAGAACTACACTAGAACTACAGCATGGCCATCTGCATCATGTGCCAGGGCAAAAGGGGGTCCATTCCAGGGAAGAGTCCCCCTAACACTTCTGGGGAGGGGGCAGCTCTCACCTGTTTGAAGTTGCCGTTTTTCCTCTGCTCCCAGTCCATCATGTCGTGAAAGATGGGAATCATGATATTCCGCACTTCAGGCTGTGGGACCAGTGTCACACCCAGGAACGGGCCGATCATTCCCGGAATGAAGTGGATCTTATGTTCACCTGAACAACACAACCCAGCAGACAGAAGTTTATGCTCCAGCCACAGAAGCTTCCCGAGTAGGGCCACAGCACATGATCTGACCTTCACTGGGAGCATCAGAGAACACAGAAAGCTCTCCCCTATGGGTTTCTGAGATAGTCCCTTCTCTTGGCTTTTTAAGAGTTTGCAGACTAAACTGACTCAGTCCAGTTGAAAGAAAATTCAACAGGCACAAGTTCTTTCCAAAGAATTTGCTGGAAGGTTCTACAAACTGTCTGAAAATCATTCTGAGGTCAAGGAGCAGAGGCACTACTCTAGATAGAATAGGATTTCTGAGTACCCTGCAATAGTTTCCGATAGTCTATTCACAGTATTTATTCAGCAAGGAAAATTCATCAGTTTCCACTTAAACACAATGCACTGACCCTGGGGTTTCTGTCTGTAGCCCAGAGGCATTTAAGTGATGAGGATGTTCAGTCTACTAGAGGTCTAAAGTCCACAGGCCTCTTCACCGTCGGAGCTCAAATGTGCCTGAGTCCCCCTCTTGAGTTAGCAGGAGCCTCCCGCACAGCTGTACCTAGACAGACTGGCTGAGAGACTCTCTACGTGTACCCCCGATCCCACCCCTTGCCTTCACATTGCATTTTTGATGGTAGCACTATATTTATTCAAACCAGCTTGGCTCATCTCTCAATTTTCTTAATGAGGTCTTTCCATAGGAAGAGTGTGGTATGAATTTCCCTGTGACTAACCTGTCAGTTGGGGTATGTTCCCAGAATCCAGGGCCAGTCTTGAAGACTATGGGACAGGACTTTTCTCTTCCTTGTAAAGGCGAAACAGAGTGAACCATCTTCCAGAGCTCTGTTTTCAGTCCTTCAGAGACTCAGGGGACAAACTGTGGGCCTGTGTAGTGACTGTTACAGTCAAGCAAAATCACTTCCTGAGAACTAGAAAATGTCATTTCCGCCAAAAACGATGAGGTAGGACTGGCTTTCTTGGGGAAATCTGACATGGTTTTTTAATTCTTCCATGTCGAAAGCCTACCTAAGGAGCAAGTGTTAGCGAGCCTAGAGGCAGATTCTGCATATTCCAATCTTGGTATTTGGTATAGTGCTGGTCCCTTGTGTTTCTGGGAATTTCAGAATCAACTTCAGGGCGAACATTTATATCTGGACTGTGCTGGATGCAGAGGGTATGAGCACTGAAGCTAGAGAGCTGGTTTGGGGAAATGCAGCCCCACTCATGGATGGAAGGCCCCAGGGCTGGCAGAAATGCCTTGCATCTTGCTTGCTGCTTCTAGGGTTGTGACTAGATGGTTGATGGAGGACTATGAGATTTTATGGCCATCCTTCCTAAGACTTCAGAGTCATGAGCTTAGTTGAAAGCAGTTCTCACTGGGAAGAGCAGCAGCAGCTTCTCTGGCATCCAGGGCAGGCCTATTTAAGAAGCCGACAGAAGCAAAGGACAGCCTACCTAGTCACAAGGGCAACCTGAGGATTCCACCAAAACCTGACAATTTCAAGATTCAAAGTGCTGGATAATAGAGAAGCTGCAAAGAGAAGCTCTCAAAAGAAGGGAGACTAAAATCAGTCTCACCTAGATGAAGCAGTTCCCTTCGTACATGTAGCTGGCAGCTGGCAGCGGGAACCTCGTCTGGATGCCTGAATACCAGAGACCCGAGAAGGGTTTCAATCTTTACTAAAAAGAACAGTTGCCCTTGCTCATGTGCTGACTGGGCTTCTGGGCCTGTGACATCTGGACTGGGATACGGACAGCCCAGGGGATCTTATACTCTGACAGCCTCAGACATTATATTCTTACAGCCTCATCTTCTTTTTCTCCTTTCGACTTTTGTTCTCAAAAAAGGGTCTGTGCATATGTATCACTGGGGTCTGATTTCTCAGCTTAACTCTCTCTGCCAAGGGCTTTGTGCACATGTGCTACACTATACTATCCATCTGAGGTGTTATGTTAAAGATATGTGACGATCTCTTGGGTCTGAATTAACATTCATAAAACCAGGGGAAGTAATTAGTCTTGTAACTTCTTATTTGGCTAAGCAATATGTGTAAGGGAAGAGTGTGGAGAAGAGACCTACCCAAATTCTGCCACATGCTGAAGAGTTCATAAGCCATCATCACACGCATGTCCCCATACCTGGGAATAGAACACAGGAACCAGCTATTAGCACGAGAAGGTTCAGGAAGACAGGAGGCCAGCATTTCAGCTCTGTTTCTAGCGCTTTCCAAAAGACAAAGTCATTTTGCGCTCAGTTGCACTCTTATACTTGGCTCCTTGGGAAGCCACCTCGATGAAAACCTTGTGGACATCTCTAGGAGCCCCTCCTGGAAACAAAACTCCATCTGGGCACATGTAGGAAGATGAATAAGAGACATATGTCTTACTTATCCAGAATCTTCTTCCTCTTGGTGGAAGTAATGATTTCTAGCTGAAGGCTTGGCTGATTTATGAACAGAACTGCCAGGCTAAAATAAGAATTCCACACCTAGAGAGAGAGAGAGAGAAAGAGGAAATATGTGACAGCCTGAGTTCTTAACCTTGCAAGGAGAGATTCTAAATATATGCATGTAGCGCAGAATTCATTTCAGTGTTAAGATCTTGATTTTTAGAAAAATATCTTTGCAAACAGGACTTTCCCCTGCTTTCTTGACTTCTCTGAAACCAACAGTGTTGATTCTGGACTGGAAAACAAACTCATGGGTTTCTGGCTCCCAGCACCTCCAACAAGGGTGTCCTAGGTTATACATTAATCATTATCAAACCTGGAAACTGTTTGATACTATGAACAGATTAAGAAAGTCCCCTGCCACCTATCAGACACTTAGCTGAATCCTTCTCAAATTCCTGACCTGCAAACCTGTGAGCAAAATAAAACAGCTGTTTTAAGTAAAACAAAAACAAAAATAAAAACAGGGAGTCTGGTTTTGGCTTTCTACAGTTATTACAAAGATAGTGACGAATTTTAGGAGCGCCTACCTTAAAGTCGAAGTCTGTCTCTGTGAAATTCTTGTGCAGCGCAGAAGACAGGTACTGGACAGTAGTGACTATAATACTGCAGTAAGGGGACAAGGCGTTGGCAGAGTTAAAGGACTAACAGTGGCATCCTACAGCTTAGCACCCGTGTCTGTGGCCCAAGTGCAAGCTTCTTGAGTACAAGTAGCTCTCGTGTAAGATGTGACTTTAAGGGAGAAGGATGTGCGTGCGTGCTCAGCTGTGTCCGACCCTTTGCGACCCCATGGACCATAGCCCACCAGGCTCCTCTCCCTACGGGATTTCCCAGGCAAGAATACTGGAGGGGGCTGCCATTTCATTCTCCAGGGGATCCTCCCAACCCAGAGATAGAACCCAGGTCTCCCGCATTGGCAGGTGGATTCTTTAGCCCTGAGTCACCTGGAAGCCCAAGTGAGAGGGACACGTGGCACAAACCCCATAAAACCCCTGTGGAGAAGGGCCCTGCCAGGGGGTTCCCGACCAAGCTCTGCTGACAGCTGGTCTTGGCTCTACTTTTCTCTGGCCACAGTTTCCCTGTAAAAGGAGGGGAGTGAGGTTTCATGGATCTCTCAGGTTTCTTCCAGTTCAAAGAGTGATTCTAGTATTTGGGGGATCTTAGGAAAATGAACCTGTATTATGACCAACAGAGGACTTAGAGTATCATTCTATTACTCCACTTGATAACTGGGGTTTACAGTTATTAAATCTCTACTTTTATCATATACTGTTATTTTCATGTGTAAGTCATTTGATTTCAGCCTTTGATCCAGAATATCACTTTCAATTTTTGCTTAGGCATATTTAAGGGTTAATGGGAGGCTGGCTTGCTAGAGTCAAGAGCACAGGTTAAGGGAGAGAGAAAGTGAAGTGGGACAGGCAAGTAAGGGTTTAATTACCAAGGGCGTTGGATGCCTGGCAAAGGAGCTTACACCTAACAATGACCACCTAAGTTTTGGTGCAGAAGAGGGGCAAGGCAAAAACAGTGCATTAGAGAGACTCGTTACCAGCAAACAAATTTGAAAAGTAAAAGCCTTGAAAGAAGAGGCTTGCTCCTGCAGAATGGGCTGGAGAGCCTGAAGTACTCTGAGTAGAACTAAGAGACAGAAACAAGAGGGGGTCAAATGGAAAATCCACTATTTAAGGAAATATCTCTGCAATACTGTTTATAACCATTCTTCTGTTCCGTATGAAATGTTTGCAGTTTTCAAAAACAAGAGCACTATAAAAAGTACAGAGTAGAAAGACTATCCTGACACCCTGCTAATAAATCTAACACAAATAATTTCACTACATTCTGCATAATGCCGATGTAAAAGGCTGATCAGAGGGAGGAGGCAGCAGTCTAGAGAGTGGACGCCAAGTGGCCTTCTCCTGAGTAGAGGGGGACCCGGCAAACAAGCACCCTACCACCCACATGACTTGTTCTCTTTGCCAGTGAGAAGCACAGGGCAGAAATATGAATGGGGCAGACAAGGAGATCAATCTTGGAGTGAATTCTGTAGCCAGCAGCAGAGGTGGGCAGAGCCTCATAGCTAGGTCTTGGGTGGGTAATTAGCACTAGCTGTGGGGGACGAGCAGTGTCTGGCAGACAACACAAATCAAATCAAGAGGAGGGCTTGGGATGCTGCCTGAAACCGCAGAGCAACAGAGGCCAATGATCAGGCCCTCCTCAAGCAGGAGCCTTCCTCTAGTATCACAGTTCACATTCATAAAAGTTCCTTTCCTACCCTTAGCATGACAGCATCTGCCAGGCACTTTGACTCCACTTTTGAACTGTCTTTGACTATTTCTCCTTCTTGAACTTTGGTAGATGGCAAAGTCCTGCTGACTGCGCTTTCAAACACTTTCACATTTAAACCCTCTCCTCTCTGGCCCCACAGCTTTGACCTTGACAAGTTTCCATCTCGCTTCTTCTCTCACATGTAATAGTCTGGGGACAGCTGCGTGGAGGCTGGGGCAGGGCCCTTCCACACTCACTTGCTTGTAAGAAGTCTCATCACCATCCAGTCCCGAGGAAAGACACTCATCTTCATCAGGTTCCGGAACACGCAGAAAATCTTCAGCAGGAATTCCTGGGCCGAAAGGGAAGTCTGATGTGAGACGCCACCTCTACCACTGCAGCACACACCCCCTCAACAGGCTCTCTGACCTCTAATCACGACAATGACCTCTAATCACGACAATGACCTCTAGATCACGACAACGGAGGGGACCAGTGGCTGACGCTCTGGCTCCCTTCATGAGCTGCTTCTCTCTTAGAGGGCTGCGTGGGAGGGACGTCTGGCCACTGCCACAGGCCAGTCCTAAACTGGGGAGAAGAGATGTAGCTCTATGCCTGCTCAGCCCAGCGCCTAAAGGCCCGAGCACAGGGGGTCCAGCAGACCTGGCATTCAGCTGAGTCCACCAGTCTCGATCTGTGGGGGCTTGTCCCTGAGCACCGGATTCTAAGAACTTGTTTTCTTGGGTGTTAAGAACACATGGACTGGAGAAGCACTTCAGGGGTAGATGAGTAAGAATCTCCAAAAATGTGCTTCTTCAAGAAAGCAATGAGAACAGTGCAAAGACTGGCTAGTGAAAGGCTTGCTGATTCAGGAGAATCAGCCTCATTTTCTGTGGGAAGAAGAAAATAAACAATAACTAAAAATTTTAAAAATTTAAATGGCAGTAGAAGCTACTTGAAGAACAAAAGAAGAGTTCAAAGTGGCTGCTTTGCAGGAGTAGTGGGTAGACGTAGTCAGGTTGAGCCAAGGAACCAGTTTTATGTCACACACTTTGTAAAATACTTTGGCTTTTAAAATCGTATATATATACTGCTGCAATAAAAACAAACATTTAATTAAAAAGTAAGGGAATGATGCTTCTGATTGAGAACTGGTTAGTGTCCTTCTCTCTTTCACAAACACACACACGGTGAGAATGATTTAGAACAGTTAGGACTGGATTTTCAAGCTCTACACACCAGTTCAAGCATTGCTTGACCTGGATATGAGCTCCAGGCTCTGGTTAACTTATGGCTCACTTCAAGGGCTGTCAAGTTCATCCCTCTGAGAAGATAGGCTGGCCTCACTGCAGTAAGTTAGGGATAACAATCTGCAGAGACCCACATCTGTGGAAAGGTAGGCCAGATCAACCACCAGAAAGTAACAAGTGATACTGATTAACTCATATGATTAATAAAGATTACACAAATGGAAAACAGCATAGTGCATTACTATGAAATACTGACAAGTGACTTGACTCTGAATGAAGGCAAAGCATAGACATAAAGTTTACAACAGTCCCTTTATCCAGGGATGAACTCAGTAGCATGGTCTTAGGCAAACACACAAGCCCTTGAAGTCTGTCAGCAGCTGACACCCTTCCAAGTTTGGGAACACTCTCCTGTCATCTGGACCATGGGCCTATTTCTCTGGACTATCTGCCCCTCAGTGCTCTAGATCCAGAGTGATAGCCAATGGACAGTGTTCATATTTGCTCTTTACAAATATGAATCTTTCAGAAATATGTTTTACTGAAGAAAAGTTGTCATTATTATTACTACAGTTATTAAACAGTGAAGCCTGTTTCATCGGTAACCTACAACTCAACTGCTGTGTTTATAAGAGAGGGAAGAGTCCTGGCTGATAATCAGTATGGCCCAGAGAAGTGTCTCTTAGAGGCACATGGTCACGGGGTTGCTATCAGTCAGGAAAGACTTGCCAGTGTTCCTGGGGTCTGGCTGTATGGGAACACCACTGGCTATCTGCTTCTGGAAGCCATACAGTCAGCGGTAAAGTGAGGCTGGTAAACCTTCCACTCTCAGCAGGGCAGTCCACTTGCACTTCTCTACTGGCAGGGGGAAAACTGCTGGGCAGTCTTAGCTGCATGCTTCCTTTCCTGGGTGAAAGGTCAGTGTTTCTGGGCCTACCTTCAGCTCATCTTTGCTCTGGAAGTTGTCCAGGAGGTGCTGGTAATGTGTATCACACATCTGGCGGAGCAGTGAGAGAAGGCAGGACACATACTCGCCCTGGGAAACAACCCAAAATACACTTAGCAAAGCCAATCACAAGAGCTGTGTTTCCCCAATCCACAGAGGGTAAGGAGAGAAGGAAGGGTCTGAGATGGCCCCAATGATCATGAGAGGGAAGGTGACAACTCTAGCCCTGAAAATGAATTTTCTTTTCTGCTAAAGGGGTGCCTGGAGGGCTTGGGAGTTTTAATAAGATTTTTGCAGCATGGGGCTAATTGAAAAATCTTAGCTGATAAGAAAGAAGTACTGCCAAATGAGACAGATATTCAAGTTTTTTTTCCTAGGCAACTTTTGGCTGCATAATCCTTTGTCATTATATGCTGCCAGGGCACCATACTAAAGTCTGGAGGGGGCCCTGGGAACAGGGAGCTCAGACTTCTCTGGACAGAATTTGGACTCTGCCCATCCACTGGGCTGGATAAGTCTTTCTGCAAGGATCTCCTCTGGGAACTCCCAGAGCTGACATGTGATTGCTGGAGATGGAACACACTAGATCAACATGACTCTCAGGAAAGCAGAGGAGTCAAAACTGACCTTTCTGAGAAGATGAGCTAATGGCTTTAAGTAAAACTTTAAAAATAAAAAAAAACGAGTCTTTAAAATTTCCTCAAGTTCCAACGGGGGCACACAGATGAAAACCCTGGCCTAAGGACTCCAAAGACTTTCACCATCTCTTAGAGACTTCTGACATGGGCAGCTGAGCACAGATTCCTCTTAGAAGGCTGCCTCCCCAGAAGAGACGGAGGAAAAATGACTTCATTTGGGCAGTTTTCAAATGTTTTTAAGTTTGTGGGACTATGACAACTCTATTTTAGTCTCAAATCCTTTTGTGACTCATGAAATTATTACACATATATGTAAGCAAAATATATACAGGTACATGAACCTCAGTTTTATCTGAAGAAATGGACATAAGCCATAATTTGTTTTGAGGATAAGATGCATTAATGTACATAAAGCATTTAGGTAAAAAGGCCAGCACATAAAGAAGTGCTCAATAAATTGTTGTTATCTTCATTAGATGTATATGAAATAAATCACTTCTCTAGTATCGCTAGTGAGTTACTGCTTGTAAAGTGCATAAAGCAGGGTCTGGCCCACAGCCAGCACTGTGTCATTGCTAGTTAGAAGGATGGGCTACCAGGACATGCCAGGGAGCATATGTTCTTACCTATAGTGAGAGTGTCCTGCGTAGGAGTTCCTAAGGGAGCAGACATTCTTTCCAAGCCCATATGCTCTAGAACACATCTGCTCTCTGCTCTCCCTAACATGCTGAAGCTTGACTTGCTCCCACAGGAGCTTTTCTACAAAGGGATCACTGTAGTCTCCCACCTGCCAACAGGAAGATCCCCAGCAAGCTGTTTATCATGTCCCAACATCAGGGCTAAGAAGTGCACACTGCATAGGAGCGAGGGTGCGGGGGGGAGGTCTGGGGGGTATCTCTCTGCCTCTCCTGAGAGGCTCTCCCAGTCTGTTTCTCTCTTAGTTAGATCATGGGAGATCACGGTCCAACACCAGTGCTATTCTACCTCATCATGTTTTCCCTGATGCTCGACATTTAGATACAAATACTGTAGGCAAAAGCAACTAATCTGTAAGTACAAGCAGATTGTGAGAAAATTACTGTGGTGCACACATCACTGCTGAGAGCCTTCTCCTAGAAGGAACAGTCGACAGCTGTCACCTTCATTCTCTGCTTTATTCCACATTACAGAAAGTGACCTGGCTCAAAGGCAAAGGCCAGTGGAGACTGTGTGCAGGAAAACAGGACAGCAAGCATCCCTGGGTCTGTCCCTAAGTACACTCCTCTGAGGATGAACCTAGAGCTTTCAGAGTGGAGATGGAGTTCGACTGGAGAGGGGAAAAGGGCAGCATGCAGACAACCATGCAGGGAGGGAAGCTGAGATGAAGGTGGTGTGATGTGAGATGAGGTTCCATGTGGAGGAGCCCCAGGTTAGAAAAGAAAGCAAGAAAACCTGAATGTTAGTTACTAACAGTGATCTCCGCTGTGCACTGCGGGCACCGCTGCCCTCTTACCGCCTCCTGAGCGTGGGATTTGCTCATGATGGTGAGCAGAGTCTGTAAGAGCACATCCAAGAGGCTTTCCACCATCATTTCTACCTCCTCCATGACATCTGCCTCCTGGAGCGAGCAGTGAGAGAGCACAGGGTTAGCGCCAGGCTGGCCGACGCGCAGAGGGCAGTACTTACTAAATCAGCCACGGTCAGGAGCAGTCTTCTGACTTAACTTTCAATACCAAGCTCCCAGCCTCACTGGCATGCAGTGTCAAGGAACCTGGAACAACGGCTCTGAGAGGAGGGGAGGCACACCTGCCTACATTGCCCTGGTTTGGAGGTTGGAGACTGATCCTAACACAGCAACAGCCTGACAACTGCAATTCTGAACCTCAGGCAGATATATTAATCTTGATACACAAGGACGAAGCGAAGATCCTAAGTTAAATGTTTTCTCTGATGTTCCTAGAAAAGTCAAGAGAGAGCACAACACTGCTGACTTAACACTCTGAGAAAACAGTAAAGAGTTCACACCACAGGGTGTGGAGGCAGCACCCTCCCTACTACTAATGCACACAGAAGTATCTCAGTCTTCCTCAGGACCATTTTCTCTGTGAGTGACCTCACTCTCTGCCAGGCCTGACTGCTGCCCAGACATGCTCCCTCTAGCTCCTTGGCATTCCTGCTCACGTTCCTTGGTCTCCCAGAAAGACCCTGGTCTCAGTGTGTCCCTCTTAGGCAGCCTCACAGAAGCAATGGAGCATGTTTCCTCATTGAGGGCTGCTTCCCAGTCAGCAAGTTCTGACTTTAGGAAGAGTCTGTGCTATCTTTTTCTAGACCTCTTACATGCAATCCAAATCCTACAGCATGATTTTCATGATCTCACAAAAAGATTCCTGTTGCCTCTTCTCCGGTCCCTTTACACTATTTCTGGTCCAAATGTCCATCCATCTATCAATCCACCATTCACTAAGTATCTACCATGGGCCAGTAACTGTTTGAAAACCTGAGCATACACAAGTCATCAAGAAAGGTAAGATGTCTGCTTTAGTGGAGCTTAAATTTCATCCACCCCCCACCCCAGCTGTCCATTCAATGTAGTTTTACTGAGTCCCATTCCACAAGAAAGATTTGAGAGGCTCTTGGGACCACAGTCTTCTTCCTCATTTGTTGAACTAATAACACGTTTAAAACCTGTGATGGCTCTTTGAGTAGCTGTGGGGTTAGGGTCTAACCCCACAAATACAACCAGATCACCTCCTTCAGATTTTCACTTGTTCCCATTCCTCTTTCATCCCTCCCCTCCCCTTGCTATTCCCCTGCAATTTATCTCTTTCCTGTAGTAACCAGCCTCCCAACCCCTCAAGCTGATGCTGGGTCACCAGTACACCTTATGTGCCTGGTGTTGCTTCTTTGAGGCCTGGTGGGAAGGCGAGCTGCCAGGTCTTGCCTGGAGCCAAGAGCAAACAAAAGGGCCACTACAGCCATTGTCGTCACTCTGCCAAGGTGGGCCGCCATCACCAGATGGTCCTTTAAGTCTGGATACCAGATACCAGAGCACCCTATTGAGTCCTTGCATCCTGTTCAAACCAAGCACATTTTTTATTCTCTGTACCTCTCCCATGCTATCTTCACAGACAACTTAACCTCCTATGTTTGTATCACTTGGTTCCTGGTATTTGTTTTAAATGCACTTGAAATTTTATTCTCCAGAAACCTTATCTCAGCTTAGGAAGACTGTGTAAATAAAGATTCAGTCTTATTTTAAATTTGTTTATACTTTCCTATAGTTTTCAAGTTTTCTAAAAAAAAAAAAAAAAAAAAAAAAAACTCATTTTTATAACATATAGTATAAACATATAACATAAAGATAATTAAAATAAATTCCTACCCTTATCCATGCCTGATACATGTTTTTCTGCCTTCCTTAGCTCCCCTCCCTTCTAACACAGGTCTCTTCTAAAAAACTAAAAATAGAGAAGAAAGAAAATAGGCAAAAGCACTACCAGCTGAAACCTGAGCCCTCAAGTACCATTCCAGCATCCCATGAGGCTGAGAACTATTGTGGGCAACATGTATCGCTCGTACACCCTGTCTCATCTGGCATGGTATAGGAATGCCATATGGGTGGAATCAAGCTGCCAGGAAGCTGACAGAAAAGTCTGAATGAGCAAGCTGCCTCTCAGCCTAGGCCTGCCTCCTTGTGCTCATTCGTGCCTGAGTATCCTCAGAACACTCCCAGGAATACAGAAGTAATGTCTTTTGATAGAAACAGAGCAAGCAGTATGGGATGGGGTTTTCTGGTACTACAGATAACTATGTTTCTGGGTGTATTTATGGCAGTACTTTGTTTTTTTTACATAGCAAGACTGTGTTGTGTTGAGAAGCTTGCTGGGCACACATAGGCAGGCCTCCATTCACTTGGGCACCTTCCTGTCACTGATGAAAGCTTCTCTGACTGGGAAGTGAACAAAATGATCTTTGTTGGTCTGCCTCTGGCTAAAGTGACACAGGACAGGGACAGAGCTTAGGGCCAGGGAGGCAAAGGTCTAGGGTCACTACCAGAGAGCTGGTCTTGACGATGGAGAAGATGCTGCCGAGAATCCCTGAGCAGATGAGCAGCTCCTTCTGCTGCCTCAGGTGAAGGTGGATATGATGGAGAACCACTGGAAGCAGGATGCGGCGGGATTCTGAGGGAGAAAACACAAAGGTGAAGCAGCCCTTTGGAGAAGAACCAGCTACCTTTGGAAGCCAGGGGCAACACAGGATGCAGCTGGTCTCCAGGCAGGTGGGGCTGGGGCTGCAGCTACGCTGGAAATCAGTACCTGCCTGTGGGCAGGTCTAACAGCCCACTTCCCAGACATCTGAAGACATGTCACAGCATTTTCCTTCTATCTCTCTTTTCTTTTTTCACATCTCAGGCCTCGATTATCTAGGGCCTTTTATGCAGGATGTATGTTAGGAGTCTGCTTCCAAATGAAATCTCTTTATTGACTAGACTCTAAATTAAACTCCATTTAAATGATACACTTAGTTCTATGAACTATGCTGATGGAACTAACTAGCAGACTTGATATGGATTATAAATGGTCCCTCTTCATGATGCCCTGATGGCAGCCCAGCACTTCCACTCTCGTAAGCCTTTACTGTACTTTCCCCCTCTGGCCTGTGGGATGCTGTGTGAATCCACAGTAATGAAAGGGACAGAAGGAGGACTTTCACCTTTGTCATAAGCCCTTGATAACTAGCTAAACTTCCTTGCCAGTCCTCCTGCATACATTAAAATATTTTTCTTTTCTTGCTTCTTCAATGCTGCCAAAAAAGTATCTTCATCAGGGAGTGACTATACTTAGACCTCCAAATTCAGGAAGGTTAAATACTAAATCAAGCTCTTTTATCAATTCACTCTAAGGCCTTAGGCAGGTTGATTCTCTTCTACAGGTTTGATTTCTCCCATCTATACAATGAGGTGCTAACAGCCCCTTCTGCATTTACTTCATAGGTGTGGTGAGAAGACAAGGTGAAATATAAGTGTGGACATGATTCTGGTGTCTTGCACTCCTATGTGGTCAATGACTGTGTGACTAAAGTGGCATTACAGCCAGTGAGCATGATTCAGTCAGTCTACCAGTAACACAAACAAGTCACAGTATTTTGGATTTGTTGTTCATATTTGACCATAGATAAGTACTCTAGATGAAATTCAGAATGAACATCTTTATTGGCAAACGACAAATTACATGATATACAGGAGATATGGGGGACTACCTTGTCAAATACTTAGAATATGTTGAAATAAAATGGAGTGACAACTATTATATGTTTAAAAGAATGCTTGGATAAAAGAGGAGCACCTACTGTCTTCTGCAGACCAAAATGCCAACACAGCAGGATTTGTAACAACCAATAGCTGCTTGCAGACAAAATAGCAGTTTGTTATTGGAACCTGCTGATGAAGAAACCAAACTGATATGCTCTGAGAAATGTAAGGGTTGGTTTCAAGACATCACTGGTAAAAGTCCTTTTGCCTCAGGAAAGATGCTGCAGCTCAGGCATTCAATGAACGTGACATGCAAGTGAAAATTTGGTGGTGGCTTGTTATCGCAAAATCCAATTACATAGTTCCAGCCACATAAAAACAATTTTTCTTAAGTGATTATGAGAAGCAGCAAGTACATGCAAAAGTATTAGAAATAAAGTATGTCAGTGAGGACATGGACTAGACATGGAACTGGACATGGAACAACAGACTGGTTCCAAATAGGAAAAGGAGTACGTCAAGGCTGTATATCGTCATCCTGCTTATTTAACTTGTATGCAGAGTACATCATGAGAAATGCTGGGCTGAAGGAAGCATAAGCTGGAATCAAGATTGCTGGGAGAAATACCAATAATCTCAGATATGCAGATGACACCACCCTTATGGCAGAAAGTGAAGAAGAACTAAAGAACCTCTTGATGAAAGTGAAGTGAAAGAGGAGAGTGAAAAAATTGGCTTAAAGCTCAACATTCAGAAAACTAAGATCATGGCATCCAGTCCCATCATTTCATGGCAAATATATGGGGAAACAGTGGCTGACTTTATTTTTCTGGGCTCCAAAATCACTGCAGATGGTGATTGCAGTCATGAAATTAAAAGATGCTTACTCCTTCGAAGGAAAGTTATGACCAACCTAGACAGCATATTAAAAAGCAGAGACATTACTTTGTCAATAAAGGTCCGTCTAGTCAAGGCTATGGTTTTTCCAGTAGTCATGTATGGATGTGAGAGCTGGACTATAAAGAATGCTGAGTGCAGAAGAACTGATGTTTTTGAACTGTGGTGTTGGAGAAGACTCTTGAAAGTCCCTTGGACTGCAAGGAGATCCAACCAGTCCATCCTAAAGGAGATCAGTCCTGGGTGTTCACTGGAGAGACTGATGTTGAAGCTGAAACTCTAGTATTTTGGCCACCTGATGCAGAGAGCTGACTCATTTGAAAAGACCCTGATGCTGGGAAAGATTGAGGGCAGGAGGAGAAGGGGACAACAGAGGATGAGATGGTTGGATGGCACCACCGACACAATGGACATGGGTTTGGGTGGACTCTGGAAGTTGGTGATGGATAGGGAGGCCTGGTGTGCTGTGGTTCATGGGGTCACAAACAGTTGGACACGACTGAGTGACTAAACTGAACAGACGTCATTGAGGGCAGTTTGCTGTCCGCCTTCCCATACACTCAGAAAGAACCTGTTTGCCCAACATAGAAGCACCTCAATACATAAGATAAACACTAACAAACATAAAAGGAAAAAGTGACAGCAACACAATAATAGTAGGAGACTTTAACACCCCACTCACACCAATGGACAGATCATCAAAACAGAAAATTAATAAGGAAACACAAGTCTCAAATGATACATTAGATGAGATGCATCTCATTGATCTCTTCAGGACAGTCCATCCAAATGCAGAAGAAAACACCTTCTTCTCAAGTGCACATGGAACATTCTCCAGGATAGACCACATCTTGGGTCACAAATCAAATCTCAGTAAATTTAAGAAAATTGAAATCATATCAAGCATCTTCTTTGACCACAAAGCTATGAGACTAGTTATCAATTACAAGAAAAAAACTGTAAGAAACAAAAACACATGGAGATTAAACAACACGTTTCTAAATAACCAACAGGTTACTAAAGAAATCAAAAGGGAAATCAAAGACTTTCTAGAAACAAATGACAATGAAAACATGACAACTCAAAATCTATGGGATGCAGCAAAAGCAGTTCTAAGAGGGAAGTTTACAGCAATACAATCCTACCTCAAGAAATAAGAAAAATATCGAATATACAACCTAACTTTATACCTAAAACAACTGGAAAAAGAACAAAACCCCCCCAAAATTAGTAGAAGGAAAGAAATCATAAAGATCTGAGCAGAAATAAATGAAAAAGAAATGAAAGAAACAATTGTAAAGATTAATAAAACTAAAAGCTGGTTCTTTGAGAAGATAAACTTGACAAACCTTTAGCCAGACTCATCAAGAAAAAAAGAGAGAAGAATCAAATCAACAAAATTAGAGATGAAAAGGAGAGGTTACAACAGAAAACACAGAAATATGAAGGATTATAAGAGACTATTATGAACAACTATACGGCAATAAAATAGATAGCCTGGAAGAAATGGACAGAATTTAGAAAAGTTCAATCTTCCAAGACTAAAGCAGGAAGAAATAGAAATTATGAACAACCCAACTATAAGCACTGAAATAGAAGCTGTGATAAAAAATCTCCCCAAAAACAAAAGCCCAGGACCAGACGGCTTCACAGGAGAATCCTATCAAACATTTAGAGAAGAGCTAATGCCTATCCTTCTAAAACTCTTTCAAAAACTTGCAGAGGAAGGAACACTTTCGAATTCATCCTACGAGGCCACCATCATCCTGATACCAAAACCAGACAAAGACAATACAAAAAAAGAAAACTACAGGCCAATATCACTGATGAACACAGATGCAAAAATACTCAAAAAAATTTTAGCAAACAGAATTCAGCAACACATCAAAAAGCTCATACACCATGATCAAGTTGGGTTTATTCCAGGGATGCAAGGATTCTTCAATATATGGAAATTGATCAATGTGATACACCATATTAACAAACTGAAAGATAAAAACTATATGATCATTTCAACAGATGCAGAAAAAGCCTTTGACAAAATCCAGCACCTATTTATGATTAAAACTCTTCAAAAAATAGGCACAGAAGGAACCTACCTCAACACAGTAAAAGTCATATACAATAAACCTATAGCAAACATTATTCTCAACGGTAAGAAACTGAAAGCATTCCCCCTAAGATCAGGAACATGACAAGGGTGTCTACTTTCACCACTATTATTCAACATAGTTCTGGAAGTACTAGCTACAGCAATCAGAGAAGAAAAAGAAATAAAAGGAATCCAAATCAGAAAAGAAGAGGTAAAGCTCTCACTGTTTGCAGATGACATGATACTGTACATAGAAAACCCTAAAGATAGTATCAGAAAATTACTAGAGCTAGTCAGTGAATTTAGCAAAGTTGCAGGATACAAAATCAATACACAGAAATCACTTGCATTTCTATATACTAATAATGAAAAATCAGAAAATGCAATTAAAGAATCAATCTCATTCACCATTGCAGCAAAAAGAATTAAAATATCTAGGAATAAACTTACCTAAGGAGATGAAAGAACTGTACACAGAAAATTATAAGACACTAATGAAAGCAATCAGATGACATAAACAGATGGAGAGATATTCCATGTTCCTGGGGAGGAAGAATCAATATTGCAAAAATGACTATACTACCAAATGCAATCTACAGATTTAATGCAATGCCGATCAAATTACCAGTGGTATTTTTCACAGAACTACAACAAAAAATTTCACAATTCATATGGAAACACAAAAGACCATGAATAGCCAAAGCAGTCTTGAGAAAGAAGACTGGGGCTGGAGGAATTAAGCTTCCTGACTTCAGGTTATACTACAAAGCTACAGTCATCAAGACAGTATGGTACTGGCACAAAAACAGAAATACAGACCAATGGAACAAGACAGAAAGCCCATAAATAAACCCATGCACCTATGGGTACCTTATTTTTGACAAAGAAGGCAAGAATATACAATGGGGCAAAGACAGCCTCTTCATAAATGGTGTTGGGAAAACTGGACAGCTACACATGAAAGAATGAAATTAGAACACTTCCTAACACCATACACAAAGATAAACTCAAAATGGATTAAAGACCTACATGTAAGACCAGAAACTATAAAACTCTTTGAGGAAAACACAAGCAGAACACTCGATGACATAAATCAAAGCAAGATCCTCTATGACCCACCTCCTAGAGTAACGTAAATAAAAACAAAAGTAAACAAGTGAGACCTGATTAAACTTAAAGCTTTTGCACAGCAAAGGAAACTATAAGCAAGGTGAAAAGACAATCCTCAGAACAGGAGAAAATAATAGCAAATGAAATAACTGACAAAGGATTAATTTCCAAAATATACAAGCAGCTCATACAACTCAATACCAGAAAAACAAACAACCCAATCAAAAAGTGGGAAAAAGACCTAAACAGACATTTCTCCAAAGAAGACATACAGATGGCTAACAAACACATGAAAAGATGCTCAACATCACTCANGTGAGATGTATGGGAAGAGTAACATGGAAACTTATATTACCGTATGTAAAAGAGATACCCAACAGGAATTTTCTGTATGGCTCAGGAAACTCAAATAGAGGCTCTCTATCAACCTAGAGGGGTGGGATGGGGAGGGAAGTTGGAGGGAGGTTCAAAAGGGAGGGGATATATGTATACCTATGGCTGATTCATGTTGAGGTTTGACAGAAAACAGCAAAATTCTGTAAAGCAATTATCCTTCAATTAAAAAAAAAAAAAAGAAGAAAGCACCTGCTTGAAGCAGTGCTCACAGCTTGAGTGAATGCAGTGGCTTCCGTGAAAGTCTGTGCAAACCACTGATTTTATCTTCAGTCCAGGAAGTGGTGAAGAGAGAAGTGCTTACCATGAACAGTTACAGGTGGAGAAAAGCTTAATTTCTTGGCTGCAGCTTTAGTCTCAGTAATTCCTTACACAGGCAGTGTTAAGCTAAAGCAGGTATTTGTTTTATACTGCAGATGTGTGTGGCTCTGGGCTGAGAAATGATTGATCTCATACTTTGAAAGTCAAACTTAAAAAAATTTGACCACCAAGAAGTTCTAATTATAAACATTCTAATAAATTGCTTTGTTAGCATTTTAGGTGTATTTCTGTGCCCTAGAAGTTTATTCCACTGTGTGATATTCTGCTTAAAAGACCAGGCTCATGCTGATTGTAAGATCTGACTACCAAATATTTGATCATGTTCAATGTGGTTTCAGGTATGAATCCAGAGGTTCCTTCTGAAAGACAGTCTAGGCTGCTGATTTTATTATATTGCCATTTTTTTTCCTAGTATTTTTTTTTATTTTTCTGACTGTACTGGATCTTAGTTGGGGCATGTGGGATCTAGTTCCCAGACCAGGGATTGAACCCCAACCCCCTGCATTGGGAGTGTGGATTCTTAGCCACTGGACCACCAGCAGGAAACTCCCTGATAGTATTTTGTTTGTCAGGCTTTCCTGATCTCTTTTGGAGTGTGGTGTGCTCAGTTGCTCAGTAGTTTCCAACTCCCTGCCACCAGTGCCATGGACTGTAGCCTGCCAGGATCCTCTGGATGTGGGATTTCCCAGGCAAGAATACTGGAGTGGGTTGCCATTTCCCCCTCCAGGGGAACTTCCCTTCCCAGTGATTGAACCTGCATCTCTTACATCTCCTGCATTAGCAGGCAGGTTCTTTACCACTATTTAGTGTGTGGAGGGCTCCCTATCTGTCTCTTTATCTAACCTTTAGAGGCTCCTCCAAAGAGAGGAAAAGGAATCTATCTGTCCTGCGAGGCAAGGAAACAAAGTGCAGTGGGTCCTCAGGGCCTCCTTTCAGGGTTTCTTTTCTTCCCTTGACTCATCCTACCTTCTTGGGCTAGACCCTTCTCTCTTGCTCCCCTTCCTTTCCCTCTGCTTTTTCATCCTACTGGGGCTGTGGCAGACCCCTTTCTTGGCAGCTGGCTAGATTTCTGGGCCTGGAGGTTGCCCTGCAGGCCACCTCATGTGGGTCCCTAGAAATAAGCTGTGAGGGAGGCAGTAGGCCTAGGTTTCAGCTGCATTCTCTAACAGAGTTTACCAAAAACTCCGCATTTTAAGGTCCACTGACCTCTCACATGATGGCTGGTAAAATTGATCCTTTGCTTACTACTTGGCCAATACCCTGATAAGGAAGAAAGGTGAGTCTGACTCTCATCCCAGCTTGATCTACCTGAGAAAGAAACTTGATTTACCTGAGAAAGAAAATAGGCGGCTATCCACAGTTCTGGCGATGGACTGCAGCTTCACCACATCCATTGACTGCCCAATGTGTACAGTGCTGGGCATGCTCCCCAGAGTCCCTCTCACAAACTCTGCCACCTCCTGCACAGTGAACATCTGCAGGAGCTCATCAAAGATGGTTGGGAAGGAGTTGAGGAGTGCAGCCTGCAGAAGCATGTGAAGGTCTGGTTAGCTCAGAGTTAGGTCTGCATCTGTCTGTGTGCTTAGACAACGACACACAGTGGTGAGAGGCTGAGAGGTAACTGCAGCACCCCTGTCTTGAACGGGCTCCTCCCTGGCCTGTGACTCCATCCATCCCCATAGCAGTTGTGGGGCTGAAGCAGGAGAACCAAAAAGGAAACCAAAACAAGAGAATTTACTGGGATCCAGGCCACTAGAAGCTTTAGAACTTGCCAAGGCATTTGTTGGCAAGAGAAGGAATTATATAGAGAAATTAACTCTACAGCTTAACATCCATAGCTGTTTTTGCTCATAAAATGGATTTAACTTATTTGTCTGTTGCTATGATCAAGTTCTTGACTTTCCAATTTCAGCCCCAAATTCAAGCCAGGAAACTCTCAAAGAAAGGAGGTCAAACAGAACTGAGTGCCATCAAGCAGCAGTAGGTGAACTCCATTCACAGTCCTGCAGCCAGCAGCCCAGCTCTGAAAACTGGACCATTTCCCCAGAATAGTGACATTTATTTGAAACCATGAAATCTGAAGGCTTTGTAAATTATTTCCTTCACAAGTGATGCCTGGCAGTCTCAAGTGTAAGTCCAAAAAGGAGGGAGAATGTGTGGATTTAGTCAGCCATGAAATCCTGAAGACTGCTGATGATGTTGGCCTAGAGTTCAGTGACCTTGATGGACTAGACAAGTGGTCTGTGTGTATATGGAGACTTCTCTTCTAGGATCTCAGTTCTGGGAGACCATGAGGTGGCTTCTTGAGAATAATCAGAGCCTCTGGGAGGCAGAGTAGTTTAGGAGAAAGAGAATGGCTTTTGAAATTGGACAGACAGGAGTTTAAATCCCAGCATTACCACCTATCTGCCACATAACCCTGGGTGAGTTACTGCCTAGTCCTCCTTTTTCTCATCTATAAAATGGAGATGAGGCTATCACTTATCTCCTCATACTGGTATGAAGAAGTTGTTTAGGTGCACTAGGTTAATTTCCAGTAGACTGCCTGGCACACTTACCAGGCCTTCAATAAATGCTGGCTCTTGTTCAATCTCTCGTCTAAATGGAAATAGCATGAAGGAGGCTCTTCACACTGCTCAGTCCTCTTGGATTATTAACCCAAGATTTACAAAGGGAAATGGAATGTCGCCTTGAGATGAGGTGAGAGTGTACTCTTTCTAAGTGGCAGGTTAGGGGAGGGGAGTTGTTTTTCCTGATTGCTTCATCAGGCAGTAAGACACTGTCATTGACTGAGTGAAAATTTATACAGGGCAACAGGTCTGTCACACTGCACTCTATGTTCAGACCGGGACCATGACTGAATTTCTGTGAATTCTATCTGCATATTTATAACTCCCTGAGATATCAAGGAGACCATTTTTCAGTAATGAGAACCAGCATAAAAACTAGATACAAAGACAAAGGGAGGAAGCAGGTATTTCTTCTGGCTGCATCACAAACCTTGCAGGACCTCAGTTCCTTGACCAGGGATTGGTAGTGAAACCAGGGGCCATGTTAATGAAAGTGCCAAGTCCTAACCACTGGACTGTTAGGGAATTCCTGGAAAAGTAGGTGATATTTCACAATTAACGACAAACAGTAACTGATTTGCCCTCTTAAATGGTGAAATTTTCTAATCTCATGGCACCAGGACAGAAGGACACTTGCACCGTAACATCTCCTAGTGGTCAGAATCAAAGACATAAAGTCTGACTGAATTGTATACTTGCTGAGGGTTCTGCAACTCATGAAACATGAGCCTGGTACCAAAGCAGCAGGTCTGATTCTGACTCAGGTCTAACCTGAGAATAGATCTAAGCTATTTATCCCGATGTGGGAGGGACATGCTATTGAGAACAGGGCATTGCTGAGCTCTCAGAAAGCAAATCGGCCCTGCTCTGCTAGCTACCTCTGAGCTCCCTAGATCTCCACAGGCTCAGAGATGAGTAGGTGTCCTGGGCCTTGGCTGGCAGGAACTGATAGACTAGGGGAGAGAGATGACTGGCCTGGGGTATTCAGGAGGGGAGACCATGGAAGGAGGCTTTCTTATAGAGATACCTGGTGACCTTGATGTATTCTACTTTTATAGAGGCTATCTCCCAGTTGCTCTTTTGTTCTCTGGGCCAAGGGGTCTATGGGCAACTGGAATCTAGAGGCAACATAGGAGCAAGTGGAAAACAAAAAAAAATTGGACTATTCTAATCTTAAAGGAGATATTTAAACATATATTTGTGCTAACAGACCTAGCAGTGACTAAATGAATGGATGTGAGAGAGGCTATCTAGTCTCTGTTCATAAGTTTTGATGTAATAATTGCCTTCAAAAAATCAAAGAAGTGTAATTCATTAGATACAATCTTGACATTTATCTGGAAGAAAAAAAATAACCTCTTTGTGACTGGGGTAATGAACAATACCCTTGATCCCTTCTAGTGTATGGGTACGTGGGAAAGGTAACTGATTAACTGACCAGACATATTTAATATAAGGAAGCAAACTTCCTCTCCACAGTACTATTTCTAATAGAATATAATCCTAATTCTTAGCCAAAGTTTTCTAGTTATTTCTGCGTTTTCAACCTATTTCACTCTTAACTGCTAGAATGGACAATTCTAACCTGAGGTTGTTAAAATTCATCAAGTTGACTAGGAAATAAAATTCTCTATGCATTCTGAATATCCTTTATAAATAAGATGTTCATGTACAACTAACAGTATGGTAGCTAAATAAATCTGGTCAAAAGAGGGCAAAGTTGAGCTTCTTCTCCACCATAGACACGGGGCTGTTTCATATTTGGAAGCTGGGACACAGTTGGCTTTGAAGTAAAAACAGCATTTTATTCTAGCAGGTATTTCCTTATACCTCAACCCTTACCAGAAACATAGAAACCTGGCAGGGCTTTGACTCTGGAAGCCAGAGGACAAAGAAACCACCTGCTAAGACAGATAAGAATCCAGCAGCAAAACTTTCCTGTAGCTCACAGACCTGAGTGAAAAGGAGTGTTTCTGAATTTCTGCTGTCCAGACTGAGCACAAACCGGATGGACTGGAAAAGCTCTTGGATGCTGGACCGGAACTGTTCCTCTTCCATTCCACAGGTGGCACGTGAGTACAAGATCCTTGACTGCACGATAAACTTGAAAAGGTACTCCAACGCCTGGAGGTGTGGGAGAAAGAGGGATAGAGAGGTGTTAAAGATGGGCTTCCCAGGTGGCGCTAGTGGTAAAGAACCTGCCTGCCAATGCAGGAGACATAAGAGACGTGGTTTCAATCCCTGCGTTGGGAAGATTCCCCTGGAGGAGCGCATGGCAACCCACTCTAATATTCTTGCCTGGAGAATCCCATAGACAGAGGAGCCTGGAAGGCTATGGTCTACAGGGTCCCAAAGAGTTAGACACAGCTGAAACAACTTAGCATATAAAGATGGTCAGGAACTAATACATGAAGGAGTGAAGGGTAGAGTACCAGCAAATTATATACTAAAATCGAGAGATGGACATTTCCAACTTTGGAGATAAGCACTTTAATAGCTTTTATAATTTTTATTGGCATATGGTTGATTTACAATGTTGTGTTGTGCTAGTTTCAGGTATATAGCAAAGTGACTCAATTTATACACATATATATTCTTTTTTTTGAGATTCTTTTCCCACGTTGGCCATTACAGAGTATTAAGTAGAGTTCCCTGTGCTATACAGCAGGCTATTATTACTTATCTCTTTTATACATAGTAGGGAAGTACTTTTTTTAAATTAGAAAAATGTTTTTTACTTTAATTTTTAAAACCTTTCCTCAAAAGTCCAGATGGTCCTTGAGCAGCAAGTATCTATGTACTCAGAGAATCGCCAAATTATTTCATGTAGCTGTGGAAGTGAATAACCACAGACTATTATGGAAGCAGCTGAACTCAAGAAGATACTGGATCAAAAGAAAATTAAATTTCTCTCATTTTTCTCAGGTCTAGAAATAAAAGGCTACAAAGGCAATGATATAAGAACCTTTCTTAAATTTATTCCAAGAAGGAAGAGTACTTTAAGAAGTCTTCTGCATCTTTGAGAAACAGCTGGCGTCTTGACATGTGCCAGCCATATCACCAGGGGTCAGTCCAGTTTGGAGAAAATAGGACAGAAGCTGGCAGACCCAACACACCCATTCACCATCCTCTCCTGGACCAGGACACCTGCCATCAACAGTTTACGAACAAGACAGGAGACAAAACTCCCATAACACGTGTTGAGAGCAGAATCTGATTCTGAGGAGCTCCTGGAGGTTGGCCCATGCTTATGAGCTGAGTAATTCTCTTTTAAGCGAATTCAAGATTATATACATTCTAATCAAAGAAAGGCTAAAGATCTCCCAGACACTGGAAAGGCAGAGTCATGGAGCATTGAGGAAAAACTTATCCGAGGATAAAATATGGAGCTCTGGCCACCTCTTCAAAGAAGCTTTCCCTAAACTCTTGATGTGAAGTAAAACCTCCTCTCCAGCCATTCTATGCCAAGATCCTATTTATTTCTTTAATGGCATAATTACTTTTTTTCCTCACTGACTTTGTATGTTTATCTTTGTGTGGTTTATCTCTCGGACATGTTTATTGTCTACCTTTTCCCCACTTGAATGGAGGTGCTATCAAGGCCGAACCTTTCTGTGTGGGTTCCTGCTGAATCCCTACTGGGTAACACAATGTCTGACACATGGCAGGTTTCAAGCAATATTGGCTGGATGAATGACTCTTAGAAGAAAACTAAGATACCATCTCCAATGCCTTAAGCAATTAATTTCTGAACTTACACAGAACTTTTTGCATTTAACTCCATGTGTACCCCTCAATTATGCAGGGAACCTCACAGGTGCTGGGGTTCAGAGAAAAACAGAACCCAGGCCCTACCCTCACATCACACTTGGCACTCTGTTCTACACTTGCGTTTGAGCCTGATTCCCTTTAGGACACAGGGGATGTGTTCTTCCAGGGAAGAAGGCAGTCTTACTCCTCTCTGCATCTCAGCAGCCATGACATGCTGGTTGCTCAGCCAACATGTATTGCATGAAGGTAAGAAGTGAGACTTGTGGCCTCAGGTTTTTACAGAATGTGCTGAGAACAGGCAGGGAAAATACAGATTTATGATTTGATTTTGCCTCTTTAAACTGATGATGCTTAGGAAAATATATGTTTGAACTGTTACCACACGAGTAACACAAGCATAGGCCCACTAGTACTTAAGAGAAGATGATGAGATATTCAAAGAGGACAGAGAAAAAGCAGAATTACTTTGCTGCCATTCTTCTTTTATTACTAACTAGAAAGGGTGGGAAAGACATGGTTAAAAAGCATCTTAAAAAAAGTGACTCAAGAACAAGAAAAGACAGGGATGAAAGGAAAGAAAGAAAACATGAACTTGCTTTAAGTGAGTTCTCAGAGGATATGAGTTTTTTAAAAAAATAGTTAATATGGAGAACTGCTAAGCAAGAGAGGAATCAACATTCTCATAGGTGGTTCTCTACAGTAGAAGCAGCAGTCATGAGAAAACGAGTTACCAGAAAGTGCAGTTAACTCACAGTGAGGGCAGTCCCCTGCAAAAGGGAGCTGTCCAGCACTGCAAAGGGCTGCCTGATCCTGGTTTTAAGATTACCTTCTCAACATATCCACACACAGTGCATTCACTCAGTTCTTTTTACTTAAAACAGTTATATAAAATACAATGTTCAGTAAATACTGAAGAAGGGGCAAGTATTAGATAATCTTATTTCTAATCAATGTTGGCTTATTGCTAACCAACACTGGCTTAGAAGGAGATACGATACTTTAGCCAGTGGAAGCAAAGACTGGCACTAAGGGCAGAAACAAGGCAGTGGGGATGACCACGAGTCACATGTACATCATCCCTCCCTGCTGCTCTCAGATAAACTTATGAGGAATAAAGACCTTTTAGGGCAAAACCTGAGGGAGGAAAGGGCAGTCAGGTGGATCAGGGCAGTCATTCCACGCTGTCTACACTTGTCCCGCACTCTACTCCTCGGAGGTTACTTGCAAAGTTCTGCAGGGGTGGGCCCTTCTCAGGACATTACCCGCATTGCTTCCTGAATGTGGTCCTGCCGAATCAGTTCTGCTGAGCAGTCCATGTACCACTTCAAACAGCGGATTAGCTCCCTGGGAAAAAGAACAGTCCCAGAAACCCCACTTTATTCCAAAAGCAATGCAGCCTGAAATACCTGCAGTCCTAAATTAGCCATAGAGGAAATAATATACTGCTGACAAACTAGAACGGAGCGATGGATTCATTACAGCTATGGAATCTTTAGACCACCTGAGACCAGACAACAATCCTGACCAAGAGATGCCACATTTCAATCAGCAGTTGGAGTCATTCTTTCCCACTTCCCCTGAGACACATTTCTTTTGATTACAATAAAGTTTTCCCAAAGTCATGGACTGGATGTGTGTTTTCTTTGTTGAAAACTGCTAAGTCTCCAGAATATACAACAATGACTAGTAAATAGCAGACTCTGAGTAAAGGTGTATGGTCCCATGTGCCCCTCCTTGCCATCCCAATCATCTTATTTCCCTAGGACCAAGTTAACTGAGTGGCATGGGACTACAGGGTCAGAAGGTCTGCACATATACATGGCCAAAGAATTCAGAGGTCAAGAGAACATGCCCTCTGCAGACAGCAGGGTTCACATCTGGGGCGTATCAGTCTCGAGCTCTGCATCCTTGAGCAAGTTATGTGAGCTCTCTGTCCTCACTCTTTTCACTTGAAATATAGGAAACAATAGTACATCTCAAATTACTGTGAATTCTAATAAGATGACACATGTAAAATCTATAGCACAGTGCCTGCTCTCTCTCTCTCAAATTATCAGAGTCCAGTGATTCCAAAGCTTCACCACCCTTCAGGTTTTATCTCTTCAAAACTTATGTTCATTCCATAGAATAACATGGCGACTTTTAAAATTGCTCTAATGGCTTTAGATAAACTGTGAGTGCTGCCCATGTTTACTCTTTGTATTATCTCTTTTACTGTCTTTTCTTTCCTTTGATATTTATTTGTGGATGCTATATTTAGCTATTCACATGCTTCTCACTGAAAAAACAAGACATTTTCAGCAGCTCTTCCATCATTTCTTAGAAGGAAAAGTATGAAAACTATGCAATAAACTATAGTATAAAATGTCAGCAGAAAGCCCACAGCTAACATCATTCTCAATGGTAAAAGCCTATCTTTCTAGTCAAACACAAATCCTAATGATGATGCCAAATGCAACTTACTTGTATGCCAGGGCTCCAGCAAAGTGCTTCTGGATGTATGTGTCCATTACAGGTCGGAAGTGGAAATATTTGATGTCTCGGAGCAGGTTGATGATGAATACCTGGGAGAGACAAGGTGTAGCAGAATTCAGCAGAGGTCTCAAACCTACCCCCCAGAAGGAAACAACTCTTGATTCTTCAAGGAATGGCAAACTACAAGTGTTTTCTACAGTGTTTCCAGTGAATGTAAGACTGCCATTCTGGGTATGTATTTTTGTAATGTTTGTTCTATTGCTAACAACCCTGGCCTCCCATTCCAAACTTGGGACTCATTGGTCAACAGCAGTGACTCTGACCTTCTCTCTTCACAATAATGCTCAGTGGTACAATATAGACCAAGTAAAGACAAAACAATATCTGTGATGGTGGCACAAGCATTAAGATGTCTCAAAAACTTGGAAAAGAGAGAAAAAAATATTGTCCTCTGAGCCAAATCATCCTACGGAAGGTTGCACCCTTCAGAAATTAGGGTTGGTTGGCCAGGGAGGCAAGAAGAAGTCAGAGAAACAAACTTTGCAAAATACCACTCTAATTCTTGCCTCAGCTGCTCATCTATCATACAGACTTTAAAGTATCTGGTTGTCCTTGAACACATAGCCCTCCTGGAGGACTGGACATATTCAACAAAATGCACTAAATATTCAGATCACTGTCTTTTCTCACTGAGCAACCTTCTGAGACTCTGGTTCCCAGATAACTGCTTACAGGGAGAGGGTGTGACACTCAGACCAGCACAGAGAGTCTGCTTTTCCTGGTGGTTATATCCTTTGTTTTTGCTTTTAATATTTATTTACTTGGCTGTGCTGGGTCTTAGTTGTGGCACACAGGATCTTTAGCTGTGGTATGTGGGATTTAGTTCCCTGAACAGGTATTGAAATCAGGCCCCTTGCATTAGGAGTGCAGTCTTAACCACTGGACCACCAGAAAAATTTCTGTATCCTACTTTGTAAGTGGAAAATGAGCTGTCTTATTTCCTTTATTGGTCTCTGGGCCTTTTGCTGGTGTAGGTCACTATTTCAGGGGTGAGGCAACCCTGCGATAGCGGTGAGACTGAGTATCAAAACCACAAAGCAGAGGTCCAGATTTGATCATGTAGAGATGTTCCAGGTAGGCAGGTTGTTGGTCTTCCTTGGTGACACTCATCAGTCCCTTTCCTGTTGGGAACATCTACATCTTATGCTGACTCACTCAAATAAACTGCTTTCCTCAGATTTTTAAAAAGTATGTGACAGGAATAATCAATAAAAATCAGGAAAGGTAAGACTTACCAAAGACTGAAATACCAGCAGGCCATATTTCTCTGTGTTATCATCCAAAATCACAAACAGTGTATCTAAGATGTCCTGCAGAAACTGCAACAGCATAAAAACCAGAGGGCTCAGGTCTTAGGACCGTGGACACACAGTCAGACATTCAAACACCAATGAATTTATCTCCCAAACAAACAAAATAAAAAATCTCCTAAGACCTCAAACTACCACTTAAAAATAACCTGGTATTCCATCTCCACCTAGCTAAGAAATAACTAGGTGGACTTTGGGTGTTTGGTTGTAGCCCAAAGGGCCCTAAGAGAGACCTAGAGAGGCTCTTCCTGTTGGGTAAGTGCTAAACTTATAAGGAAAGAGCAATTACCTAGAAAATTTAAACCACCCATGAAGAACAGCAATCTTGAAATGAAGACAATCTAAGTGATTTGGATGCCAAATTCATTTTGAGAGAAAGTGTTTACTTTCCTGGGAACCCAAAATTCAGTACTCTCTTATTGTCTATTATGACCTAACTCTGTAGAGGACATCTGGATAAGGATGTGACAAGCTAGGCCTTACCTACAGAAACTTATTTTTTTGGTCTAGAAATTAGTATCCCAGGAGAAGAGAGAATGCAGCTGATGAGGGCTGTCAAAGAGGGTAAAAGATCTGGAGACAACATTTTTCTTTTTTTGAGCAGGTGCCTTTTTCTTTCTAAGATGCAAAAGTCCAGGGAGAGAATAATAAATATTCATGGATGCTCCCAGTCTTCAAAAATCAAACCTAATACTCTGTCGGTCAAAATGTAATTTAATGATAATAATGTTTACAACTTGTTTCAAAACAACCTAAGGTAGAAGGCATGGATGAGGGATTTGTGGGCAGGACTGGCCAGGGGTTGGTGACAGTCAGGGATGAATGACAGCGACATGTAGGGTTATTTATTCTGTCTGCATCTTTGGATGCTTGAAATTTTCCAATAAAAAGTAAAAACAAGTAAAATGCTAGCATATTCCCTTTACATTCTCTCCTGGCTGGCTTGAGATAAATATTGATGCTAAAACCAGAAATGCTGGTAGGATGTTCTCTTGTCAGGAATGTAACAACTCATCCTTCAAAAGATCACAGAATTTTCATAGTATGTGGTCTGTTCTACTGGTGAATTTTTTAATATGTTTAGAAGGAAAAAATGTCCTGAGTGTAAATTTATCTTAAGTTTCAAAACTAGTTTGTATAAAGTTTGAAAAGCTTGTTAGTATAAAAAGTTCTTTTAAAAATTTATGATTCTCTGATCAATTAACACAAAATTCATACAAGACTTCATGAAAGTACAAAGAAATACACAGACTTTAAAATTACTCCTCATTTGGAGACACCATGTTGTGTATTATTGAGTCAATGGAGCTGTAAAATGAAAGTACAGACAATGCAGTGATAACAGATTTGATCCTTGCAATGATGGAGCCAAGAATGTCCACTGATGGACAAGGTGCCTTTTTGAAATTCAATCTCTAACCTACATTCCACTGCTCTTGCTGATCACCCAAAGCACGTCCATTCTCCTTAGTTGAGCTCAGTCCATTGTGCAGAATCCGCTGACCAGGCTTTCACCATCAGGAAGTGCCTGGGGTTCTTCTTGAGCTAAAGTCAGAGGGGCTAACACCCGGCTTCTACACAGTGTGGAGAAGCCCTAAGGGTAACAACTGGGGTTGGGCCACGTTGCTGTCAGTTTGCTCAGGACATTAGATGGGAACATGTCACAAAAGCACATGAGAAAGCCGTTGAGGCAGAGAGGAGGGTAGAGTTCCCTGGTCTGGACTCTTAAGTGAGAGACTGGGCAAAATCAGGAGTTCCAGTTCATGGAGAATATATTTAGAGTTCCTGTAGATAATCCAGAGGGTGGGGCCAGGAGGACACCAGGCTGGGTTTGTGGTAGAGGTTTACAGAGTAAGCGAAGAGAGGAAGCGAGTGGAAACCTAGAGGCATGCAGGCGGCAGCCCACACTGGGATTGTTTCTGAGAGGCTGCCCTTTAATTATCACTTTACTTTCTGGGAAGAAAAACAAGCCAGAAAATAGGGTTTAAAACTTAAATATAGTTTCTAAAAGGTAATAAACCTGATGTGATACCTACTTTAAAGAAAGAAGCTAATTGAAAAAAAGAAAAATAACTTTATCTCTACTCACTTAACTATATACCTTAAAAAGTGGTCTCAGAGGCTTATAGGCAGAAATCAAGGGGAAGTAAGGCCCTTTGCCCAGATTCCTTGCTCAGCTAGCATGTGTGAATTAAGTGAAAGTCATACCTTAACAATTTCCTCCCCACTGACATGCCGCAGCCGCCCAAGGATGTCCATGATCCGGTCTGGAAAGGCCTTCCATTTCAGCAGAGCAAGGAGGTCCACTAGGAAGCAAGCCCCAAAGATGGTGAACCCTAGCTGTGTCATGGGCAAGTGAAGCCTAGACTCTCCCTGTTGAGGGTGGGTGGGATCTAGAGAGACAGAAACAGCTGGAAGCAGCGAAACAGCATCCAGAGTGCTGCGATCAAGGCTACAGACACATCTGTAAAACCATGGAAAACCCCATAGCTTGCTATTACCAAGTGAGTCCTTCAACTTCGAAAGAGAAGAATACCCTCACTGTGGCATGAAAAAGCAGAAGCAACAATTTCTGTCTCTTGACAAATACCAGCAACACGAAGCAGCAAGTGGGGACAGTGGAGGGCTCAACCCTGCGGGCACCCTGGCCTACCGTTCTGGGTGAGCTTAGTGGAGGAGAGCTGTGTGGAAATGAAGAAAGATTCTTTGGTGCTGCGCTGGAAGATGAGGCTGGAGGGGATGTTAGGGCAGCCATTGTAGTCCTCTTTGCAGCAGGGCAGGCCCAGGTAAAGAGCGTGGTTGTTAAACGTGCTATTCTCATCACACTGCAGGCGTAAGTAGAGAACACAGAATATTTCTGGAACCATGCCACGTGTAAAACATCAGGTCCTGGGGATTTTGGGGTTCTTGAGGCTGGACCCTGGACCTCAGGTCCTGTTAGAAGAGTGCTTCCTAAGCACTTTAAAAGTGTTTTTCATTTCTTCCCCCAGAATGGCTCACAGGCCTTTAAAAGAAAACATGGCAAAGCTCATGGTCTCTACCTGTTGTGCAGGAAACTTTGGGTACCGGCTATGCTGTGATAGCTGACAGAATCAAGAGCCTCAAATGGCAGGTCTCCAAATGTACGAGTCAAGGCCATAATGGCACAGAAGGGCTGAATAATAGATTTCCACAACTAATGGAGTGGGAGGTTGGAAACAAAGGCCCTGCTGGTGTGATCTGTGGGAAAAGACAAAAGCCTGCCCACAGATGTCCTGCTGTCTCCACCTGCACCCCACCCCAGATCCTCTGGCCCACTCAGGGGGAACCACCTGACCAAGAACCAGGCGTGAGAGTGGTCCGAGCAGGGGACAGACTCGGGCTCCGTACCTTGTACACGTAGAGCTCATGGATGTCATCGGAGAGGGTGGTGCCATCGTCCCGCATCAGGGGTGAGAATGCAAAGCCGAAGAGCTTCTTTTCCCCTTTGTCTTTTGCTGCAATCAGAGCCGAGCATGAGTTGCTCTGCCTCACACTTCCCTTTCCAACAGACATCCCCTTCCCCTATCACCTTGTGTGCTTCACTTCTCTGTCCCTTACTTTGTTCACTGAATGGGGAGCAATCTGATGGCAAGAAGGGTCAGAAATGTACTAGGCTGAGTGTCCATTTACATTGCAAGGTACACAGGCTACCTAGAACCAAACAGAAACTACATGGCTAGCCTCGATAAACCAGGGGCTCTTTAAGGAGGAGTTTACTATATACAAAGGAAACCCCCAAAGAGGAATGACCCTGCCAATTATCCACTGTCCAAATCAGACACTACAAAAGGCCAACAACATCAGATCTCATTTTTTAAAAAATATTTCTTTTTGATGTGGACCATTTTTAAAGTCATCATTGAATTTGTTACAATGCTGCTTTTGTTTTATAGTTTGGTTTTTTGGCCACAAGGCCACAAAAACCATAGTTTGGTTTTTTGGGATCTTAACTCCCCAACCAGGGATCAAACCCACAACCCTGGAACTAGAGGTGAAGTCTTAACTGCTGGACCAACAGGAAGTCCCCAGATCCCACATTTTTGGATCACTGTCCAAAGAACAGTCTCTAATAACATCCCATCTTTGAGTACACAACTCCTCATTTTCTTGCCCTGATACTAGTAAGAACTCTTATTTCTGTCCCAGAGAAGGAAGAGCTATATTCATATTCTCAAAGCAGTGTGGAGAGAGAAATCTTACTCACTGGAACAGTGTCTGAACTCAAAGCGCAGGTGGGAGCCCCGGAACCGGTCGATGGGGATGGGCAATTTGATAATCTCTCCCCAGCGAGGACTGTTGCTGTGGTAGAGGACGAAGGAGTGGTAGGAACTCCTGTTGGGCTCTCCTGAACCCAAGCTGATGCAGTCCTGGAAGAGAGAAGCAGGGCAATGTGCCACCCTACTGGACGGGTCCCTTGGATTTCTCTGTTACTCAGACATTTCACTTCTTCTTTTGTGTGGGTCTCATTTTTTCCATCAGGCCAAATCTTATCAGGTGACTGAAATTCAGTACTCTGGGGGACAACTGTGAAGATGGTGTAAGGAGCCAGCAGTCACAGTGCTCCTGTTTTCCTTGGAGCAGAGGTAATTGCACACACCGTTCAGTTTACCTGAAGGAAGCTGAGTGGTGCCATCTGAATCACTAAGGTAGACTCTTCATCCTCATTAAGAAAGAAATGGACTCAGAGAAGTCAACCGTACACAGAGCTTTCCAGATCAGAAAAATAATTAACTAATAAAACGGAGAGAACCGGTTTTCTAATCTTCAGCCCAAAGGTGCACTGGCATTTTATGTTGCCTGTGGCTGACTGTTCTTGGACATAACCAAGGTAGACCAGATTTAACTTGAACCCAGTTTCCAAATATTACTGTGAAAGATGCAGTCCTATGCCCCCCGGGAAGCTGCAGGCAATACAATCCGGAGCAGCTCCCTGTTCAAACAGGGCAGAGTGAACAGCTGAGAGCTCTGCTGACCCCCACATTATTCATGCAAACAAGAATTGCCTTAGTCCTTGAGGTGGGTTTTTTAAATGACATACATATCTCTGTTTCTACCACCACATCTACACTACCCTGCATTTCTTTCTATTAAATAGCTTTGACAGATGACTGTGACTAACTTTACCTTTTTCCTTCTGTAAAATGTGGATGATCATTGCTGTTCTGCCTACCTCATGAGGCTGTTGTCAACACACAGAAGGAAGGTTTGTAAAAGACTGATTTGCCTTCTACCATGTGGCATGCAACAATGCCTTCTTCTCACTTGCCAAGGACTTGACCATGGCTTGACTGAGGGAAAAACTGACATAATGAAAGTAGAAAAACAGCACTCCAGGTCTTCTCTTTTAATCAAGACTGTCAGAGGGTCCTTGTGCTGCACTGGCATGAGTCTGCTGTTCCTTGTCACATAACCTGGTAACAGCAAGTGGGTACACCTATTTACTAAAGAGCAAATGTAACATTCTATATTAGCTCTAGGACCTAATAACAGGTCCAAAAGAGTGGGACCTAATAACAGTTACCAAAACTAAGCAGATGGATGCTAGACAGGTGGCTGAAAAAAGTAACATGTAGGACAGACTGGAGGGAATAGGTCTAAATGAGGACAGGAGGGATTCAGGTCAGACACCAGGAAGAATTTCTGAAAAGGCTGTATGACCCTGGAAGTCATTATCAGAGCATACTGCAGGGTTTCCCTGAAGAGAAGCTAAGGTGGAGAAGAGTCTCAGAAAGTGATTTGAATTCAGTCCCTCTTGAGGAGGATGGGTCTCTGGACGAAGTCCACAGAAACACTAAAATTATTACAGGATTAGCTGTCATTCCAAATTGACCAGCAAACCTTACCTTCAAGATTTCACCATCTGCGTAAAGCACATACATGGTCACTTCAATATTCTTTTGTACGCTCTTTCCCCCTCTCTCAAAATCCCCCTTCTCCAGGGTGAGGTACAGGTCATTGCGGATATCACCTGCAAGGAAAGAAGTGTCACGTATTCATGACCGCAGAAGCCACTATGCCCCATGTGCATGGAGGACAAGGCTAGCATCTGGACCCTCCAGGGCTCAGGGCAGGGCTCAGGGCATTCCAAGCTTGGTTAATAACAGTGGACGTTCCACCAGTATCAGCGCGGCAGTACTCAGGTGGGTTAGTCATGTGCCCTCTAAGTCTGAATCTTAGGGGTGTTCACCTCAGCTTGGCTAGGGTGGGAAAAGGCAGACTGCGGGAGACTGCTCAGCCTCTCTCCCCTCCAAGAGAATGGCTGTAATCTAATCCTACAAAAGAGGAAAGGTTTTATAATCAAAAGGAATAGCACTTCCTTTAATCATATCTATGTCTTCACCACTAATTCCTCGTCCCTTCCCTCTCTTTCCTAGCTTTTCTTTTGGCAACCCTCAATCTTTCTGAGTTTGCCTGGAGGACACACTGCTCCCTCCTTCTGGAGGCTTACCCAGTTTCATTCCCTGCTGGGGTCCCAGCAGAGGTCACTGGATGGTCAGGTTTTCTTCTCTGAGTTGCCAGTGCTCCGGGAGCAGGTGACTCCCCGAAAGCACAGGTGCCAAAGCACTGGGCCGATAGTGCCGTGCTCCTCCTATGGCCCTGTGCTCGGAGTCCAGCCCATGCAGCCCACGCCGGCTGCTTTAGAGTGGGCAGGAGCAGAGCCAGCTGCAAGTCTAAATGACCTAAGTCTCAAATGCCTTTTTCTTTAAGGGGGGATGGAATTGTCTGTTCATGTATAAAAGGAGCTTATATGGGCTGCTCTAAGCTTCTCCCTTCTCCTCAGGGAGGCCTGGCGTGCTGTGGTTCATGGGGTCGCAGAGTCAGACATGACTGAGTGACTGAACTGAACTGAAGCTTCTAAACCCACAAAGTGACCAATTTTACTTAACACAAACTAAAGAAGGGCTTTTGACTTGCAAAAAAAAAAAAAAAAGTAAAGCCTGTGGCAGCGGGGGAATCTTCAAAGGAAGAAAATGACAAGGGAAACCAGGTGAGGCCAAAGTGAGGATGTGTTGGCAGCCTGAAGAAATCAACTGAAAGTTAATGGAACAATTCACTAACTTGCAAAGGAAACCAATTCAGAAATCAAAGTCTTTCTACTTCAGTTTCTAGAAAAACTGGCACATCTAAGTCTGTTTATTACTTGGAATCACAATGACATAAAGAGGCTTTGTTTTTGGTGAGCAACCAAGCTTTCTGGTTTGGCCAGGTACTTAATGAGAGCCTCTTTTCCGCACTGCCCACTTCTCTAACTGTGGGTGTCTGAGTGTCTCTTACACATGAAACAGTGATGGACTATGACTGGCCCATATCTTGGGCTTTGGGGGTCTTCATGTCCAAATCTTCTATTCTTCATGTTGCCTTCCTACCCTACGAGTACCGTCATGGTTTTTTGGTCACATAATACTCTCAAAAGAGCAGTCCATGAGAAACGGTAATTCTCTGACAATGCAGAGAATTTTAACATGTGAAAGCTATTTCCCTAAACAAAATAGCCCTGAGGCTCCATGAAGGGAAGAGGAAAATGTGTTCTTGAAAATCACATGCAAATGCAACTGCCGGGAAGGTGGGACCGACTTCAGGGGGTCCATCCTTGCAGTCTGTACAGACTTTCCTCCTGGGCTGAGCAGAACCTCTACTTTGAATTCTGATGAGTCTGGAACTTTAATCTTCCTCTTTTGAACAATCCTACTTGGGTCCTCCTACCAGGTCATTAAAAAGAGCACTCATGTGTGCAGGTAGGGTGGGGAAGGCAAGCAGGAGGAGAAGGAAAACTCAAATTCATCAGTTTGCTACTGTCAGAACAGAGGATGAAAAAAATCAGCCCTGAAAGTAAAATTCAAAATTACTGGGAACTTAACTATAGGTTATTGCCATTATAATGGGGAAAATCAGAGTTGGTTACACCTTAAATTTTTAAAAATTGGAACAGACACCTCAGAGCTTTCTCCTGATAATAGCTTTTTAGTTACACATTAACTTTTCTATGGAACTTAAGTAATTATTCAATTTCTAGGATGATTTGGCATAAAGTGAATAGAGAATTTTAATATCTAAAGAATAGGTGCTTTGTTTAAAATTACCCTGGTTTAAATCAGCACTCTCTGGAAGTTATTCTCAAGACAATTCATGTGACTCTTCAAAGCAGATGTTGGCTACCAGCAACGGTATTCTAGCTTGTACAAACATTTTAAATTTCTGTGGCTCTATACAAAAGGTAACCATATTACAATAAGTATGTCCCTAAATGGAACATTTCAAACTTTTCCAAGCATTGTATGATATAAAATACTAATATCAAACTGGACATCATCCTGCAGATGGATAATGACAGAATTCGGTCTGTTTTGGTTTTATAGAGTGAGCTCATAGTTTCTGGGCAGCTTCTCCAGGGTGTTTTAAACTAGAATGCCAATTTCAAATGGAAGGACTGACCTAGATATTCCTACAGGTTTCATTCTTTTAAAATTTTCTATTTAAATAGAATGCCTTTGGTGATCACCTAGAAAATGTGTAAATACACATAACTGTACCCTCTGAGTCACACACTGAAGCAGCTTGATTTCATCAGATCTTTTCTCTTTATTTAGAGGACAGATCTGCCGAGAACCAAGGCCATTCTCAGTCAGAAGAGTTGCAATTTTGTAAATTATGGTCTCAATTTTGAAAACAGCTCTTTGTAACAGTTAATGTAGCTGGGGCCTTCTCCTCAAAAGCTCTCTGGAGGATCATTTAAATTGAACTCTCCACTAATTCTCAAGGAACTAGAAGGAACAAATGTGAAGAGCTCCAGGATGTAATGAGCCAGGCCTGCCTTACAGAGAGCCTCCCAGGGTCCCTGCTGTTCACAGCTATCCTGATCGCATGTTACATGTTTACAAAGACTACTAGTAGGATCATGGGTTAACACTGTCTCCAGGAGGCTTGTGTAAAGTTTAGCACCAGTGACCTGGAAATATCACCAGGAGAGGCATGAGGACAGGCACCTTACAATAAAGATGGGAGATAGAAGGCCTGAGCAGCAGTTTCTGTGATTAGTTTGGAGACCACTGCGTTTTTCTGAAATCATCTAGGGAGCTTGTTAGAACTAGATTCTAATATTCACCCCTTAGAGATTCCAGTGGGTCTTGGGTGGGGCTTGTGTACTTGTATCTTTAAAAAGCATCAGGTGACTCAGATGCTCTCCAGGGTTTAACATCAGGGGACCATAAAGTGTGGGTCTGCTGGGAAGATGCTAGTGAAGTCTGGCTGAGGGTGTGGAACTGGGCAGCTCTTAGGCAGCGTGGAGGATTGATGAGACGGGTACAGAGGGGGGAGGCTTTTTGGAGGCCAATGGGAGTATGTATTGTGGAGGGCAGCCCTGATTCCATTTGCTAGGTGTCCTCTGCTTCCTAAGATTGGCAGAGCCTCTAAGAGCATCAGCAATGCCTTACATCTCTGAATGCTTGGTGCTCAGTTGACACGCAACAGAGTTTCTTCAATGGGAAGATGAATGAATGAGACTGTTCTTGTAAGAGGGCTTCAGCATAAATAATCTTTGTCCCTTTTGCAGTTTCACACAGCAGGCAGTGAAAGCTGTTGGTACAGCTGCATGTCAGAAAACTAGGGACTTAAGAGTCGGCAGAGGCTGGCAAAGTTTTTCTGGAAGAGGCCAGCAAACTTTTTCTGGAAGAGGCCAGATAGTAAGTACCTTTTAGGCTTTGTGGGCCACATGTTCTTTGTTTTTACAACCCTTTAAAAATGTAAAAAACCATTCTGAGTTGGCGGACAGTATGAAAGGCTTCTGGATTTGGCCTATGGGCTATAGTTTGCTGATACAGTGTTCAACTGTCCAGAGCAGCGTCACTACCGGCAACACTCCAGATTCCTAGAAGTCAACACAAAACAGCTGCTGGGGAGGGAGCCAGGTCAGGGACCTGAAGCCGTCTGATGATGTCAGGGATTAGCCTGAAACATTCTAGGGTCCTCAGAGACAGAGGTCTTAGAAGGAAGCAGTGCTTTGCAGCTACCGGAGTCCTAGGGGGCTGGGGAGCACTGGGACAGAGCTGCATCCAGCAGAGAGAACAGCATGTGCTTCAGTGGCCAGGCCTGATCATCCAAAGACCTGCATCCTAGTGCGACTTTGGAGAAACAACTCATCCCATGTTTGCAGGTTTCCGCTGAAAGCAGTCTCCACAGAGTTTCAGAGTCTTCGAGGTTCAGCTCAGGCACCAGAGCCTCTGTTAGCAAGACTGTCTCTTGCCAGACACGCCAGCCTTACTTGGAGTTTGGGGGACACTATATCTTGCTCGGATTCTTTATTAAATTCATGTCCCTTCTGTACAAATGACTCACACCATGTGTGAGGCTCTGGGTTCAAGAATAATAGTGTTAACTACTACATTATTTAGAACTTGTCCAATTCAAGACAGGATTAGGAAGAGCTTCTGTGGATAGTGTTTTATTTCCCTTAAGACCACGGAAAACTAGAACACATCTTCTCCCGGGAGACACTGCAGCCTGCTCGGAATGGTGCCAATTCTATCTCTTGGCAGAACAGGAGTCTCCTGACAGCATTCATGGAGATGTGGAGATGTTAACTACCATCCTGTATGGACAGTTTCAGACATGTGACCAACATTTTATATGATGGAGTAGATCTCATTCTGAGGAAGAGACTTTAAAAAAAAAAGGCTCTTGGCAAGATTTCTTCAGAGTACCCAGGGAAGACAGGTTCTTTGTTTTTCTAACCAAGTCTTCGGTGTCACACTTCTATTGGTTTCTATTGCTACAAAGTCAGTGACATTCTCTGCTCAAACAAAATGACAGGAATGGGCATGGTGTGACATCACTGTGTATGATTATTCCTTTCTTGGGTCAGGGATGTGGGGATATTCCAACCCATTGTGGGACCAGATGTGATCATTCCTAAACCATCCCTTAGAGATACGGTCAAAGCTTCATGTGACACTCAGACTGACCACAGTCCTCTGAATCTACTTGTGGTAAATACTGTCATCACTCTGTTGAGGAGAACTTTTCTTTCAAAAGTCATGAGATGTGTCCAGCAGAGCTGAAAAGAGCAGCTTTCTGCCTTTCTGATTCTTTGCAGCTTGGGATAAGCATTACTCATTTTCTTTTCAATGAGAATAGCTGATCTGTCTCATAAAAATCCTTTCCTGTATCTACTCACCTAGGGCTTTGTAAGGTTTTATAAATATTCCAACATGTCCTTAGTTTTCTCTGATCTTAACGAACACCTAAAGTAATACACAGTCTCTAGGTTGGGCTGGTAGCTTCTCTAACATTTTGTCAGTTATCCCAAAAGGTGAGGCTGATGAAGGATTAATAATGCAAATGATACCCCACCCCAGTATTGCAACATTCCATGAAACAAATGAAGATGGAGACAAAGCAGGCAAAAGCAGACAGGAGACACAAAAGCAGGAACTTACACCCAACTATCTTCATCTCTGCACCAGAAAGAAAGGGGCGAGAATGAGGGGACAGCACAGAGAGAAACAAGAACAATTAAGACAAACAGGAAAAGAGAAAAAGACATCACTTGCAGGTTGGTGATGAAGCATGCACTTTATATCAGGGTCAAAGCAAAGGACAGAGTGTACATCTGAGCACAAGGGCAAGAGTCGGGGGGCCCCCTTGAGGGCTGCCATGCCAGCATAGCTGCCTTCTAAAGGGCAAGGTCAGGGCAACCCAGAGAGGAGCTTGTACCAGGACTGATTCAGAGAGGGGCAAAGCATCCCTAAAGCAGAGTACTCTTTAGGACACGGTTCTCAAATGGGGCCCTAAACCATCACCTGATAGCCTGTGAGGAATACAAATGATCAGGTCCCACCCCAATCCTACTGTATCAGAAACTCTTGGGGTGGGTTTAGCAATGTGTTTTTCCAAGCCCTGCAGGTGATTCTGATACATACTAAAGTTAGAGGAATACTGGCTTAGAAAAAAAAAAAAAAAACTTAGCCATCAACTAGAATATATTAAAATCACAGGGCAGATTTCTTCGGACAAAAGAGAAGCTCATTTAACTAATATGAAACTTGGCCCATAATGCCCACAGTAAATGATAACCTTACAAATTCAAGGCTTAGAAAACAAGTTAAAAGGTTTCTTTCCCACAGAACCATGACAGCTCTGCACTCCTACTGACGCCAGGGAATAGACTCTCCTAGAACCCTGACACTTAGAAAACTGCACAGAAGCTGCTGGCACACCCCTGCTGGCTTAGATGAGGTTTGGAGGAGTGAACAGACCACTCTTGAGCAAGAGATTTTAAATCATTCCCTTTCAGTTTACAGTCTTTTGGCTGAGAGTTTTCTTGAAAGTTCTAATTGGGCTAATGCTGACAAGTGAGTCACAGAAAACTCATTCACCTGAAATGTCTGCCCTGCTCCAGTATTTCCTCTCCATTTTCTTGAAAAAAATCTCAGAGTAAACGTGCGTTGTAGAGTTATTAGCTTCTGTAATGAACTAAAATGAGTTGGGAGGGAAGGAGGAACTACCCACAGAAATATGACGATAAACCAACAAAAGGCTGTTAGGTGTTCAGTTTCAAAATAAGGCTTAAGTTCCGAACATATCGGTTCATTCTTCTACAATCTTGGATGGACTTGGATGGACTTGGTTTATGTGCCTTCTCTGCAACTCCCAGAACACCACCAGCAACGGTGGTCTTGCCTCGCGCTCACTATGAGTCATGAACACAGCTGGATGCCTATGCAGTCAGGGCCTTGGCTGTGGGAAAGAATAGGACATCTCCTGTTCACAGCAGTCACGTGGTGTATCTTACACACTCATGGAAAGCAACAGGAGACCACTGAAAAGTCCTTTTCTGAAATCGTGTGTCAGATACTGGTGTGGTCAGAACTTGTCTAAATGCTGTAACTTAGAGCTGTAAGCTCTGTCAATATGCTTTGACAAGGACCTGTCTGGGCCATCTGACATAAAGGACCTCTCCAAATGAATATCTAGTAGTTTCTCCCAAATGCTGGTAGTTTCAAGATAAGAGCCATAGTATATGAACCATTCTAATTTTTCCATGTATTCTAATTTCTCAGACTTCAGTGTTGAAATGCTCACAGTTACTAACGTAATTCATTTCATTGTTCATTTCTCTTATGACCATGTGTCAAGAAGCTGCAATTTCTTGCAACTCGGTCATACCAGCACCATGAGGGCCGAGGGACCACTGCAGCCCAGATCCGATATTCCCACAGGTGAAGACTGGACCAGCTGTAGGTGGAGGGTGACCTCACAAAGGGACTTCCTGTCACAGCCATAGTTTCCCAGGACCGATGGACCACAACTGAAAACACTGCTGCACACTTTTCCTGCTGCTCTAGCAGAACCTTCAGGGCCAGCCCTACCGCCTCGCCCAAGGAGGGCAAACCCACTCTGATGATATCTTGTGGGGGCATTAAAGGCACTGTCAGTTGTTAGCACACAACCTGGAGAGGGGCAATCTGTGCAAAAAATTCTTTCCTCGAGAGGAGGTAAGGTAAAAGAGGGGAGACACATAGAGGACTGCCTCCTGCCTGTGAATCAATCCTCACTTTCAGCTCCAGTACTCAATACTTCAAGGGCAGACAATCCAGCAAAGAGCACATTCACAGCCCCAGTCTGGACACCCTAGGATTGCCAGTGTCTCTGCCTTGTGGGGCAAATCAGACGATGACGCCGCAGCTGCCCACTGGAGGAAATGATCCTGACACTCCGCTTGCCTCACCAATGATACTGATACTGCTTACTTCCAAGGTCAGGTCCAACCTTCTCAGAAGTCCTTTATCAACCTGTGTGCCAATGACACAAAGAGATTCAGAGTGCTCACAAAAAGATCTCTTTCCACAGGTGAGGTGTAGATGCTGTAACTCTTGAATTTAAAGTCTGCTTAAAGATTTTTGACTGAAGCTTGTTTCTTTCTAGTCTCTGTTCACTTTGTTTTGATTCTATGACTGTGTGAGGGCTAAGAGGAAAGCAATGTCCAAATCTTAGACAAACTAGTTCTTAAAAGGGAGAAAGGACTTCAAGCATATCTTTCAGAATATATGACTCCATATCATGAGCCTGGATAGCACATTTAAAAATGATCATCAGATCAGTTTTGGTAATCACCAATTATTTCTTCAGTGACATGTTGCCAAGAAGCTAGGGATGATGTCTGGGCTCTTCTCCTGATCACTAGGGTCACAGAGGGCTCGGAAACACTGTCAGGACAGGATGGGAGACATGTCCTGTGGAGGACATCACCCTCCACAACAGCTAGATGAGGGCCTTTCATAAGCATGGAGTCTTCTAAACATTTAAAGATAAACACAAAATTGACAAGGAATTGATTAAATGGCCTGGACTGTCATTTAAAAGATCCTCCTGTGTGCATGAGCAAGAGACAAAGGCTGTTCACAGCAGCTTGCTCTGCAGTCACAGTGTCTATGGAGAGAGAGTAAAAGTGATAGAAAACAAGTCTGGGCATAATGTGGGGAGCAGAAGAACAGCTGGAATCCATCACAAGGCCTTCTGTATGCTCAGGCCATACTCTCCCCCGGGTATATGCTGGCACATATTTCCAATAAGAGAAGTTTTCAGCACCATGGAGGATTCCAAAGAGGAGATTATTGAGTGGTCACTATCAGTTTAGTCTAGCCTGGCTTGGCTCTTCTAAACAAAAGCAAATAAGCTTTTAGTGGAACACTGAATGAAACTTAATGGAAAAGGTAGGGTCACACCTCCTGTAATTCATCCAGACAAGGAGCTATTTCCTTGTTCGTCCTTCCTTCTCCTTGTTTCCAGCTTCTCTGTTTCCAGACTGCCTCCCATCCATCAGAGCCACGCCTCTATCCTTCCCTCATTCCCCACAGCCCCCCTGGTTCTGATGGCCTGTTTGGATTTACTGCTCTAGCTTGACCCGCATCTGTCTCACTAGGAAACACGAGCTTTAGATTAACCTGCTGGAACCACACTTGAGAGCCAGTGCATTCCCACTTTCTGCCCTAGCTCTCCATCAGGCATCAGGTGAAAGGGGTTAAGACAATTTCTGAGAAACTGGCCAGGTAGTACTATTCACACTGCCTAACCTATACCATTTGCCAACCTGTTTTCCTGATATGGTATGGTGTTTTCATTGTTATGATTCATTTTTCTGATACAGATATATCTGCTTCTCCTATATGAACTGGGATTCACTGACATTACAGGCATTATTTTCCTTAAAGAGGATGTTCTTATGAGGGGCTTCTCTTCTAAGATATGTAACTGAAGAGAAGAGTATAAAAAAGGCATCCCTGTGAGGAGCTCTGTGTTGATTCCTAATATCTAGTCTCCACAGGAGACAAAAAGGTTCAAGTGCCAGACTGCTGTGCTGCCCTGGTGAAGGTATGTGGGGGCTTCTAGAAAAGAACAAATGCCAACAAGAGCCAAAGGAGACACTGGCTGCAGACTGCAGTCAGCAACCTGACTCTGGCTGCAGAGGCTGTCAATGGCTGTGGGGCTCCTCCACAGTGTGGTTTGCCACCTGCACACAAGGGGAGCACCAAACTCCATTCTCCTAACCCTTTTCCCACCCCAGCCCCAAGAGGTTCTGCCTACCTGGCATGATGACATCAGGAAATCCCAATTTTCTTGTAATTGCCAATCCCCTATTAAATATCATGGGATTTTCTCTCCTAATCTGTTCCATGTCTCCACGAAGAAGCTGCAGAGAGATGATAAGACCTGCAAAAACAAAGTCATTTTTTTTAAAACTCAGAATCACTTTTCTACCCTAGAAAACACAGAAAAGGTCTTTTTTTTCCCCAGGAGAAAAATGTGAAAAAATTCAGCATTTTTCTTGAGAAAAGTTTTGAGGCAGAAAGTATACATTATCCTGAAGAGATATTCTAGAAAGCTAAAAGAATCTAAGTCAAAATCTTCTCAAAAACCCAGAGGACTACTCTATTAAAAAGACTGAGGTCGGGGAAATTAAGTTGCCCTCCTCTCTGTTCCCCAGCATCCCGAAACCTGGGCTCCCTGGTTTAGCCACTAAAGTACCTGATCGAGCTCCAGTTTCTTCATTTGCTCAATGAGGGAGTTGAAACATTATTTCCAAACAGCTTCAAGTTAAGCCTGGCCAAGAGGCAGTCAGACACACACTCCAAAGAAAAGCAGCCTATTTCTCCTCCTGGGTTTCCCACAAGTGCACGAAGACCTGCCCTCAGTAGGGCCATCCTAACTGAGGCTCTCTGAAGTCTATGGTGCTCCCAGCACAGAGGGAGGGGTGCTTTTCTAACACTGTTTAAGTGGCCAGTGTCTGTGAGTCACAGACAAAAATCATAAGACACTGACAATGGCATGGACCTTTGGTCATTCTGGGAAGTAAGACAAAATTCAGCATTCTAACCTTGTTAGGAGATGATGGAAACTGCTTTTTGATTTTTTCTTTTAATGTATTATTACCACTATCCCTCTTTTAAAATGTCTCCCGAGTTTTAAACACACCATAGCTTCAGAACTTGTAGCCAAGGGTAGCTCTTTATAAATAAAATACATAAATACAGCAAAGAACACTATGAATATTGGCATGAACAGTCTTCCAAATTGCAACTTGTTAAAGAGTAAGGTTCTTGCTTTAGTCCAGCTTTAGGTGAGGGATGTGAACTCCCTTCACCTTCCAGCACACTGTGTACATAGCTCCTTGGCATTCAGGCACATATGAGGAAAAACAGGCTCTTAAAACCAGTGAGAGAGGCCCTGAGGAAACCCATGCTACAGAGTTTTAGAGAATGCAAGTACTCCCAGCTGAGCATCTCAAACTTCATAGCCTCTGGGTTGGAAATGCTCTGAGGACCCTCCTAGCTGAAAACATGCTGATCTTGATAGAGGTTCTTCTCAACAACTCAGAATTGCCATGCCTTGCAGTGGCTTTACACCATCATTTAAGAGCAACTTGGGGGATTCCCTGATAGCTCAGTTGATAAAGAATCTGCCTGCAATGCAGGAGACCCCGGTTTGATTCCTGGGTCAGGAAGATCCTCTGGAGAAGGGATAGGCTACCCACTCCAGTATTCTTGGGCTTCCCTTGTGGCTCAGCTGGTAAAGAATCTGCCCACAATGCGGGAGACCTGGGTTCAATCCCTGGGTTGGGAAGATCCCCTGGAGAAGGGAAAGGCTACTCACTCCAGTATTCTGGTCTAGAGAATTCCATGGACTGTATAGTCCATGGGGTCACAAAGAGTCAGACACCACTAACTGACTTTCACTTTCAAGGGCAACTCTGTATTTACAACAGGTTTATAACATTAAAACAAAGAAGGTTATATAAAAGAGGTTATGAAATAGTTTCAAGGTAAAAATTATCTGGAGAAACATGGTTCTATGTAAATTTGATAGTTATCTTCAAGAGTATATTAAAAGTTCACAGGCTTTTATTTATATGTTAATTGAGGTACAGTAGATGTATAATATTATATAAGTATTAAGTGTACAACAGTTATTCTCAACTTTCAAAGGTATGTTCTTTTTGTAGTTATTATAAAATATTGGCTATATTCCCTGTGTTGTTATACAGTTGTAGTGTGTTTATTCTATACATGGTGGTTTGTACCTCTTAGTCCCTTACCTCTCCCCATATCCCTCTCCCCACTGGAAAGCAAGACCTTGTTCTCTATATCTGAGTCTGTTTCTTTTTTGTTATATTTGCTAGTTTGTTTTACATTTTAGATTCCACATATAAGTGATATCATAAGTATTTTGTCTTTCTCTAACTTATGTCACTTAGCATAATACCCTTCAACCCTACCTATGTAGCTGCAAATGGCAAAATTTCATTCTTTTTTAAGGTTGAGTACTATTCTATTGTACATATACACTACATCTTCTTTATCCATTCATCTGGTGATGGACACAGGTTGCTTTCATACTTTGGTGCGGGGAGCCAGCCTGACTGCTCAGGCTCCTTCTTGGCTCTGAGAGAGATCAAGAGGTCCCTCTCTGTCCCGCCACCCCTGATTTATTAAAGCACAGGTTGGCCTTTCTCACCTCCCTCAAGGAAATTGCTGTAGCGATCTTTCACCTGTTGCTGATAAACTCGTCATGATTGAAGCCTGTTATCTATCCAGTTAATGTTCTATTGATCTTAATCATGTTGGGCGCTAGGGTGATGCTTTACTGATCTTAAGTGGAGGAATTTAAAACATCTGTGCCTGTAGCTCTGCACATATGCAAACCTTTAATCTATTAGTAACTCCTGTTAGCATATATATAGGTGTGGTATTCTTCAATAAAGTTGGCAGAGTCAGACGCAAAGCTGACTCTGTCCTTCTCAACCCCATTTGTCTAAGTCTTTCTAAGTCTGTCTGAGTCTTATTTTTCTCAGGTACTCTGGTAATTGCGTTCTCGACCAGTTCGTTTGCCGGCAGGCTCCGGCACTTTGGTAATTATAAATAATGCTTCTAGGAACACTGGGGTGCAAGCATCTTTTCAAAATAGCATTTAAATTTTTTTCAGATATATACACAGCAGTGAAACTGTGGGGTCATATGGTGGTTCTGTTTTCAGTTTTTTGAGAATCCTCCATACTGTTTTCCACAGTGGCTACACCAATTTACATTTACACCAACAGGATGTGAGGGTTCCATTTTCTCCACAGCCTTGCTAACATTTGTTATTTGTGTCCTTTTTGATGACAGCCATTTTGACAGGTTTGAAGTGATATATCATTGTGATTTTAATCTGCATTTCCCTGATGATTAATAATATTGAGCATCTTTTCATGTGTCTGTTGGCCATCTGTATGTCTTCTTTGGAAAAACATCTATTCAGGAGGTCTTAGAGATTTTTAAACAGTGCTTCTAATTTAATCAAATATTTCATATTCGGTTAAGAGTTAATGCTAACATGTACAATTACACCAAGATTTAGATACATATTAAACATAGTTTTATTTTTTATACTTTTTCCCCCTTTATTTTTNAGTGGCTGTACTAGTTTGCATTCCCACCAACAGTGTAAGAGGGTTCCCTTTTCTCCACACCCTCTCCAGCATTTATTGCTTGTAGACTTTTAAACATAGTTTTAAAATAAAAGCAGGAAAAAAAAGAAGTTGAGCTAAGATGAAAGCTGCTTTGAAATAAAGATTTTCTATTTCAGTTTCCAAATGACTGATAATGGTAGACATTGATTCTCATTAGTGTCAGGCTTTCTCGGTGATGCTAACACTGAAAAGGACTAGAAAAAGTGATATTAATATGTGTCTTTTGTTGGGGGGCTGGGTATGTAGTCTTTGTTCAGGAAAACACAGACTTTACAATGTGACAAACCCTGCAACACTTTTGTTCGCTCTGGATTCGAACTGGAACTCAAGTTACCTATCAAAGCACAAGGAATTCACCACAGAAACAGCAGAAAACGCATTTTGGTCAGAAGTAATGGCCAAAAAGCACATGAAAAGATGCTCAACATCACTAATTATCAGAGAAATGCAAATCAAAACTACAACAAGGTATTTATCACTCACACCAGTCAGAATGGCCATCATCAAAAAGTCTACAAACACTGGAGAGGGTGTGGAAAAAATAAAACCCTCCTGTACTGTTGATGGGAATGTAAATTGATACAGTCATTGTGGAGAACAATATGGAAGTTCCTTAAAAAACTAAAAAATAGGACTATCATATGGTCTAGCAATCCCACTCCTGGGCATATATCCAGAGAAAAACATAATCTGAAAGGATACATGCTCCCAAATGTTCACTACAGCACTGTTTACAGCAGCCAAGACATATAAGCAAGTTCAGTGTCCATTGACAGAGGAATGGATAGAAAAGTTTGGTACATATGTATAATGGAATATTACTCAGTCAAAAGAAGAATAAAATTATGCCACTTACAGCAACATGAATAAACCTAGAGCTTACCATACCAAGTGAAATAAGTCAGACAGAGAAAGACAAATATTATATAATACTACATATATGTAGAGACTAAAAAAATGATACAAATGAACTTATTTACAAAACAGAAATAGAGTCACAGATGTAGAAAACAAACATGGATCCTAGGAGAGAAAGGAAAGATTGGGATTGACATACACATCACTATATATAAAATAGAAAACCAATAAGGACCTTCTATATAGCATAAGGAACTCTATCCAATACTCTGTAATGACCTATATGGGAAAAGAGTGCATATATGTATATGTACAACTGATTCACTTTGCTGTACACCTAAAACTAACACAACACTGTAAATCAACTATACTCCAGTAAAAAAATTTTTAAAGGAAGTATTAATAATTAGGGAAGGTTTCAAATCATCACACAAAGAAATAGAAACTGCCAGAAAAGGAGAATAAATGTCTGTAGGAAATAACTTTATATCTGGCAACTGATCAGCACAAATAAACTTAAGGTGTGTATGATGAGCAACTGCAAATGTAACACAAAGTCTTCTAGCCAGAGAAGCACCTTACCATGACTGGCACTGGGGGCAGAGTACTTGGCGCTGGACTTGCGGATGATATTCTCATGGATCTGGGACCACTCACTCTCATTGTTGCATCTGTAACAGAAGGACAGGCATCATGACAGTCAAGAGTTTTAAACATCTGGTCTGATGTTCAAAGTGCAACAACACTTTCCTAAAGAAATGAACTTATATTTTACTAAATTAGACAAGGCTTTGTTTTCTTGGAAGGCACACAGAAGATTCACATTTGGGGAAAGAGCAGAAACTCTAAAACGAACCTCTGCAAATATCTCTAAGTGGCAAAATATCCTTTTGTCTGAAGTAGTACTTTCCCGTGTGACAATTTTTTTTTTTTTTTTTAGTCCCTTACACATACTTGCAACTAGGCACTAGAGGAAAGTTCCCAACAGAGGAAAACAACAGTTCCTCTCAACAAGTACTGCTGTTTAGAAACTTCCATGTCTTGCATTGGCTTTATACTGTCATTCAACTGTCACTATAATGGCCTCAGAGAAAAGTCCTGCTAACATCAGGGCAATGTGCATATTTGCCTGTGGTTGTATTTTAGCTAGATCAAGCTAAGAAGAAAAGTTTGGGAGAGTAGTGGGCTTGGTTTGCTGTGAAATCTTCTGTAGTCAAAGGGAAGGAGGGCTTAGAGAAGTCTGGATGCCTAAATACATAAGAATAAAGTTCTTTCCTAGGAATTTCAGGAGTGGAAGAAAAGAGAATGGAGCAACAGACCTGCACCTCTGCTAATTTCTGACATTTTTAGAGTCTTCCCCTCTAAAGAACAATTCCAAGAAAGCTGCAGTCATACAACTATTTGGTACAGCTTAGGAACAGAGACTAGGAAGGAATTCCTCATCTGAAAGTAGACATGCTGATGAAACGACTGAAATGAGATTAGGGCCATCTCTTGAAAATTCCATGAGACACTAGGAGTCTTCATAGCCTCAGCCCCTCCTTTCTCCTGTTGGACAGGGAGAACCACTGACTCCAGAAAACAGAGCTCATGCACAAAGGAAAACCCACAAGATCTTTCCATGGTTACTTAGAAGTGTGTAGTCCGGCACAGCCACTTCCAAGCAGAGACTCCAGCAAGAGTTCTATCATGTGCCATCCAGCAGTGTGAATGAAGCACAACTGGTTTCTAAATAAAAGGCTTTGTATAGAGACCATTCAGAGATGAAGGAGGTTGGTCACTAGACTAATTTTTTTCTAATCAGTAGCTCTTCTGACTTCTCAGTCAGTATAAACAAGCCTCACTTGCTCAGAGATGTTGCAAAAAAGTGTGAGAGACAAGGTTCTCACAGTCCAGAGCTGTGAGGATAACTTCTGCTCACAGAATTCCTTCCAAGGAGAGGAAGGGAGACAGTGTTCTTTAAAATGATCACTTGTGATTAACAACTCAGTTGGAAGTCAGAAGTGAGAGGTGCTGGCAGCAGCACACCTCGCCCTCCCTGTCTGACATGCACATGATTGCATCTCTTCCAACCAGTCACCACACCAGAGAAGTGCCCAGCTGGTGAGGACTCAGACTAGTCTCGCAGTCAGACTCCTGTCACTTTCTAGGTTTACAAGATCAGTAGTCCTTTCTTTAACAGAAATCTGACTACAGTTCGTCATAAACAGTGTACTCCCCCACCTCACTTCAAAGTAAGTCCTGACTAATGCACAGTATAACGAATACAGATAATAATATTGTACTATAATAATGCAACATGATAAATATTGCTTGACTGGCAAACATTACAAAATATAAATGTATCAAAGTAACACATTATACATCTCAAATATACAGGTATAAAATACACACACAAATACAAAAGAATTCCTATAAATAAAACCAAAAGAACAAAAAGAGTCTTGTAAATTAACTTCCTCTCTCAATGGGTGATATAATTTCAGTGCTTCTTCAATAAAACACTCACCAGTTATTTGGCAGTATACAAAGCTTTACCAACCACATCAATAGTGACAAAGTGTATTACTTCACTGACATCTACCTTTCCAGTCAATACACACAATTCAGATGCTAGACATTTGATGGCTTGCCCCTCATATTCTTCTCCCTTTGTACACCCCTTAACTATCAGTGACCTTCAGAGCTCTACATTTGAAGCCCATTTTCTTCCTACCATATAAGCTTTCTGGGTTATCTCACCTGCTTTCATGGTTTTGACCACCACCAAAAGCTGCCAAGACCCAACGCAGTGTCTCTAGCCCAGACATCTTGCTAAACTTTTGACCTACATGGCCATAAGACAGCTTGACATTTCCTATCCACCTGTCTACTCTGAGAGATTGCTTCTGAGTAGAACCCACTAGCTCATGAAGCTTTCTTAAAATCTTTCACAAATGACCTCTCTTCTTCATGGCCCTGGTTCAGCCATTATCATCTCTCTTTCAGACCATTGTAGTCACCTCTTAACTGGCCTTTCAACTCTTTTCCTTTCTAGAACGCCAAGGGAGCTACTCAAATCATCTGAAACTCAGTGGATGCAGTGTCATCAGCATATTTTAACCAATCACTGGGATAATTCTCTAAGGAAAAAAATAAATGTAAGCATTTATTAACCAAATAAGTTATGATTATAATGAAGCATCATTATGTTGTATCCAATCAAATTAATATTTAAAGCACGATTACTGACGTTGATGATTTGTCCTCAATTATAAAACACACAAGGGACTGTAATCTAAAAGAGGTCTGTGTGCCTCTGTGGCACACCTTCCCCACAGAGGAAATAACCAGCGCAGACAATGACGCGGCACTTCACCACTACACGTGCAGGAATTTTACTGATGGCCAACAGGCACGTGAAAAGATGGTCAATGTCACTAATTATTAAAGACATGCAAAGCAAAACTACAGGGAGGTTATCACCTCACACTGGACAGAACTGCCATCATCAAAAACTCTACAAACAATAAATGTTGGAGAGGGTGAAGAGAAAAGAGAATCTTCCTACACTGTTGGTGGGAGTGTAAATTGGTACAGTCATTATGGAAAACAGTATGGAGGTTCCTAAAGAAACAAAAAATACAGCTTCCATATGATCCTGCAATCCCACACCTGGGCATATGCCTTAGGAGAGCTCAAACTCGAAAATATACATGCAGCCCAATGTTTACAGCAGCACTCTTAACAATAGCCAAGACATGGAAGCAACCGACATGTCCATCAATAGATGAATGGATAAAGAAGATGTGGTACATATATGGTGTGTACACACACACACAATTACTAAGCCATCAAAAAGAATAAAATAATGTCATTTGCAGCAATACAAATCTACCCAGAGATTATTATATTAATTGAAATAAGTCAGAGAAAGAGAAATATCATTATGATATTGCTTATATGCAGAATCTAAAAAGAAGTGAACTCATTTATGAAATACAAACAGACTCACAGATTTAGAGAATGAACTTACAGTTACTGGGGGAAGGGTGGGGGGAAAGGACAGTTAGGGAGTTTGGTATTGACATGGACACATTGCTATATTTAAATATATAATCAACAAGGACCTATTGTATAGCACAGGGAACTCTGCTCAATGTTACGTGGCAGCCAGGACATGAGGGGAGTTTGGGGAAAAAGGGATACCTGTGCATATATAGCTGAGCTGCTCTGTTGTCCACCTGAAACTATCACAACATTGCTAATCAGCTACACTTCAATATAAAATAGAAAGTTAAAAAAAAACAACTCATAAAATGTGAGTGGGGAGTAAGTGTGCGTGCTGTACTAAGTCATTCAGTCGAATTCTTCGCAACCCTATGGACAATAGCCTGCCAGGCGCCTCTGTCCATGGGATTCTCCAGGCAAGAATACTGCAGTGGGTTGCCATGCCTTCAGGGTATATTCCTGACTCAGGGATCAAACTCACTTCTCTTAGGTCTCCTGCACTGGTAGATGGGTTCTTTAACACTAGCGCCACCTGGGAAGCCCCAGGGAATAAGTAATAGTAATACTCCTCAATTTTACTTCTGTGATTGAGCATATAATATGTAATATACATTTTATATGATTTAAAATATAACTAAAGTGATAAATTTAATATTTTATCGAAGTAGTTATTTATTTCATTAAAGTTGGCCTAAACATGTCTGAACTTCTTTCATTGCGAAGTTGGAGAGTGGTCATCACATATTTAGAGGTGTCCTAGGTAGATCAAATGTACTAGCTACAGACAACCCCCACCCCATCTCAATGCTCCTTGGCATTCTCTCCTTCCCGGTCCCAGGCTCCAAATTCAGCAACCCTTGTAACTTGCAACCCTTGTAACCCTGCAACTCCTGCCCTTCTGGATAGGAGGAAACATGATGTCTATATCAGAATAAACTTCACACAGTGATTATTCATTTGTGATTTTTAAGGTTTCTGGTTCATTGAAAAGTGACCTAGTTTTTACACCTCAGTTCTTGTTCTGATTTTTTTTTAAGGATGTGTTGCCTTCCTAACACACATGATATCAAACATCTATAAAGCCAGAGCAGTGATCATGGCAAAAGAAGTACAGGGCTTGAGGTTGACTCTGAATAATATAGGAAATGATGAGAATGTCAACAACTAATGATGTATTTCGCCAATTCACTGATTAAAACTATACAAGAGGTTTTTTTTTTTTTTAATCCTTGCAAACTTCAGTCCTAGCAAAAGCTAAAGCACAATCAGTATCAGTAAAACCTTAAAGCTTCCAATTCAGTCTACCAAATATGTCCTCTAAAACTTACTGGAAAATAGTACTTCTCCTGAGGGCTGAATTCACTCTGCTCATGTGGATTTAAAACACTAATCCTAGAGGAATTCCATACCGTGCACAAAATCGATTATTTCACAAACATGGACATGTCTTTGAAAGTCTGTTAACACTGTCAAGTGTAAAAACTATCCTACATTTTAACTCTATTACTCCTTCAAAAATTTATTAAAAAACTATCTTCCCTGTTACAAAAAAAAACCATCTTTCTTTGGCTTTTTAGAACTGATATAATAGGCACAGCTCAGAGCAAGGAGCTAAGAATAAGTTACACAAGAATCCCACTTCTTGAAAAGTGACATGTTGGTACTGAAAGCTCTTGTTTTTGAAGGAATTAGGCCAATTAAGCTTGACAGCATGATTTCAAGAGAAGTGCTGTGCAAGCCCCTTTCAACAATGAAAATTTGCACGGAAGCAAGGAACAGCTGATACATGCAAAGAGATGCAACTCTGGAGTGCTATCTATAAACTCCCTGCCCTTGGACAGGGTGGAGTAAGATGATAATGATGATGATTTTGGATTAATGTTTATTCCTTGTCAAAGGAAGGAAGTTTTACCAAGAATCAGATCCCACTACCCATCAATGAAGATATTTTGTAAATGGAGAAAGGCTGTGACTGATGCATGAACGGAAGAGAAAACCCACCAAAATTTCCTTTGTAAGTTATTTCAGAGGAAGAGCCTCATCCCATCAAGTACACAACACTGAACAAAACACAACTTAAGGCAAACAGGTAATAAGGGTATCTGGGCTTTTATTTTCAAATTAATAAGCTGTAGCTAATTATACAGAGGCCCAAATTAAGGGGAATTGTGAATTAAAGTTCACTTCATGCCTGATTCAGATACAATAGATAGTACGGAAAAATTCCCACAAATATGGTTAAGATATATTAACCTGTTGATTGACAATATTAGATTTAATTTGAAAAAAATAATATTGGGTTAAAACCAAAAGAGGAGTTTTTTAAAAAAAATTTTCACAGAAATACACCTGCTTTAAAAACTCACTTTGACATAAAATCGCAGCAAGATCTTTTTTGACAGACCTCCTACAGTAATGAAAATAAAAACAAAAATAAGCAAATGGGACCTAATTAAACTTAAAAGCTTATGCACAACAGAGGAAACCATAAATAAAATGAAAAGATAACCCTCAGAATGGGAGAAAATATTTGCAAATGAAGCAACCAATGAGAGATTAATCTCCAAAATATACAAACAGCTCATGCAGCTCAATATTAAAAAAACAAACATCCCAATGAAAAAAATGGATGGAAAATCCAAACAGACATTTCTCTAAAGAATAGATACATAAAAAAAAAAGAATAGATACATATAGCCAACAAACACATGAAAATATGCTTAACATCATTTAATTATCAGAGAAATGCAAATCAAAACTACAATGAGGTATCACCTCACACTGGTCAGAATGGCAATCATCAAAAAATCTACAAACAATAAATGCTGGAGAGAGTATGGAGAAAAGGGAACCCTCTTACATTGTTGGTGGGAATGTAAATTGGCACAAGCACCATGGAGAAAAGTATGGAGGTTCCTTGAAAAATTAAAAATAGATTTGCCTATGACCCAGCAATCCCACTCCTGGGCAAATACCCAGAGAAAACCATAATTCAAAAAGATATATGGACTCTAATGTTCACTGCAGCACTCTTTACAATAGTGACATGGAAGCAATCTAAATGTCTATCAACAGAGGAATGGATAAAGAAGATGTGGTACACATATATAAAATGGAATATTACTCAGCCATAAAAGGGATGAAATAGTGCCATTTACAGAGCTGTAGATAGACCTAGGGGGCTTCCCAGGTGGCTCAGTGGGTAAAGAATCCACCTGCAATGCAGGAGATGCAAATTTGATCCCTGGGTGAGGAAGATCCCCCGGAGAAGGGGATGGCAACCCACTCCAGTATTCTTGCCTGGAGAATTCCAGGGACAGAGGAGCCTGGTGGGCTATGGTCCATAGGGTTGCAAAGAATTGGACACGACTGAAGTAACTGAGCATGCATGCAGACAGACCTAAAGACTGTTATACAGATTAAAGTAAGTCAAGGAAAGAAAAACAAATATTGTATAATATCAATTATGTGTGGAATCTAGAAAAATGGTATAGGTGAACTTATTTGCAAAGCAGATATAGAGATACAAATGTAGAGAACAAATTTATGAATATCGAGAGGAGAAGGGGAGTGGGATGATTGGGAGACTGGGATAGACATATATACACTACAGTGTAAAAAACAGGTAACTAATGGAAACCTACTGTATAGCACAGGGAATTCTACTCAATGCTCTGTGGTGACCTAAATGGGAAGGAAATCTAAAAATGAATGGAACTGATTCACTTTGCTGCTTCACAGCAGAAACTAACACAACACTGTAAAGCAACTATACTCCAATAAAAATTAATTTTAAAAAATGCTTTTCCCTACTCTGGTTATGTTTCCATTTACTTAATAAAAATATTAACATTTTGGGAGGAAAAGAAACTCACTAAACCCACCACTGATCATGTTTTCAGTACTCTGATTCATGCCTGCATGTGTGCTAAGTCGCTTCAGTCATGTCCGGCTTTTCGCGACCCCATGGACTGTAGCCCACCAGGCTCCTCTGTCCATTGGATTCTCCAGGCAAGAATACCAGGGTGGGTTGCCAAGCCCTCCTCCAGGAAATCATGTAGACCCAGGGATCAAACCCGTATCTCTTATGTCTCCTGCATTGGAAGGTGGGTTTTTTTGCCGCTAGCGCCACCAGGGAAGCCCGTGATTCATGCCTAAGTCTCTATAAGCAAAGATAGAGATGCTTGGATTCTGTACTACTCTTCTTTGTTTTTATTTTATAGTGCTTAATAAGAGTCAGGAGGAGATGCACTGCTTCTGTAAGGCAGAGCCCTTGGCTGCTAAACACTGAAAATAATGCCATGTCTGGCTGGTGACTTACAGATCAGTAGTGGCAAAAATGAAGAGTAAAGCCTCAGCTCCTCAGAGAAACTGGTTTTTCTTCTAGGACAGTGCAACCTGACTCGTGATCATTCTCTGAAGCAATTTACATCAGCAGTCAGTTCAGTTACAACAGCTGGTGGGCAAGCATTAGACACAGAGGAGTCTTTAACAGCCGAAACACAGGAGAAATTAGATTATTAGCTTCCTGTAAACACATACTAAGGCTGGCTAGTCCCGGGGAGAGGAGGAAAAGTGTATCAGACTTTTACTTCAGGACAGAAAGTTCCAAGTTCAGCTGCTTCAAAAGCACCCAAGGAGCTTATTAAAAATGCAGTTGCCTGCGCCCATCCCAAACGTTAGATGGAAATCTTTGCGTTTTCCAAAAACTCCCTGTCCTACATATCCTGACGAGTTTGTGTCCAGCAAAGCTTGAGAGCTTCTGCTCTCAGGGGCAACGCTGGGATGTCTTATGCTGCAAATCATCAATATTTCTGACGCTCATTACTCACGTGTAAACCTTAAGAACAAAATCCTTTTCTTCCTTTAACTCTGTGAGTGACTGCAGGACGTCCAGGACGCTGAGGACCGCACAGCCATATGGTCGCCGGTAGTGCAGGTGAGCAGGGCCCTTTTTGGAGTCATTCAGGAGCATCCGGCCTGGGGCAGCAGAAAACACCAGTCAAGACCGGGACTCGAGCTCCTCCAAGGCACCACTCAACCGCCATCCAGGGGTGCCAGGGCTACAGGCACCTTAGACAGCCTCTAAACTGGAAGACTAAAGATGAAGGGAGCCATCCAAGGATGCAAGGATATTCATGGAGAGGAATGACAAACAGGCCCTTGGCCAGCGCTTCTCCCCTGCACCACATTCCTTACTACCTGTCTCAACACTAACAGTCCATCTATTAATCATATGAGAATGAAACAGTGATCTCATGAATTTCTTAGAAAAACCAAAGTGCTAACAGATTTAAACTTCTTGGGTATATTAAGGATACACAATTTAGTGTTGTAGCTGCCAGGTAAAAGCTATGTGTACACAGGTAAGGAGGACAACATACTGTTCTTCCATCTAAAGCTGCTCCTGAACCACTGCAGGAGCAAGAGCTGTCTCAGAAAGCAGATGGAGCTTGCTTGTCCTGCCTACCAAGGCTGTGCTTACAGTGGCAAGAGGACTTGCAAATGCACAACTAGAACCTCAACAGATGCTTTATTATACACAGCAAAACAAAAGGCAAAATACAGCAAAACAAAAAGCAGAAGTACAGCAAAAGAGCTGTACTTTTGTTAGCTGGACAAGACATGCCAGAACTCAAACCTATGAAGGAAGAGTTGGTCAGGCACTGGCCCCAGATTATGTCATAAACTTGAAATAAGACTGGGCAAACAAACCACAAGTAGCAAAAATCTTGGATCGGGTAGAAGGGAGATACCATCGTCTCAAATAGTAATGATGGTAACTCTAATTTTGTGAAAAAATAGCATAGGCACATACTTTCAGATACAAAACACAGCACAGGTTATTCACTACCTGTTAAACTGGCAACCTATTATAAGATCCCTGAGGTAGAGGGCTGATCAGAAGCAGAACATTAGATGGAGCAAATGTTTAAAAAAAGAGACCACTTCAAATAAAAGGTATGGGTCCAAGAACAAACAGGGAGCTGAAAATGGTTTCATTTCTATCAAGTTCAGCCATTACTAGCAGCTAAACTTAAGATGTAGCTACAATACAAGCTGGAGTTAATCCTGAGACCTGAATTAAAAGGTAAGCGCTCAGGAGAAGACAGAGGTCAAACAGTAGATACTTATCCCAAGTTGGGCTGGTCTCAGTCAGGTGACTGGATAAAGCAGACCGTACCTATTCGTATCACATGGGCAACTATATATAAATCTCTCTTCATATCCTTGCTGCTCAGATCCTAAGAAAAGAGAAAAAGTAAGTAAAGTAAGACAATGAATACACAGAAAATAATTAAAATTAAACTTTGAACCTCATAATGATTGCTTTTGCTGCTTTTAGCCTATGTTATAGGTGGGGGAAGGGGTTTAAGCACAAAGAAGCTAAGTGTTTATAAGATTCCTATAGTGAAAATTTGGACATCTTAAATGTCTTTGGAAGTTTATTATATTGACAGTATTTTTTCAGCTCTTATTTAGACCACCGATCTCTAAAAGTTCTCACATTAGAAATCTTCATGACATTGGCTTATCCATGGTTATTCTAAAATCATGTAAGAATAGTTTGTAACAAAAGAAATTCCCAGTGTAGAAAAAAAAGGGAAAACACCAAAAGGCTCATTAATGACAAATTCTAAAGTTTACTCTCTATTAATTGTACATTCATTCTGTTGTCCACACACTAGATATGTTCCCTTGAAAAGAGATTGGTTTTAGTGAAACCTCAATAATTAGATCTCCCGTTTCTAAGTTTAGATATATACAATTTATGCTGAAGTATAAAGTGAAAGGAATTCTATCTGGAAAAATTTTAAGGGCTTCTTTTAATTAGATACTTATAAAACTGGAGTTACATTAATAAAAATAATTTTATGCATTATTTATGTTGAGAACACATTTTGAAATAGAGTATTTTTACACTTTAACACATTATACTTGAAGTAATAAAACTTCACTTAATATACATTGTTTATGACTTTCACCAGGTAATTAACTCACTGCTCACTCCAAGCCATTGTTATTAATGATGACTGAAGGAGTAACCTCTATTTTAATGGGACAGTTTCCCATGATTTCCCTTTTGCTTCCACGAAAAGTTCCCTTAGTTCCACTTCCTTCCCATCTTTCATCCTCTGATTAGTCCCAGATGCTTGTCTCTTTTCAGGAAAGCAGTAAAACAAAGGATCAAGCAGCAGTCATGACTGTGAATGAGCTCTGAATCCAGAACTGCCATGTTTGCTGTATGTTTATACCCTGTGGCAGAGTTAGGTCTATGCTGAGGCAAGCAAGGCACCTAAGTGACAAAATTTAAGAAGGTCTCCTTCTCAGGATCCTGTGCTTTGCTTGCCTCAGCATAACCCCAGCTCTACCCTGTAGAGTAGTCCTGAACATACAAAAGAAAAGGAGGCCTTAGAAAGTAACATGTAATGGTGAAACTGAAACTTTTAGGTTTTAGATGGTCATAATATGCCACATTCTTGATGAAATAATGAAATACACTTACACTGAAATGGGTTACAAAACAATTCAACATAAATTGGTATCTCTGGAATCACAAAGATATATTTTTGCATGAAAGTTATCTTTTGATGTTGAAAAATGATGTTTCAAGCTCCATCTTAATAACTCCTTTAATTAAAAGTGATATCTTCAAAACAGTACTACATATTTTGACAAATATTAAGGTGGCTACTAAATGACAAGTATTAAGATGGCTACTAAATAACAAATAATGAAATTAAAAAATAAATTACCATTTTATGGGAACTGAAACATACCTATTACTAAAAGATCACATTTCAAAGTAAACCGACCTTCTACACAGCCTGGATTTTATTAATCCAAACTATCAAATAACTGGTCTAATTATAAATCTCAATATACTTAGAGAATTCAAGCCAGTTACCAAAGATGATCAAACACTGACCAGACGGGTTGTACCCAAGAGCATGGGACCTCTCCCTTGATTCTGTTCAGGTGAAGAAAAGAAAGAAGCCTAAAATATAATTTATGGTATTTTCTGAGTGGCTAGGTAGGGGTTCTTTCTCGCCATTTTGTACATGGTACTCAGAACTCTCTGTGGTATTTATTTGAGGTCAATAAAAATAAAATGATAATAATTAGTATCAGAAAATATTTTAGGTATAATTATTTGCTGAGTTCCACATAATTTCATTGTCAAAATTCAACATTAACAGCTACCATATTAAACATAAGAGCAAGGTTAAACACATTATCATAAAGTTATTAAACATATACTCTCTGATACTAAACATATACTCTCTTGATACTAAGTACCAAGTATGGCTATCCATATCACAAGATCTGTAAAACCAAGATAGGAAGAGAGGTGACTCATCCACCATTCATCTGGTGAGCAGGGTTTGAATTTAGATATACTCACTGGATCATATCCTCCGATCCTACATAACTAAATAGCTGGCTCCCAACCACCTGGTGGGTATAAACAACAGTGACTCAGGGATCAGCATCTTGGCTCAGTTACTAAGGTTCCATTTGAAACATGGAAAAGTCAGTTCACTTTCCTATGCCTGGACTGCCCTTTTTCTGAAGAGACAATGGTATTTACAAATAAAAAACACAGCCAATTCATTCATTCTTATGCTGCATAAAAGGAGGTAATATTTTAATAAATGATGTTACTATGCTAATAATTAAGTCCATTTTTAATTACAAGAAATCACTACCTAAAATTCTATTTTGAAATGTGAAAAAGCATAAATAAATGGAAAAAATGTAATGCCAACTAATGCAGGGAAAACAATACAAGTTCATTCTCTGAGTTGGTCACTCAAAATATAATAGAAAATAAGCATTATTTATTTATTTATGTAACAAATGATTAGTATTTGCCAGGCACTGTGTGTGAGGCACTGGGTATCTGAGCTTCCCAGGTGGTGCTAGTGGTAAAGAACCCGTTTGCCAATGCAGGAGATGTAAGAGATGCGGGTTCGATCCCTGGGTGGGAAGATCCCCTGGAGGAGGAAATGGCAACCCACTCCAGTATTCTTGCCTGGAGAATCCCACGGACAGAGGAGCCTAGCAGACTACAGTCCATGGGGTTGTGGAATAAATACACAGACATGCTCTCTTGTGCTCATACCACACAGCCACTGTTAATCACGAAAGTCATCAAAGTCTTCATTGTATTAGACAATCATAAATGCATGAAGCACTTCCTTCTTGGATAAAATTCTCCCTGCACAGGAAGCTCTAAAATCTAATATGGTCAGAAAAATACAGGATTTACCAAGAGCAAGACTGTATGGAAAAACATGACTGTCTGTAATATGGCTCTGAGGTAACCTTGAGTAATCCTGCCAAAGTGCTCCATTTGCACGATTCCCTTTTCCTAATGTTAAAGTAAGCGAACAGGTCGGCATGGACCACAGATGTAGCTGCATTTTCTTGCGTTGCCTCTGAAACTCTGTTAACACATATGCCAATCTGGAAAACTCCTTTGGCACACAGGAGGAACTCAAGCCTTGGATAATCAGAAAATAGTTTCTGTCAAAATTATTATTTCATATAAGCTTAAAGTAAAACATGAAAACCCTGGTTGGGACAATCTTGCTCAAAACTCTTCTGTGCTTTGAAAAAAATTCCTCAAATCATTTTCTTTCTTTTTTTTTTTTTGTATCTTGAAAAAAAAAAATCCAGGGCTGTACTGCAAAGGGAAGTATAAAAGTAGATATTTTTAGCAACCTTGCGCCTTCCCATTGTGGCAGAGTAAGAGCACATCCTATGTGTTACGTGCATCTCTGATTTATAAAGCTGGAGCTACAGCTTAGGCCTCTGGGCCCATACAGATAATTAAAATGCTGCTAAATGAAAATTTTGATTTACTGTAATTACATTCAAATATCTTCATAATTAAGTTCATTTTTCAAGAGACAAGGACTGCACTCATCATATTCAAGGACAGCACGCACGCGCGCGCACACACACACACACAGACACACACACACACACCTCTGTTCCCACAATGCCAAAGAACAAGGAATCGCCAATTTCTTTTGCGGCTTTAACCAAACAATACTGGAGAATCAGGATCTAAAAAAGACTCCCAAGGTTACTGAGACATTCTAGACAGATGGGTGTCTCATCTCATCCTAATCCTGTTTCAGACAGGCAGCCCCAGAGAACCAGCTCCGTGTTCAGGTGCTCTCACTTCACACTCTCTCCTCCAACATTCTAACCTACATCCCGTTACCTGCAACTGGGACTCTTTCCCTTGTTCTTTCCTACTGAAGACAGAGCACTGATCTTTCCAGGCTAAAAGGTTTCAGTTCCCTTAGCCATCTTCATGGGTCTGCTTTTCTTGCTTTCTCTTCCTGTACTATCTCCTAAGCTTTGAATGCTGAGTTCAAGAATGTACAAAACTTCATTTTAGCTTAGCTAGATTTATAAATCCTTCTGTACATCTGGAGTACTTTCAATACAAGTTATCCCTGTAGAGTGGCTTTTGATTCTGCAGTAATGTTGTAGTAAATGAACAAAAAATTCAGATAAACAAATCCAATTTTATCTCCCAGAGAAAGTCACATATCAGAGTCCTAGATAAATCCCATTTGTGTTTGAGGTACACTGCTAAGGTGTGAGACATCTGACTGTTACCCAACCATCAACCATGCACCACACACAAGGCCAGTGGCACTGTGACACCATCAAACCTCTCTGCACTCAACGAGTTTTGATGTATCTCAGTATCATTGAAACAGATCAAATAATCTATGACAGTCAAAAGTAGTTGAAAATTGTGACAGTCTTTTCTTCTCAAGCAAATAAACTAACTGAAATAAATAAGGCTGGGCAGTTAAGTTTCATAACTGGGTAAAAAAATTAGTAAATCAGAATCAACTTGAAGAATACAAAAGACAATATGGTATTGTGAGGCTTAATACTTTTCAATAAGCAGGTTACCAAGCCTTCTCTGAGCTGATGGATCCATGATCTCAGAGAGCACAAATAACAGCATGGTTATTTAGAGAAAACTAAAGTATGGATCATGGCATGAAAAGACTTTGTTTGGTGTATGAAAGAGGAGGGCTATTTAGTCTGTCTCTCTTTTTATAAACTCATAAAAAAACCTGCAAAGCTGTAAGTTTGGTGGATGCCTTGAGAGAAACTATACTTACACATCAGAGAAATCCCCAGTGGCCTTGAAGAAGAATAGAAAGAAAGACTGTTTTCAAGTTTTTTTGTGTTTTTTTTGTGTGTGTGTGTTTTCAAGTTTTAAGAGTCTATTATATTAAATTGCATCTAAAATGTACATAAGTAAAAGGTACTTATTGTATTTTTTTAAATAAATTCATTAAAGGCTGCAGCTTATTTCAGTTTTCTTAAATATCTCATTAAAACCTGATAGACACATAAATCAAACTCTGTTCTCACCAGGGTGTGGGGAAGAAAGAATTAGTGCTGTTTCCAGGGCGACAACATCCACATAGCAGGACCCTAAGTTAGAATCAACAGCAGAGAAGGGAAAGAGAGTTTGCACATACTGTAAAAAGGGCACACATTCGTTCTATCTTCTCTGGGTTCCTTGGCCCACCATTCTTGTTCAGTCTCACCAGAAACCGCTCACTGAAATGTAGGAGAGAGAGAGACAGAGAAATGTAAGGGACTGCATGCTCCAGAACAAATAAAAAGGGCATTCATAAAGAGACCCTAGACACTTTCAGGACAGCCCATTAGAGATAAGCAAAGCCAAAAGTACACGTCTAGTGGCAGGAGACCATCTTTCTTGCCAAGCAACATGCAATAGACACAACAAACTGCGTCAGAGATGCTGCTGTCTACTTGTCAGTTATGGCTTTTATCTCCCTAAAGGTGTGTGTTCCCTGAGGGCAGTAATGAGGACTGTGTCTTGTATTCTTCCCAAATACCCTCAAAGCTCTGGCATAATAATAAGCCCATAAGAAGCAAACACATTTTTTTATGTGAACACTCAGATCATCACAAAAATATTCATAACACTAGGTTTGAAAGAGTCTACATTATCCAGTTTACATCTTACTGCGTAACTTTTTGAGAATCATTTTAGAGCCAAGAAAAAATGTTACAGGGACTTGGAAAAGCTTGGGTGAAAAGTAAAAAAGAAATAATGTATGGTAATTATAAAGATGTACTCAGAATTCAATAGGGCCATTAATATATTTTATTTCTCAAACAATATAAGTTAATTCTTGAAGGAAATTATTGAACTGAAAAATGTTAGAAACAGTGTTTGCAACATCTGGAGAAATGTCTCCCTGCTCTCTTACCTCTTTCCTGCCTGTGCTAGGGTCTCATTCCTATCTCAGCATCCCAAGGTTCTCTACCAACTGTGGCAGGAAAACCAAGTCTTGGCAAACACAAAGTATGTGCTTCTGAAAGTAATTTGCTTCTCCTGTGCCCAGCATCATGTATTCATTGAATGTATCAGGTATCAGTAAAAGGGCCAATACTTAAGTATCAGACTAGAATTAAAAGATATGCTATATCAAATGCACAGATGGCTTAATTTGTTCATTTATTCATTTGCTCATTTGGCCAATGAATAGTCATTAAGTTCTCTGTGCTAAACACAGGAATACAAATATGAACACAATGTATACAGGGCACTTTTCTTCCTAGAGCTCATGGTCCTGGTAGGCAGCTAAATGGGCAGACATGAAGTTCAGAAAAGATCTGGGCCAGATGTAAATTTGAGATTCTTAAGCCAGGGAATTAGATGGGAATAGCAGGTTGCATGCACAGAATGAGAGGGAAAAGGGGCTCTGGACAATCCTGAGAGACACTGACATAAAAGAAATAGGTAGAAGAAGAAGAACTTGCAGAGTAGACATGTGGGATCAAAAAGAAAAATAAGAAGAGTGGTGGGATGCTATATTCGTTAGGGAAAAAAGTGTCTGAAAGAGGAGGGGGGGATCACTGAGGTCCAAGAATGCTGAGAATCACGAGACAACAAAAAAACAATATCCACTGGATGTCATAACAGAGATCACTGGTGATTCTGGCAAGAACCCTTTTTGTGGAATGATAAAGAGGATCAGTGTGAGAGTAAGAAAGAAGGAAGCAGAAACAGTGAGTCTAGACCACTCTTGGAAGAGATGAAGATGTGGACGTGATAAGCTTTCAGTTAAATGGGCATGTTGAGGTGAGGGAGACCTTTGTTTAAAAATGTGGTAACTCACATATATATTCAATTAATTTTCAGTCTCAAAATTCAGTGAGGGAGAACAGCAGTTTCAACAAATGGTGCTGAACAATTCATATAAAAAAACTGAACCATGATCCCTGCCTACAAGATATTAACTTGAATTTATCATAGACCTACGTATTAAGAGCTAAAAACTATAAGACTACACACAAGAAAAATGAGACAAGTACCTTTGTGTATCTTGTTCACATTTGTTTTTCTACATTGAGCAAACAGTAGAAAGATCTTTGTGATCTTAGATTATTAAGCAAATATTATGCATCAAAACAAAATAATAAATTGGACTTAACCAAAGTTAAAACCATCTTCCCTTTGAAAGACATTGCTAAGAACATGAAAAGACAAGCTATAGACTGGGCAAAAATATTTACAAACTATTCTAAGAAGGGACTCTATTGAGAACATATAAAGTAATCTCAGAACTCAATAAGTAACATCTCAAAGATGGACAAAAAATCTGAACATACCTTTCATCAAAGAATATACAGGGATGGCAAATGAGCTCAAAAGAAGTAGGGGACATGGATCCCTGGTCCAGGAAGACTCCACATGTTGCGGAGTAACTAAGCCTGCATGTCATAACTACTGAGTCTGTGCTCTAGAGCCTGGGAACCACAACAGAAGCCACTGCAATGAGAAACCCATGGACCACAACTAGAGAGTAGCCCCCACTCGCTGCAACTAGAGAAAGCCCGTGTTACCAACAGCAAAAACCCAGTGCAGCCAAAAATAAATAAATGAATGATTTAAAATTTTTTTAAAAAGGACACCATCAAGAAAGGGAAAGATAATTCACTGAATGAAAGCAAATATTTTCAAATAATATATCTGATAAGGAACTTGTAGACAGAATTTATAAAGAACTCTTACAACTCAACAATAAAATAAATAGACATTTCTGTTTAGAAGATGAACAAAGAGCCAATAAAGATATGAAAAGGTGTCCAACATTATTAGCCATTAGGGAAATGCAAATTAAAACCACAATGAGGGCATTATTTCACTTCTACTAGAATGACTTTAATCAGACAGGTAATAGCAAGTGTTGGCAAGAAGATGGAGAAACTGGAACCATCATATAATGCTAGTGGGAATGTAAAATGATATAGCCACTCTGGAAAACAGTCTGGTGGTTTCTCAAAAGATTACATATAGTTTAACATAGGATCTACCAATTCCACTTCTCAGTATATATTTACAAGAGAAATGAAAATATATGGCCACACAAAAAGCTACATGAACATTCATAGCAGTAGTTTTCATAATAGCCAAAAGATGAAAACAACCAAAATATCTACCAACAAATGAATGGCTGAATAAAACATGGTAGGTATATCCATACATTGGGTTATTATTTAACCATGAGAAAATAATGTATCTTCACAATTTGTGACAGTCAAAATGACTATTTTTTTTTCATTTCAAAGAGCCCTAGGTATAAATCAAATTATTTCCTGTTTTGCTGATTTCACCAATGGGTATGATAGATAAATGGTGCTTTCTGTTAACATTCAAACTATCTGAAGGCAAATATCTATCCAATGTTTCCTAATCTGGCAAAAGAAGTGGTCAATACTGCTGGGACATATGGCATTAAACACAGTTAGGTTTCTGTCCCCCAGGACTTCTCAGAGTCCTGAAATGCTATTATGTGTTGAAGTATTAATGGGTCAGATGACCTCTGACCCCACAACCTGCCTCTGCATAAGACCATGCAATCTGTACGGATACAATTTGATAAACGCTGAGTGAATCTATTTGCCAACGAGAGGCACAACTCCTCATATATCCTAAAAGTGGGAAAGGAACTAGGGCCAAAAGAGTAATATTTATTTAGGAGACTTTACAAACATCCACACCTCTATATGAGAGCGACAGGTCAGTTTTCTCTGGGTAAAAAAACTCTTAATTCTTTCCAGAGGAAAAAAAATAGAGATGGTTAAATTCTGATTCTTTAATAAGCAATGTTATGAGAGAACTGTTCTACATTTACTTGTCTTTATGATGAGCTATGCATGAACAGTATATTAAGCTACATTAATTTCGTATTATTGAGCAAGTTCTTACAAATGAAATCCATAATTTGAATCTGTGGCAAGTCTAATAGAGTCTTAATTTTAAGATCATTTGCTTTTATGAGAGTCCTAATTCCTGGGTGGCAGTGCATGTCACACTATTCTCCATTGATGGTAATGCGTGCATCCCCACAGCAAGTGTCTGATGACCAACAATGAGGTGGTAGCCATGACAGGTGCTCAGGCAGGGACAAAGTCTCATTTCTTAGGGAGGCTATTTCCTGAAGACTCTGCTTTGGAAATACAAGCACACACCTCAAATAAATTCAGAGGAATTCTCACAGCTCTTTCAATGTAATCTTCACACTTCTTCACATTGGCCTCTGTGGAAATGGATGCCAACCACTTAGCATCTCTCTCGTGATAACTCCCCAGGTGCTTGAAAGCAGCAAGTGGCCCCAAGGCCATACTACATGGCACAACCCAACAGATTAGGAAATCTCTAATCTTGCCTCACAGTCGCAGTTTCCAATTTAGATCCTTGGCTTTATTTCTCAAGTTCTTCAAGTTTTCCCACTTCATTCTAAATCACAGAGAGTAGAGACGCATAAAGGGATTTCATTAAGGTAAATCAGTGCTGCGGCTTTCAAATTTATTTTTAGTACCAACTTTTCCCTTCTTTTCAACAAGACCTTACACTATTCACCAACACATGAAAAATTTAATAATAGAGCTACTTTGGTTGAATCAGAGGCAAAGAGAAGGGACAGGAGCAGGACTCCTCCCTACTTAGGCCTCCCTCCTAACCGCCACCTGTCCCTGAGACACATCAGGGCTCCAAAGAACACCTTTATGCCTCCTAGTACAATTCAAGAGTTCTTTCCAGCCTCCCTCTTTCCTTTTTATTCTTTCAACAAGCATTCATGAACCCCTATCAAGTTCCAGAATCTAAGCAAGAAGATGGTAATGGAGAAATAAAATGGTCCCTGTCCTCAAGACTCTGAGTCTACTGGGAGAGAGACACAGAACAAAAATGACAACACAATGTGAGAATTCTATAATTAACTGCACAGAAATGGGCTGACAAGCTCCAATGGACTACAGACAGGCTGCCTGAATGAGATACTGGGACACATTCTGGCAACACAGCTAGACTCTGAGCATTTGGTAAGGGAAAGTTAGAGAGGAAGAGAAGAGGATTCCAGGAGAAGAGTGAGCCAAGGCAGCTTGATGGTGGGGATGTGGAAGAGGGCACTGGAGAGCTGGGGCATGTTGGGCAATGCAGAGAGGTCAAACCCACGGTGTGGATTACATGTGAGTGTTGTCCCCCTTGGCTATCGCAAGGTGTACCTCCCAGCTTATTAAAA